ACAGCATTTACTTCATTTACTAATTACTCTAACAAATCAATGGGGTTTTGCAGTGTGTGTGGTGTGAGTGTATTGACTGGTCGCGGGTGTTCCTGTCTAATTCTGCGAATCGTGGGAATTTCGGGCAAATCGCAGGTGTTAAACACAGTTAAATTGTATCATTTCTGTGAAGTGTGTTGTAGCTATGTTGATTAACACCAAATTGCACTTATTAGCATTAGCGCTGCTGTATTATGTTTGTTTCATTTACTGGTATTGGAGTGCAAAGAGTGCAGTCAGTTTCCCATGGATTAAACAGTCAGGACTAGTTATCTTGAGTGTCTGATTGGTTTAATTCTGGGTTAGTTTTGTACGATGATTATATCATAATAATTCTCAGAGATGAGTATAGTAAGATTCAAAGCCCAGAACAGGCTGTGCATAATGCATGCACAGAGATGCTGCCACTACGTAAACAGTGGTGAGGCGCACTTGCTTTGGGGAAAATCAGCTGTGTAATTTCTTGCAAGCCTAGATGGAGTTGTTTTTTTTTCACTTATCTGAATAATAAGAGAGAAAGAATGGGCTGTTTTGGACTATATTAAGCAAGACGTTTGTCCTGGACTGTTCATTTAAAAGCTGACCTTGAGCCATGCTTGAAATCTGGTTAGTCTAGACATACCTTGTGAACTGACTGTGGACAAAAGATTTGAGGAATGATTGAATTAAGTGCTAATTCATGGGTTCAGCAAGCATTTTTCATTTATTTCACTCTATTAGACCGGCGAGAACATTTCCAGAACATTGCGGTGCACTTAACTTTAGGATACTTTTATATCTGTGGATGGGTTTCAGAGCTTTAATCAGATCTAAACGTTATTTCAAAGCCAAATACAGTCCAAAAAAAATGTCCAAACCAGAACAAACACACAGCAGCGCGTTTCGAGTCCGAACCTGATCTGAGCTGGTCATAAATTCTGTCCAATACCTGACCAGAACTTCACCAAGTTTTGAGCCCAAACCTGAGATGAATCCAATAAAAACCTGTACAGACCTGACCCAAACCACATCATCAGGTTTTGGGTCCGACCTGAACCTGAGCCGAGCCCAACAAAGTGCTGTCCGGACTGGAAACAAACTGCATCAACAAGTTTTGAGTCCAAAACGGCCCTGAGCCCTGACGAAATTCTGTCTGGACTGGATCTGAACTGCATCACCAAAGTTTTGTGTCCAAAACTGACCTTAGCTTAACAAAATTCTGTCTAAACTGTGTAGTGACAACAATACTGCCATATTTGACAGGTAAATGAACTGTAAAACACTATAAAATAGTATGCTGGCCAGGCTTTTAGCCTTTAGCTGTTTAATTCTGAAAGCTCTATTTATTTACATAGAACATATTAACATATTGGACATACAACATAAATTAATACTTAATGACCAAACAAATTAAACATCCTTTTGGCTGCTCTAATCTGTACTTGCCTGAATTGAATCTCTTTATTTCTCAGTCATCCATTTTCTCATGAGTGTAAGCCTTGTCAACCTTGGTGTTAAACTTTGTCAACTACAGGAGTAGGTGACTCCAGAGCAGCAGATTGTTTTAAGGTATTGAAAGCTGAAAGCAAATGTAAAGTAACGAGAAAAACGAAACCAGCAGGAAATGCAGGATGAAATCTGGGAAGTGGGCTAGGATACGCCGAACGGGCAACGCGACTCGTGCGCAAGACATGTTTGGAAAATTGATTCCAAACAAAACCAAACCCTGATGTGACCACTTGGATCACATGTTTTCTGTATCCCATATATTCAGAGACGTATTTCAAGCCGTAGTGCAGAGCAAAGCAGAAAAAGATACATTAATGCGTTGCTGCTTTTAAGTTCTGGTTCTTGAACCAAAATATGTGATCAAAAGTCATATAAAGATCACAAATGATTGGGCAGACTTTTGGTAGCTGGGATAATATCCACCAGATGTTCTAAACCATGCTGTATGGGTTTTATTTATGTCTTGTTTTATCTGTCATTCAAGAAAAAACAGGAAAGGCTGTGCTTTATGGTGGTTTTCTCACAGTGCAAAGCAGGATGAAACCCCTGTAACACATGGCCTTACTGCTTTTATGAAATGGCAAAAACTGGCAGCTTAACACATAATATAATTAATGTGTGCGGTCATAGACCTCTGAGGTCGGGCGTCATTCTGTAGTCAGTGTTGTACTCGTATCGGGAACTCCCAGGTACATTTTTACCTGAGTGTCACTGGATCCTCTAAATAATCAACCAAATTTTAAAGTCTAAACTTCAGTACTATTATATACCAACAGCTGCTACTCAAAATGCAGCCTAAAACTGCCAAAGCCTCCAAACTACCACATTTGACAAAGCTTGCTGGATTGGTAGGGGTATATTGATGAAGTTGCCAGTCCTATGATGTGTTGGTGTTAGTGCTCGTTTTCCAAAACGACATTCATTTCTGTGATGGAGAAAACCATCTTAGACCTGGAGTTCTTAACATAGGCATGAAACATAATACAGAATGATGACACAACTTTAGAGGTATTTTCTTTGTAATTTGCTTAGTGCTTTTGTGAGCACATCTACAAAATATGTATAAGTATGGATACTTTTCCTATGTCTGATAAATGACAGATATATTTTACCAAATTTCTCCCTTTTCTGTGTAAACTGGGTGGTCTCAATCTTGGGTAAAGCTTGCATAAGCATAACCTACTCCTCCTGGTTTCTCTCTGTTTGAGGCCAAAAAAAAAAACATACCGAGCGAAAGCTACCCCAGCATTCAAATGTAACTAAGCTATCAAGCTAACTGTCTGTTTGGATGTTGTCCATCTGTTCGTCCATTCGTCCAGCTGGCCTTGACTGCATTCCCTTGATACAGTAAGGTGAAGCATCGCCACATATGAGCTGGATGATGTTTTAGTCAGTCATGGTGACTGCAGTGTCTCCTGCACTGTCTGTTGTAGACCCTGTTTCATTCATTTGTTCCTGCTTCGCTTGCACTCTTGTGTTTAGTTCTGGTTTAGTAGTGTAGCAGGCTGGGAGTGCTAGACTAAGAGATGTCAGTCAAGCATGTTAACTACAGGACCACACCTGCACAGTTCTCAAATAAGTCTGATCAACAGTTTTTAATTTTATCATTCACATTTTCCCACGTTAATGAGTTATATAGTTTCATACAGTATATTCCCTGAAATTATTTGTTGTATAATTACCAGTTCTGAATGAAGATTAAAGATTAAGTGACCCTTATTAGTCCCACAACGGGGAAATTTCACCTCCACATTTAACCCATCCGTGCAGTGAAACACCACATACACACTAGGGGGTAGTGAGCACACTTGCCCTGAGCGGTGGGCAGCCCTATCCGCATGCCCGGGGAGCAGTTGGGGGTTAGGAGCCTTGCTCAAGGGCACCTCAGTCACATATTGTCAGCTCAGGGGATCGAACCGGCGACCTTCCTGTCACAGGGCTGGTTCTCTAACCTCCAGCCCATGACTGAAGAGATGATGCAATCCATGCACGTGTGAAAATGTCTGTTGCAGTTACCAAAGAAGGTCTGAAGAGAGGAGACGGCTCATCCTGTGTTTGGTTTGTTCAGGTGTCTTCGGGCTGTCTTGTGTTCATTCCTCAAAGGAACTACAGGAGTTTGTTTGGAAGTGGGCCAAGAATGACCACCACAAGGGGTCTTGGTCCACTTATGTGGTGCACACCAGGATTTATGTGGCAGCACTCTCACTCGTTCTTAAGAACACAGCAGTTGCACCAGGGTTCATGTTAACCAGAACAAATCTGAAGCTCTTGGTGTGTTAGTTGATCATGCAGTGGATGTTCCGGTGATTTACCCACATCTAATTTATTCTCATTTTTGTTTCATTGTAAATCAACATTACAAATGTTTTAGTCACAGCTTCATGACTAATTCTCTTCCACTCTGTGAAGCAATACATTTGATTCCCATCCGTGAAGAATACTCCAGCAAAACTGAAAATGAAGTTTAATAAAACAGTTCCAGGACCACGCAGTCTGCCTAACTGTCAAGTGATCATTTTTGCATGGTCATTACGTTTGACCATAAGCACTTGGGGGTGCCTGCAGGAGCAGGCTAATAGAACATCATCATCAGTAAAAATTGGATTTCAGCAGAGGAGGGTATTAAAAGAATTAACCTGCGTGTCATGGATCCTCATCCATTATGCAATCTTTTTGAATAATTGAGTGCTCTGATTGGAATTTCCCCACACAGATTTATCCGAAACGCTGTAATGCCATCAACTGCAGACGTTTTTCTAAATGATAAATCAATCTCCCTGTCTCCGGGCCAGTGTCTTATCTGTCTGTGCTGTAATGTGCAGATCAATATCAGCCTGAATTGATGTCACCCTCAATTGAAATTCAGCTTGAGAAATTATTCTATGTGATGTTGACACTTCTCTTCACGCAGAGTTAGTTTTCTTCTCGTTCAGTCACATCATCGCTTGTGATGTGCTCTTGTATTCGCTCATAAATATTTAGTTCAGTTTAGTTTGTTTACTGCCAGTCCATGTACAGAAGCATCAGTTTTAAGAGACCGCCAGATGTACAATGTAAATCAAATGTTTAGGTCTTAACGACTTCTCTGTAGCTTTTTTACGTGTCCATGTTAAAAGCTCATTTTGGCCTAAAACTATAGAGTTTAATGTTATTTTTTGTGTTGTTTAATATTCTGTGTATTCATGATCCGTTATTGTATGTCTTTCCATGTTTCTGTTCATCAATGTTCTTTTAATACCCAGCATACCTTGCGCAAATGCATCGTACAACTATTGGGCCCAATCCCATTTCACCCCTTGCCCCTACCACTTAGCCCTTAGCCCTTTGTTTTGTGCGTTCACGTCTGCGGTTAGGGTGTCCCAATTTTAGAGGGGTAGGGCGAAGTGTTAGGGCTACATGGCCCTCCAAATGGAGGTTTTTCAGAGACTCAGTCCAAACGGAGTGATATGAGAAAAAAAGAAAAAACCGGCAAGATGGCTGCGCGAGCGTCCAAAGAAACCCAGAAATGTGAGTGTTTTCTCTGTTAAAAAATTCGATAACCTAGTTAGTTTAATGTTGTTTTAATGTATTATGGCCTTTTTCTTCGTAACAAGCATAAAAAATCGCTAATAGCATGCTAATGTCTCCCGTAGCTAGCTAGCTAACTTTCCCAATTCACCTTAAATAGTCCAGCAGTATCGACGCCTGAAGCGCCAGAATGTAACAGCTGCACCATTTAAGGTGGAATGGGAAAATTCGAATAGCTGATATAGAGCAGTGCTAGTAGCCTGTTAATAAAGCAATTTTTTTTTTATTTTATTTATTTATTTATTTATTTTTTATTTAAGGGTTGTCCCATTTTGTAAGTTTTTTACCACTACCCCTTGTAACTCAGTTCCAAGGTTTAGGGTGACACTCGAAAACAAGGGGTAGGGGTGAAAAGAAGAAATGGGATTGGGCCTTGGAAATCCCTGTGGTGTCATCTAATACTGACTAGCCTAGCCACTGATCTATATGCTAACATATGCATTCAACTTAGCATTTGTGTAACTTCAGCAAACAAAATAGTTTTTTCCGTTTCTCAATGACACAGTTAAATTAAGTAATGCCTGCTAAGTGTTCCTGGCTGTGGAAAAAATGGATGCTAATACAAGAAGGCAGAGCGACTGGCTTGCGTGTTGGATAACACTCCCATCACAGGTCTGTCTCCTGTAAGACAAGCATTTGCTAAACATGTAAAGGTGTTTTCCACCATTTTCCTCAGGACATATGTTCAAAAAGTGGTTCATAGCTGTTGGAAAGGATGTTGATATGCCAAAGCAAAGTTATGCATGTTCAATAATTTGCAGCACTTCAAACCAGAAGACTACTACAGGGACTTGAAAGGTGTATTACTGGCACATTTAACAAATAGATGCCCATGATTACTTTGTTACTCTTTCAGCTGAAAAGGAGCTAAAGCCAGATAGCTACACTGCTAACTTCAGCTTTTGGCTTGTTGTCCTTTTTGTCATACAAGTGAACCATGAACTCCATTAATAATTTGAAGAATATTAAAGAAAACAGTAAATGAACGCAGGAGCTGTTTGTCTGTCTATATCATGTTTAAAATCATGAAATGCATTTGTGTTCGTGTGTTTGAGCTTTTTTTTTGCTACTCCCATGTATTGTTGCTTTTCCTAAGATGATATCCTGGCTCAGCGGACTGTGAGAGCAATCATGGAGGTGTCAGTTAAAGAGATGGACAGATGAAAGAGAGAGAAAGTAATAGAAGTTGTAGTGCTTCAAGAAAGACTGTAGACTGCTCAATGGCTGGAGTGTCACATTTCATTTTTGGTGAGAGGTGTTGACATGTTGACTCTTCTTTTCTTTTCCCTCACTTTTAGAGGCAGTTTCATAGTAGAAGGACATCACAGTTTTTTCTTCCCATTGATGTGGGTGCCTAAATGTAAGCAGTTGTGTCAGCGTGTAACTTATCTGTGCAGTCATCTTCAGGGGTGCAGATCTGAGAGTTGAAGGCTGTGGCTCTGTTTATTGACAAGTTAAGGCCCCATCAATATCACTCCCAAAGCAAGGCATATACAATTCTGACAGATCACACAGAAACACCAGAGTAATCTCTAAGCATCTACAGGCTTCTCTTGCACTGGTTAATGTCGGTGTTCATGAGTCCACCATCAGGTCAAACAGTGAACGAGAGAATTGTGCATGGAATGATAGCAAGGAGGCTACTACTCTCCAAGAAGAACGTTGCTGCCTGTTTACAGTTTCCTAAAGACCACCTGGATGAGCCTGAAGACTACTGAAAAAACGTTATATTGAGTGATAAGGTGAAATAGAACTTCCAGATGTAAAAGAAAAATGTTACATTTGATGAACACCAAACACTGCATTCCAGGATAAGAGCCTCATCCCAGCTGTGAAACATGGTGGTGTTTCTTTTCCTTCACATGCAGTGACAGTTACATAGTAAACAGACATCACATCTTCTCTTTCCATTGATATGGGTGCCCAAACGCAAGCATTTGTGTCAGCAAGTGACTTTGTGTGTTTATTTGCACAGTTATTTTTGGGGTTGACTATCTGGAACAAAATAATTTAAGACCATGCCTCTGTTCCTTGGCAAGTTCAATGACAAAAATCTCCAAAACAAGGGATATAGCATTCTGCATTAGCATTTAGCATTAAATGATATATTTAATAAGTATTCATGAGTCTGCCATCAGACAAACACTGAACAAGAATATTGGGTATAGAATGATAGCAGGGAGGAAGCAGCTAATCTCCAAGAACATTACTACCTGCTTAACGTTTCCTAAAGATCGCCTGGATGAGCCAGAAGACTGCTGAAAGAATGTTATATGGACTGATAAGGTAAAATAAGGCATACATGAGAAACATTTGACAATAAACAAACACCGCACTTAAGCAAAAGTACCTCATCCCAGCTGTGAAACACGGTGGTGGTGGTATCATGTCTGAAATGTTTGGTGTAAAGTGTTGACAGATTGACAGTTTTTTTTTTCTTTTCCCTCACTTTCAGCGACGGTTTCATAGTAGAAGACCAACACATTCTGTTCTCACTGATGTGGGTGCCCAAAGCCAAGCAGCTGTGTCAGTGTGTGATTTTGTATGTTTATTTTTGCAGTTATCTTGGGGGGTGAAGATTCGGAAAAAGTTGAAGGCTGTGGCTCCGTTCCTTGGCAAGTTCAGGCCCCTGGTGGGGCAATGCTGCCATCAGTGCACCCCGGAGAGTCTGGTGAGTGTGTTTGTTCCTTATAAAAGCTTGAACAAAAAAATGAAAGGCTATTGATTAGGAGTACATTACGAGTACAAAGTTTTGGGTTGTGAATTTTTGGATGCAGGCTTTATACAACATTATCAAGAGAACACATAAAAGTGATTTGGAGCACAAGTAAACATGTTGTTTACTGGGTGGAAAAAAACAGCAGTTAGGGGAAGACAGCAAAAAATAATGAACACTCCAGGGGTTCCTTCCCCACCACTCTGTCACGAGTTTTTTGCGAAGCAGCGGATGACTAAGCTCGTTTTCTAGAAGCTCGCCGTCCCTGTAGAGGCATCATGTGTGGTGGTAGGAAGTGGAGGTAATGGAGCTGTAATTAGATGGTTATTGGTTCGAATCCCCAGGTGTGTAAGGGTTTTAATCTCAGCTACTCCAGCCCAGCTGGGGAGTTGAGTTCTATTTCAGATGTCTAATGTATCATTTCCCACTTAGCGTCTCTCGTTTCAAATTTGTCACATGAATAACACCTGGACCTTCCATTTTTTGCTAATAATTGGTCTTCGTTCACTGCGCTGATTAAAGTGATGGAGGAAACATGAATCTGCAGGGGGCAAGACTAGTTGTAGTTCCTGTGACTGTGTATTTAAGCAAAGCTTTTACTTCCGTCTCTTAGGGTCAGAAGCTACTGCACAAGACACCGTCTCTCGGCTTTCAGAATCTTCTCTGTGTGAAGGAAACGCACACCAGGTAAGGTTCTCCCTGTTCTCCAAACTTGAAGTGAACAAACCAGTGTAGGTCAAAACCTACAGTGCCTGTCAAACGTTAAGGATGCTTTGGTTTTCAAAACTTTTTTCAAGTAAAACAGCATGTTTTCTGTTTCTTTTTCTTTTCTTTGCAAAAACTGCAGTACTGAACATCTGAAAAGCCCTGCTTTAGGAATAATGACACCCATTTTATCCCCTAGTTTTGACATAAGCACTAATCAGCACTCAAACCTTTCAGGTTTTTTAAACCACCTTTGTACCAAAAGAGTTTCACAGTGTGCTTTATAACACTTGGAGGAATATGAAGCTGGGGCCTTGTGAAATACACCCACAGGATTAGCACATACAGTACTCTGCATAATTCAGAGACCACCCTTCATTTCCAGAGTATATATTTAACTGAAAATTACACAGAAACCTCTACAACTAAATATATTTTTCAGTATTTAGTGTGTCCACCTTTTCCCTTTATTACAGCCTCAATCCTTTTCAAAAGACTTCAGTGATGATGAGGTCTGGGCTCTGGGGTGGCCAGTCCATTGAGAACACCATGAACTCTTTGTTCTTTTTATTTTTTTCAGTGAGGGCTTCTTGAACAGCTACACATCCTTTCAGACCAATAGCACTGAGTCGTCTTCTCACAGTGGAAGGATGGACAGAAACACCTGTGGATGTTTTTAGATCTGAAGCAGCTTTATTTTCTCCTCTCTCTCAAAGATAAAAGCTTTAATTGCTGTTTATCTGATGGGGACAGTGTTGGTGGTCTATCAAGTCTTCCAGGTGGTTGTTAGGAGTCCCATTTTCTCTGTAGCATTTAATCATTTTTTGAACTCCAGTTCTGGAAACTCCTGTTTCTTCACTTGTTTTCCTTTTATATTCCTCTTCCTTATACAAGTGGACTCTCATATCTGATCTCCTCAGAAATGTCTCCTGAAAAAGAAATTGTACTTAATGGCCACTTTTAACTTGAAATCAAATAAATGATCAGCTGTGACTTTAACATAATAGCACAACACAAATTTCAAGCAAAGATGTAACGTATAAAAAGTCTGTTTATTCCTTTATTTGAATGGAAATACATTTGCCATTTGTTGTACTTGAACTGACATTTCATTTTCACAGAGATCTGGACACATTATGATCAGCCTTATGCAAGTTAAAGTGTATTTGCCCAAGTGAATGGATATTTCAAGTGATACTGTAATAATGGTGTCAAAATGAAAATTGGACTGTCACTTAACTTATGCATTTTCACTCCAATCAAACAGTAGAAAAATCATCATCAAAGACAGATCCTCCTTTAGAATGAAGACAAATTTGAAGTGCAAAAAGAGAAACAGCACCTCCCCTCTTAACATTATATTCTTGCCTGCTGCTCTGGTTCTGTGCATTCTAAGCAGTTTGCATTTTTATTTCCACAGCCGTCCACCTGTCAGTCAGCCCATCAGGGCAGGACCACAGGATGCAAAGATGAAAAATGTGCTTTATCTGAGAAATGGAGGTTGAAGAGCTTATATAAGCAATTCATGGATTAGCAGATGGGGTGGAGTCGAGCAATATGACACAGCAGAAACATCACTTACATAACTGACCAAACGTGTTAGCAAGTCATACTAAGCAGATACTGCAGAGATTTTATTTTTTTTTGCCCAATGTTTATTCCTGCTTCAGTCATGTCCAGTTCATCACACAGTGCTACCAAGCTGGGAGGGTGAAACCTAGCATGTGCTTTTTCTGAGACTCATGAATCTCCACTACAACTCCTGCCAGGGCAAAGTCACTGGAGCTCCACATGTTTGGAGGAGAACAATAACTACCAATTCTGTTACATCAGCTAAGACATGTCTGTGTTGCCTAGTATTGAGTCACGGGGGAGAGAGGGAGGACTATTCCACCCACCAAGAGAGAGTGATGGCAGTTATGCTTTCTTGGCCGGGCCACAGATGGCTGTGGCATTGCCCAACAATTTCTTGGTCTGGCCACAAATGGATTATGTCATTAAAAACACCCCGTCCCACTGTTTGGAACTTGTGGGAGTATATTTAATTCCAATGGTAAAATGTCTCGGTCTGTCTGCTACTGAAATTAGACAGATGGTAACACCAGTAAATGAGGACAACCTTGTCTGAGAATTTAGCATTAGAAATGATTTTAAGCTAACTTGGCTAACTACAGCCTTCCACAGTTCATACATTAGCAGAACAGAACAGGGGTCTCAGACTACTGGCAGCTTCATACGGCCTGTAACATATTTAAAATTTATTCTTAAGTCTGGTTGCAACGAGTTTTTCCTCTACTGTTCTGAAGCTAAATATCTGTGTCTGATTGGTAGATATGCTTCAGGTACTTTTGGTAGGCAAGCTGTAACTCTGAATATGCACTGATAGAGTTTGTCTCGTAGCCGTTGCTGCAGCCACAACCCTGCAGGTGGATGAAGACCAAGCAAAACAGACCAGAATGACCATGAAAAACATGATACGCAGACACTTTAGATACAGTCTCCAGAAAATGCTACGGGGAGAAGATCAGCTAGATTGGTGGACTGGACCCCTATAACCTGCATTTCTCTAGAGTTCAGGAAATTCTAATGTGTGAGATTCACAAAAATTGATAAAAGTGAAGGTCAAAACTGGCAAAGCGCATAAATAATAAGCTTATACCAATAAATAAAGATGAAGTTAGCATCTTTCTTGCCAGATTCTTTTTGGAATTTTCCATTCCACCTTAAATTTTACTGCAGTTATAGTAAACATAGAACGAATTTCAAACAAAAAGTTGGTGAATACGAAGCCGTCAGCTTACCTCAGTCAATACATTAATTTGCCTTAATAAATGCATCCTTAATTAAGAAATACCTTGCATCTTCACTTGGAAATGTTTAATGAGCAGCTAACGAGAAACTGAGAAAAGCTATAATCAGCCACTGGAGCTGCTGCACTGTTGAACGTGTCTCACTGGCTACTGCGTCCCAAAACACACACTTACATATTTTAACTGCTACACTAATTAGTGCACTTCTTTTTTGCATACTGTATAGTGTGCTAGTATGCAGTTTGGGATGCGAAAATAATGCTGTGGGAAATCTCAGCCCTTTAGATTCTGGTTGTTAATTTGTTATCACTACAGCAACAAATCAAATAAAGTACATCACTTCAGTGTACATACATATATTGGTTAATATGCTTTAAAAATGAGTTTCTGAAAAAAAATTATATGTTTTACTGCCTTTGTTGGGTCGGTTATGGCTTTGTCACTGCGCTCCTGAGTGAACTTTAAGTTGCCTGCCAAAATGGAGGCAACGTGATTGCGTGACATCAAAATACTATCAATAGTTGCAACACTCGCCCCTGTTGCTGAGTAATTAAAATCCATTCAGCTAGACTTACTACGTAACTACCTAGCATGTTTAGCAGTTAGCTGAATATAAACAAATTCATACTAAATATAGCTGTCTTTCATGAATCATGAAAAATGTAATCAAAACCATTGGATCTCTCATCAGGTTACTCAGATGAATCCAGCATAGCACTACTGATAGCACTACTCAGATTCATTCTCTTAGGATTCATTTAAAGCAGGAGTGGAGAACTCTGGTCCAGGAGGGCCAGATTCGTGCACGGTTTGGTGATTTTCTTGCTCAAGCACACCTGATTAATCTCATCCGTTAATCGCCCAGTTTAATTGGTGTGCTAGAGCATCAAACTGGACTCTGGCTCTCAGTTTCTTGCCCCTGATTTAAAGCAAGAAAAGTTTCCATTCAAGCTTAAGCTAATGTTGCTGGCCATGGGGTCTTGTTTGAGGGTTGTTCTGGCTGGTCATATAGGAGTATACTTGCTTCATAGTGGAGTGTGGGTGCAAGTGTGTTAAATTCCAATGTTTAAATTTCTCAAGGTGTCTGCTACTGAAATTAGTCAGCTGGTAACACCAGTAAATGAGGGCTACCTTGTTTCAGAATGTAGCTAGCATTACAAATGGCTGTAAGCTAACTTAGCTAACTACGGCCTTCCACAATTCATACAATAGCAGCAGAACAGGGGTCTCAGACTGGCAGCTTTGAACAGCCCGTCACATATTTCAAGTTTTTCCTCAAATTTGGTCCACAAACCCTTTTTTTTTCCTCTATTGTTCTGAATATAAATATCCGATCGGTAGATCTGCTTCAGCCACCATAAATTATGTAAAATAACATTGGCTGATCCTCAAAATAAACTTACAGCCCAAACTGGAGTGATTTTATCAAATTCTACAGGTTTTCCATCACCCAACTCCATGTTTCTATTAGGATAAAGTTGGCAGGTATGAAAACCTGACCCAGCATGAACATTACACACTGGATAGGCGAAATTTATCTATAGATTTAGACCTTAGTTAGTTAAATTATTAGACAAATCCACTGAGGACGCCAAATAGCCTCTCATTTTGCCAACACTTCACTTGCAGAGTCCAATATAATTCTAGTGTTAAATGTAAGTTTACCAAGTTTAATTGAAGACAAAAGTATTTATCAAGCACTCAATGTGTTTATACTACTACTGTTAATAATAATAACAATAATAATATTTTACTTGTATTATTATTAGTAGTAGTACTAGTTTTTGTGGTAACAGAAGAGTTAGTAATAAATATTGACTTAGATGTGCTTAAATGAGTGTATGTCGTCACTGTCGAAAGAAAAGACATGCATCTCCAAATTAGTAACTGTACAGGAGACAAGAACGTTCTTAACTTTTAAGGTAAGTTAAAGGTAAAAAGAGTTAAAAGTGTTTTTATTGCAAGTAAATATAGAGCATTTCTGTTGGTCTGTTCATCAAATTTTCACACAATGTCAAGGACAACCACCGTGTTCAGTTGATGTAGAAACATAGCAATGTTTGTTTTTTTTTTTGCCAGTAATGATATGTAGTTAAAATTCACACATAAAACGGGGCACATTTTTCCCTGCCTTTTTTTCACCTGGCTGCCCTTAGAGAAGACCGCTTGGCTAGTGACCCCCAGGTTTGCTGAGGTTTAAGACCCCTGATATAGAAGATATTTCTCTATGATACAGCCAATTAGTCCTTTAATGACTCATTTTTAAATTTCATTTTTTGGTTGCAATCCTTTTAAAAAATCTTTCAGCGGTGTAAAGTTCTCCACTGCCACTGTCAGTATTACCATGGCTGTGCATATTAGAATGGAGTGGCTCTCCTGCGGCCGCGTGCGCTGACTTCATGCACTTGATTAGAGTAGATAAATAGGATTTGGCGCTCGCGTATCTCAAATCCGGAGACAAGAGAGCTTTTCGACAAACGTTCAATTTCTGCGTCTTTCATTTCCTTCCACTTCAAAAGGCCTCAACGCACACATGCTGACGATCCTGTCAAGCCTTTTGATGTGTCCCGAAGCAAGGAAACCAAATGAAAACACATGTTCACTCATTTGAGGAGCTAATATTCCAGCACCATGCATATGATTGGTTTAGCTCATGCTAATTGAGTCGAGATTGTTTTCATTTTGCCTCATTTGTTGAGGGAAACAATATGTTAGGGGTGTGTGTGTGTGTGTGTCTGTGTACACTGTGGTTCAAAAGTTTGGAATCACTTAGCAGATTAAAAAACGTTTATGCAGTAATGTATACAGTGTGGGCTCAAACATTTAAACCGATCTTAATATAAAACAGTAATTTATATTGGTAAATAGAGCACAGATGTACAGGATAATTAGAGGGAATGGAAGAAGAATCTGAGCGTTTAAGGAGACGTGTAATGTTACGTGTCTAGCTTTAAGGTCCAGTCACAGTAGCTTTTTCTCAAATGATTTCAATAGTATTCACTGCTGTGAACAGTTTCCCATCACAGACTTCTAGAGTGAATCAGTTTTCGCATGTGAAACTTCACATCAAGTTCAGTTTTGGTAAACACTGACAGGTGAATTAAGTCGACCAATAGCACTACTGTTTAGAGTTGGTTGTGAGCATGTATAGCAGCACTGGATATCCAAAATGGAGAAAATGCTCATTTTAGCAGTGTTTAAGCACGACCTGTAAACATTACTTAACCACTCCAAGAATCAATATTAACAATTGCTAAGAGCAAGTAAAGTGTTAAGTCGGGAGAGCAGCATTGAAAATCTCTTTCTTTGTTACGCAATCCAACAGTTTTTGGGCGCAGTTCATTCAGCGAACAACATACTTGATATTGCCTTTATTAGTATTCTCATCCAAACACCACTTCACTGCGTGAAAAATGATCTAATCCAGTTGTGTGTTGAGTTACATCTAGTCTATCATGGTGTTTGTTGGTAATTCTTTGAAGCAGGAGGCATCCGTCAAGATGCCTCCTGGCATGGAATTTGAGATGAAACGAGTAAGAAACTTTATTCCTTTTGTGGAAAAATCTGATTCCTTGGGTTGACTTTGACCCACCAATACCAGATATGCATTACACAGCTTGTAGGTTTTACCCTAACAATGCAGACAAAACCAGAGCACTGCCATTTAGGCAAATAAAAATTGAGTAGATTGCTATGAAAACTCTTCAGTCATCTAGCAAGAAGGCCACTCACTCATCAACAGTGCTGGACTCAACGTCAAATGTATGTAATAGTTTTAATTAATAATAATAGTAAAACAGAATACAGTCTCTCTCCTGCACACATACACAAGTAATAGTGAAACTGACTATAAACGATGTAGAAAGCATACACGTATAGATAACTGTTTTTGCACTGAAGTGTAAGAATAAATAAAACAGATATTTAGATATTTAGACATATGCTTTTGTTTTACATTTCCAGTGCATACATGAACTTTAAATTAGCACACATAATGTCTTTTGACTTTGTACTTATAAAGTACTTTGCTGCAAAGCCATTGTTTGCAAATGCAGCTTCGAAAAGTTTATGGTAAACTGTCTTCAGTTTCCCAAGGTTATAAAGGGTCCCTCTGATGGACTCACAATTTCAAAATCTTCCATAAATTTTCAACAGGATTGAGTCGAGATTGGCTAGGCCATGCAAGCACCTTGACCTTTTTTTTAGAAAAGAGGGCTGAGTTACTTTGGCTGTATGTTTGGGGTTGTTGTCTTGTTGAAACATCCATCTTGCCCCCTTTGAGATTAGATTCTCCACTCACTTGAGCCAGTATATTGCTCCATTCATGTCTCCATCTATGACGTGTAATGCCCCAGTACTGCCCCATATTGTGATGCTCCCACCATCATGCTTCACATATACAAACATGTTCAAAAAGAAAAAGAATGATTACTTCACCTTGTGTTTTATAATTTTTGCTGTCATTTTAGAGTCGCATACAACTCTGAACACATCTAGAATGTTTGATTTTTTTTATTTTAAGCTCCTACAAATTACTAGTTGCATAGGACTCGCATATTTTAATAATTTTTTACATTTATCTGGAACTCCATAGGCTTTACATTGTTGATTCTAAACTTGTGGATGGTAGCTTATGTCTCTGTTTGCTTGTTTGTGTTCCAGGTACCGTGGATGGCTAGTCAGGAGAGTGTGTTGTGTGCTGTTTGTTTTGGGCCGTAAGGTTTATACCAGTTCTGTGGGAGACAGAGTGAACCGGATCTACAGCACAGACAGGTACAGTAAAGTCACTGTGAATATGCACCTATATAATGATTTGTCACTGTTATACTTCCTCTTTTCCATTTTAACAGTCAAGATGAGCTCAGGCTGTTACAATGTGCAGCCTCCAGTCTCACTCCGAGGTATCATTCAGAAGATGCTGCTGGAGATACATTCCACCCTTTCAGCGTCTTGATGAATGTCAGGCAGCCGAGAGCTGATTGGACACTTATGTTGATTTGGTGTATTGGGTTGTGAGGCAGACTGAGCAGTAATGCTAAGGTATTATGAGGCTGGGGCTGTGAAAAGCTCCCTCTCCTCATCTTTCCTTTGTTTCCTACCATTCCTCACCTCAGTTCAACTCTTCCATCGTGCATCACACCCTTCCCTTCACTCCATCTTATCTGTTTCTCGCCACGGGCCTTAACTTCATTTGGGGCCCTAACGTTTTAAATAACTTTTTTTATAGTCTAAACCAACATTCTCACTTTCAGACGTTTTTCACTCGGGGAGTATAAACAGCCTTCTTTAGGGACGCTGGCTGTGTGCGTGCGATGCCGCAGTGAGGACAATGTGAGCTTTGTTGATGGGGAAGTGCGCTGTCCTGTGACTCGGTGTGTTATTTGTGTGCGCATTTGTGTTTTTGAACATTTTTGGAACAAAAAATGTTGTGACTTTATAGGCCTAACCTGTCTTGTGAGCAGGCCCGTGCACAGCCATTCTGGGGGGATGGATGGGGGGTGCAGGGGTTCAAGAACAGCCTGAAACTGAAATAAACTGAAAGCTACACTTAGGGTTTCCAGAGAGGCCTGGGTGATAGGGCGATGTAATTGGATATCATCTATAATTAACAAATAGCCCAGTGACGATGCTTAAAAGGCGATAATGGGAAACTGACAGAGAACTAAAGAGTACTAATATAGCGTTAAACGGCATGCTAAATATGTTGGGAAATTGGGATTCTTGTTCCCAGTGAACCCCAATAGTCAGTTTTTTTTTCTGTTTATAAGAAGGAGAGAGAGATCTACAGTTAGTTCTCTTAGCTGCACACTGCAATAGTAGCTTTACCTTATTTTACTTTACGTTAAGTTTAGCTTGAATGCATGGAACCAAAAATAAATTATGTGTTTTTGAACTTCAGCTTGCTTCATTGCGAATCGCTGCTGTAAAACATGCACACTAAAGTGATGGGGTGTTAGCCTACAGCAGCTAGCTCTAGCTCAGGATTTTCTAGAGGTAGGGAATGAGCCCCATATGTGGTCAAGACACAGGAACAGAAGAAGGTAACTAATCATGTTAAATAATATGTATACATGATGTTTTATTTCAGAGAAATAAATGTCAAATTAATGTCAGAGAAAACCTTTTCTGTACAGCTGAAGTGTCCCGGGAGTTCACATGAGTGAAAGTATGAACGTTATTAAAATATAATATTATATGTTTTTCAAAGCGTCGATAGCTGAATTTCACTGTGATGGAAAACACCTCGTTTTTAACACATAAAGCATGTAAGCATGGCTTTGGAAATCACTTGCTGTTTGTAGTTCATTCAGCAGGGAGTGCTATTAGCATGCAAGTCACCGTGAATCTGCACCAGAAGGACCTCATGAACGCACATTTGCAGTAGCCTCTGTTAAAACAACAGGTTAAGTAGTTTTCAAAAAGATGTTGGGTTATTCAGACTCACCAGACTTTTCTCCTGACTCAATAATGCTACTTCTTTCAATTTTAACAAAAAACCATAGTGCAGCTGTAAATGAATCTGCAGCACTCTGAACATTGACAAAGTGACTTTATTTCAGAGGAAACAAAGCTTTGTGTTGAGTTTTACCCAAAGCAGCGAACTATACTAGCTTTACAGCCCAAAATAGGGATTTCAGCCTTGAACACCAGCAGCTTCTTTGTTTGATTTGTAAATGTTTTTCTTTTTTGTCTTATTTTCTTTTCTCAGTAAGGCTTCTTGACAGCTACACATCCTTTCCAGACTTATAGCGTTCAGTTCAGTTATCTTCTAACAGTGGAAGGATGGACTGTTTTCAGATCTGCAGCAGCTTGATTTTGTCCTCTCTCTCAAAGATGAAAGATTTAAACTTGCTGTTTATCTGATGGGGACAGTTTTGGTGTCTACCAGGTCTTTCAGGTGGTTGTTTTCTGTGTAGCTTTTAATAATTTTCTGAACTCCAGTTTTGGAAACTCTGGAGTTTTTCTTCATGATATTTGCTGTTGTGACCGAATTTTACACATACATACTATATTATGATTAACACCGCCTTTATTGGAGAAATAAAAATTGCATTATATATGAGCTGTTGTTCTTTCCAGAAATGTATTATATACAATATTGTCACAGGTAAATACAGCTTTTTGGTGTGAAACTACATATTTTTCGATTCCTTTTCAAGGTTTTGTAATTGCATTGACAATATACATGTAATATATATGGGAAATATACATGGCCCCACATCCTGATAAATATATATATATGTGTGTGTGTGTGTGTGTGTGTGTGTGTGTGTAGGCTGATGCCGGTGCTCTGTACAGGAGAGAGGGATGTGAGGGAGGAGGGAGAGGAGGAGAAGGAGAGAGCTGGAGGAGCTGGCAGGATTGTGTCTGTGCTTCAGACTGTTGTGTCCCCTGCTCTGCTCCGGTCTGACCATCAGATCTTACTCAAGCCTCCCAATACTGTACCCTTTAATACAGACGCTCTCTGATCTCTCACTGATTCTCTCTTTCCCTCTCTCTCTCTCTCTCTCTCTCTCTCTGTTTCTCTCTGCTCGCTCTCTCTCTCTTTCTCTTTCTCTCTTTCTCTCTCTCTCTCTCTCTTTCTCTGTCTCTCCCTTTCTTTATCCCTCACTGTCTGTGTCCCTCTGTCGCTTCCTGTTCTCCCTCTCTGTCTCTCTGTGCCTCTCTTTCTGCTTCTTTCTCTCTCTCTCTCTCTCTCTCTCTCTCGCTCGCGCGCGCTCTCTCTCCCTTTCATTATCCTTCTCTATCTATGTCTCTTTCTCACTTCCTGTTCTCCTCTCTCTGTGCCTCTCTTTCTGTTTCTCTCTCTTTCTCTTTATCCTTGTCTGTCTCTCTCGCTGTTTGTCACTCTTTCTCTGTGCCTCTCTGTCTCTCTTTCCTTTTTCCTTTCTTTCTGCCTGTCTCTCTTTCTCTCTCTCTCTTTTTCTTTTTATCTCTCTCTTTCTGTTTCTCTCGTCATTTGTTCTCACTCTCTATCTGTGTTTCTGTCTCTGCCTCTCTCTCTCTCTCATTCTCTCTCTTTCTGTCTCTTTCTGTTTCTCTTTCTCTCTGTATTTTTTCTTTGCTTCTCTGTTTTTCTTCTTTTCTTTTTTCTTCTTTGCTTGTTTCCCCCACTATCTCTTCTTTCTGCCTCGTTTTCTGTTTTTTTTTCTCTTTCTCTGTCTTTGTCTCTTTTTTTCTATTTTCTTTTTCTTTTCTGTTTCTCTTCTCTCTCTTCTTTGCTTTTTTTCTTTGCTTCTCTTTGTATTTCTTCCTTTATTTTTGTTTATTTTATCCTCTCTCCTGCCCCCCCCCGTCTTTTTCAGATTGGTCAGCTGGATGTTGTTGAAGGTGTTCCGGTTAATGTTCTACAGCGTGCAGGTTAATCTGAATCAGCTGGCTGCTCTCCACCGAGCCACACAGCTGGTACGTTGCTCATCACACTCCCTTTCTCTCCCTCTATCACACTCCTCCTCTCTCCTCCATTCATCTTTCTCTCCTCCTGTTCCTGCTCTTCATCACCTTCTCCTCGCCCGTTCACCTCATGCTGCAGCATAATCATGTCCCATCACTCACACATCATGCTCATCTCTCTTCACTCCATTTCTCCTTCTTTTCTATCAGGCGTATTATTTCTCCCTCTTGTCCTTTCAGCATCTATAGCTCACGCTCAGCGCTGACCTGCATGCCTCTGTTGTAGAGTAAGTCTTGATTTGGAGCTGTATCTTATTCCTTCTGTTTATAAACCCTGAGAAATGTAGAGTTAGGGGTTAATTCCTTTTTGTTTCTGTTTATTCCACTAATGTGTGATACTCTGTACTATTCATTAGTGATGCACTGTAATGAATGGGAGCAGGTGGGAAACATGTGCAGAGTAGTTTTGTTAGGGGGCTTCCAGTTACTCGTCACCATAGTCACAGGCAGGGGTCAAAACTCGCACATGCAGTTATACAACAGGAGAGTCCATGATTAAAAACCAAGAGAACAGAGCAAGGTTCCACCATGGCAGAAAACAGGGAAACAGCTCGTTAATGTGCAGAGAGAAACAGAAAGCAACAAGTATATATATTTATATTAATGAGATCTTGAACTAGCTGCAAGTGAGAGTCATTATGAGTGGGCAGACGTGAACCAATCAAAATTGAGAGCGTCTAAGTGCTATGACAAGACATCGTCCAGCAATTGTTATCAGCTGGAACAAACAACAAACAAAGAAAAAAAGCACAAACAGCCTTTGCCCAGTTGTTTTAAAAGTTAAGCTGTGTCCTACTTAAGCAGTTTCCTACAGTAGCGTTGAAAAACTACATTTCCAATCCACTTGTCTGATGTCTGACTGGTGTGCTAAGTATTACTGCCAATGGATATATGATAAGTAACCTTTTTAACCTTTTTAAACTTTTGTAATGTAAAATTTGTGAATGCAAAACGACCAAACTACCAGAATTGGCCAGTGTTTTTGCTGAATAATTGTCAGTCGATGTAAGATGTCATCAAGAGGTCTTGACTTTGATCCCTGGTGATGTTACAGTCATCCATGGCCAGGAGTCTAAGATAGCACGATTGGCCTCGCTCTCTCTGGGTGGGTAGGATGGCCCCCCAGTCTTCCTTCATCACTCAGTGCATGCTAGTCAGCGCTGGCGTCTGTTAGCTGATGTAACATAACTGGCGGTTGGTGTTTTCCTCCAAGCGCACTCGGGTGTCCAGTGACGTTGCATAAGCGTCAGTTCGAAAAGATGCGCTGGCGCTACACAGGTCTCGCTAGCACTAGTGCTGGTGGTATTGTGTGACTAGGGAAGACCTAACTAGCGGGTGGGATTGGATACGACTAAATTGGCAGTCAATATCGGCTTTTTTTTGGTTTGTTTGTTTGTTCGCTAATAATCAGCAATTGATTTATTATTTTTTCTAGGTAATTTTAAATAATCAATAGTCGACATCTGATGTGTTTTTGCTAAATAATCAGCAGTAACCTTTTTTTTTTTTTGAAAAATAATCTGTGGTCGATGATGGCAGTTACTTTTGTGGTGGTTTTGTTAAATAATTAGTTCTCAATATCAGCCAGCAGTTTTTATAATCCTGCTTAGGAGTGCTTTAGTTAAAGTTGTGTTGTGCCCTGTGTCTCTAATCAAAGCTGTGCCCTGTGCCCTTCATGGTTGAGAGTCCAGGCTGAAATTCGCTTGGCAGGGACAGCAGCTCTTTTCTTTGCAGAGCGATGTACTGATGCGGTGAAGAAGCACGTAGCGCACCAGCTAGCCATTCTCCTTCAAGGACAGGAGAAGCTTTGGACAGTGCAGTGTGTCATGCCTCAGAGGCAGGGTGTGCAGCCTTAGAAGCCTCACTTCTCTATGCTGTTTGGTGCCCTAAAGTCCTTTTTTATCTGTCCAGGTATGGCAAACTGAATTTTGATTTTGAAACTTAAGGAGAGGACGTCCTTTCCTCAGATGTTCTCTCACCAGACACGTCTTCTAGAATGGTTACACTGCTGCTGTCAGCTTGCTCACAGCAACCCATTTTATTTGTATAATACTTCTTGCAGTGGACACTGTTGCAGCGGCTTCACAGAAATCAGAAATCAGAAATCAACATTTTTTGTTTAATATGGGTCCAGACCTGTAACAAGGAAGCTGAAAGTAAGGAGACACTCCCTGTGATGGCATCATGAAGAACCACTGAGAGGATCTAAAACTGGATAGAGAACTTAAAATCATAAAAGTAATTTTTTATAAGTAGAATTAAAACAGTAGCATTCAAGTCTTTGGGGGGCTAGTTGTATTGGAAATCCTTCTCCTTTTCACTGATTCACATCATTTAGAGCACATAATTAAATATAAATGTTGTGGTGATTTAGATATTCAACATAATATTTCATAGGTAAGCATGTCCCGCAGCTCAACTGTATTCTAAGCCGTGAATGAAACAGCGGCACAGCTAATGTATAGAGTAAAATAGTACAAACACCAATTCTAAAAAAGTTAAGACAGCATATGAAATAAAACCAGAAAGCAGTCATGTGTAAATCCACCTGTGTTTAAACAAAAGCAGTACAAAAACAAGATATTTGATGTTTTATCTTATCGACTTCATTGTTTTTGTAAATATGTGCTTATTCTAAAACTGGTTCCTGCTACATGTTAAACGGGGGCAAAATAAGACTAGAAACATTTTTAAAAAATAGTAATGTGATCATGCTTGATTAAAAGGAGCCTCCAGAAAACGCTTAGTTTTTATGAGCAAAAATGGATCGAAACTCACCATTTTGCCAAAAATACAACAGCAACTGGTACAAATGTTTTTAAAAAATGCTCTTTAATGAGCGTTTGCAAAGACTTTCATCCTCTACAGTGCATTATAACATTTAATAGTGCAAGAAGTCTAGAAAAATCACTGCAAGGGCAAAAAACCCAAGTGACCTTTAATCCCTCACCCAGCACTGCATTAAAACCCGGCATGTTTATGTGGTGGATATCACCGCAAAGGCTCGGGAATACTTTGACACACTGTTGTCAAACACTGTCTGTCTATGCTTCCACAAATGCAAGTTAAGACTGTACCATGCACAGTGGAACCATGAGTGTCAAGAGTGTCCAGAAACACTGCTGGCTCTCTGGGCTCAGGCTCATCTGAAATGGACTGATGCACTGGGGAAACATGTATTGTGGTATGGTGAGTCAACGTTGCAGATTGTTTATGGAAATAATGGACATCATGCTCTGGACTAAATAAGAAAAGTATCATCCAGATTGTTTCCAGCATAAAGTTTTAAAGGCAGGATCTGACAGTGTATACATCCCTGCACTCTGTGAAGGCACCATTACCACTTAAAGATATGTACACATTTTGAAGCAACATATGCTGCCTTTGAGACACCATCTTTTCAGGGACATCCATGCTTATTTCAACATGAGAACGCCAAGAAACGAATGACAGAGGGTAGGCGCTATTATGAAGTACAAAATACAACGACAAAGGCTGAAGCCTTGTATAGTTGAAGAATGGCTTATAAAACCTGAATCAGTTGGTGTCTTTAGTCTGCAAAGGTTTGTTTAGTGCTGGTAAAAGGAAATATGATGTAACACTGTGGTAAACTTTTTTGGAATGTGTTACAAGCATCATATTTGGAATGAGCATACATTTACAAAAAAAAAAACAATCAAATCAAATAATGTGTTTTTGTACTATTTTCTGTTGAATACAGATCGAACAGCATTTGCATATCACTGCTTTCTGTTTTATTGGCGTTGTACATAGTGTTCTAGCTTTTTTGGAATTGAGTTTGTATATAAAGTATACGCCTCCCATCAAAATTTGTGGACTCTTGGCTTTTTAAAACCTACATTTTTTGATATCAAATGAGAATGTTTTTCATCTTTAGTTTGCAATGAGTTCACAAATTAAAGCCCAAACTGGTTTATTCACAGAAAAACCTGCTGTGTAATTATTTGTGACAGTGTTAGTGACAGCCCTACCACCATAGGGCTGTCATGTCAGCACTCATCTGCACTTAAATCTTTCAAGTGTTTAAACCACCTTTGGGCCAAAGGAGTTTCAATATGTGTCTTATTTAGGCAAACCCTGCTCATCATACCGAGAAAGACTGATAAAAATGAAGCTGGGGTTAAGGAACTAAGCCTTTGGCACCTCATAAGCACGCTGAGGTTAATAGGTGGTTCTGTGTCCGGTTTGTGTGATTAGTTAGTCCCTCCAGGAATTTGCTAACACAAATATATGCAAATTCACCTGTCCTTACAATATTTGCAAAGGCTCACAATTTTGTCTGCCATCGCACGATTAAACGTACATCTCTGAAGTGCTTTTTGTTATTGTAACTGTACAGTTTTTGTGCTACACATCAGGAAACGATGAATAATGAGAGCCAACGAATATTGTAAATGTTTTACATGAAGGCTGGATCTAAACTGTTTGGTACGCAATATTGTTGTGCTTAAATTCTTGCTGGAGAAACTGACCAGGCAAACTGATCGTTTTCTTCATGGTAGCAAAATAAGAGGAAACAGCTCTTTCTGTTCAACCAATTTAACAGCTTCTGCAGGTAAAACATTCACACGAGGCTGAAGTTGACTTTTTATTCGCCAGCTAAATATTCTAATTTGTCGTTCTACCTTAACTGGTGCAGCAGTGAGGTGCTGGAACGGTTGTTTTTAAGTAGCTGAGCTAGTTTTAATGCTGAGCTAGTTTTTATTTTAACCCTGTGCGCCCAGTCTTCCCAAAAATCATCAATAATTATGTTCAAATGTAACATTTTTTGTGTATACTCATTGTGTATACAGATGTCCAGTTGGCCTGACTGCATGTCTTTGGACTGTGGGAGGAAACTGGAGGTAGTTCAGACAGTGTTACACTATTTTTAAACATGACTCTGTTCTTGGTTCTCATATGTACGCTTTATTTCCAATTTGTTTACCCCTTGTTTTTATCCAGAACTAGGCTACATTCAAAACAGGTTAAAGAAGATCATTTTGTCATATCAAACACAAAAAAAAACACTGTGAGCTTCCGGTGAGACAACTTCAGTAAAATGAACGATAATGTCACACAGTGCAAGTACATATTTTGGTCACACACGGAATTCATGCTATGTTTTCCCATGTATGTATTTATGTATATAGATAGACAGAAGGTCCAACCGATCTCTGTACATTGACCGATCCACTGGTTGATCTATCTACATTGATGACTGACCAAGCCATCTTTCTATTTACATCGACCAACTGACCAGTCTACCTATCTGCTTTGCCTGACCGACCAGTCTATATGTGTACATTGACCAACCAACCAGTCTGCTGACCAGTTTATCTGTCTACATTGCCTGACTGACCTGTCTGTCTGTCTACATCACCCCACTGACCAGTCTGTCCGTCTCTCTACATTGACCGACCCATCAACTGGTCTTCCGTCTGCATCAATCAATTGACCAACTAGTCTGTCTGTCTGTCTGCATCGACCAACTAGCCAAACAACTCGTTTGTCTCTCTACACAGACCAACCAACCAGTCTATCTACACTGACCAATTGAGTGAGTTACATACATCAACCAACCAACCGAGCAGTCTATTTATCCACATTGACTGAAGGACTGACCGCTCTGTCTGTTTACATAGATAGACCTGTTGGTCAGTCAATATTGACTGACTGACCGGTCCGTTTGTCTGCTTTGACCGACTGACTGTTCTATCTGTCTACATCAACTAACCAACCAACTGGTCTATCCATCTGCGTCGACCGACCAACCAACCAGTTTGTAAACACCTGCTTATCCAGCAGTTCTTCTGAAATGAAGGGTATTAATAAGACCTTTGTCCCCATTTGCAGCAGAAACAGCATCTACTGTTCTGGAAAGACTTTACGCTAGATATTGGAACACTGCTGTGAGGATTTGATTGCATTCAGCCACAAGAGCTTAGTGAGGTCACGTACTAATGTTGGATGACTAGTTTTCTGGACACTCTCGCTCACACTACAAATATTGAATGGTGCTTTATCACTCCAGAAAATGCAGTTCCACTGCTCCAGAGACCACTGCTTTTTGTTTGACATGCACTGTGTATATATGTGTGCAGTAATGTTATGTGAGAAAGCCTGTACGGTGTTTAAAAGTCAAGATGTGGGTGCAGAGCAGATGGAAAATAGACCAGCATCCTCTAACTGCAGCGTTACATTTATATTTAATTGAGCAACGTTGAGGATGGTTAGTGGCCCTGAGTGCAGCGAGCACTCGAGGGCCCAGTGTGTGTTTGTCTTTGTGTCTTTGTGCTGTAAGTGCTTCAGAGGACACCTCTCCAAAACAAGCTCAAAAACAAAAGTTCATGACCATTTATGCGGTGTGAAGTGTGATTTGTGAGTGGTGCTCATGTGCGCTCGGTAAAAAGGGTCATTCACTGTTTTGTGTTACAGAATGGACCACTGGTGTATGTATATATTCATCAAAGTGCTTTAGATCAAGCTCTGATCTCCCTGACGCTCTTCTTCCACAACCTGCGAGTTCCCTACAGCATCTGCCCAGTCCAGGTCCAGCACGGCTGGATAAGGTAAACAAGCACGCACCAGTACACAGAGGGCGAACGATAAACGCGCAGCTTATCTGTTGATTTATCTTGGCTGGAGAATTAAGCGGATTTTGGCATTTAAAATCACAAATGCCAGCTCTGTTGTCCACAGAGAAAGCTGTCCAGCAGGCTTCAGTGCTGTGGATCGTAGAATTTACACTGTAGATCTGCACTTCTTAACATTAGAAAGGCCATTGTGGTCATTTTCACTGGTGTGAAAGTTGGAGATGTGATAATAAAACTGATAGTCTGATATTGCTATGAGATCAATATTACAAAGCATTTCTACCTCAAAACTACTCAGAATAGAGTAGAAAATAACAAAAACAAGTGATGATTATGACCACCTCCTTGTTTCTACGCTCATTGTCCATTTTATCAGCTCCACTTACTATATAGGTGCACTTTGTAGTTCTACAGTTACAGACTGTAGTCCATCTGTTTCTCTGCATACTTTGTTAGCCCCCTTTTACCCTGTTCTTCAGTGGTCAGGACCCCCATGGACCCTCACAGAGCAGGTACTATTTGGGTGGTGGATCAGTTGCCCTTGACATTGTCTGTAAATTTCATGATGAATGGACCAAACGGTCTAAAATGAATTTCAAAAAAGTCTGGTTCCATTGACTTACATTAAAAGTAAAGTAGGTTTTTTCATTGTGTGTGAAGAGAGAAAGGGAGTAAATACATACATATGTATCATATGCAAACCTTAGGCCTCCACATCCTCTACAGAGAGCACACTCTAACACATTTTAATGCACAATTATTTTTTATTTGCTGAATTTAACATAAAATAAAAAACATAAAATGTGGCCTGTGCAATATTTGTCACATTTTATGTTAATTTTTTTCCAAGTATTACCTTCCATTACTGGTTAGCTGTGTTAGCCTACAGACACGTCTTCATGAACTGCATTTGAGGAAAATTGTGCAGTTAACTTTAAACTCTTCCTCGTCATTAATACTGAAACTTTTCATAAGTGATACTAACTTCAGACATGGATTACTGTGACTGGCTGAAAGCGACACATTGACCAATGTCCACTCTGTAAGTTTGAGAACCGTAGATCATTTACTGTTAGCCGCAAGCTTTATTGGACAGGTCAATTTGAACGATCCAATTAATTTCAGTACACTCTTTGTGCTTAGCACAGCACTTTTGAAAGGTCTTATCAAGGCACATATTACTCTTGCCACTGCATGCTGGTCTATGCATTTAATAGTGCATTCTTTGAGTGTATAAATAAGGCAGAAATAAAAAGGAATCATCAGGAGTTAGTGCAGTGCAGCAGATGGGGAATGAGCATTTACATACTGTAGTGAGGAAATGGAGCTCCACACAGATTGGATTTTGTAGTTATTGGCGAAATCATAAGACTAATTAATAGCTGCTTATTCAAACTGTACTGTTGGGACACCATAACATATTAAGTCTCAGAAGTGGTACATAAACATGCTTGGAAGTTAATGCTCTAAAGACACCATGCTTAAATGTTCTCAGATTTATAATGAGCCAGAGCAGATTACACGTGGGACGATTTACATTGGCTTTACACTAATGGCCAGATATCATTCATAAACTCTACGTGCGTTTGATGTTTTTACATATGTTGACATATCGTTGCTATCATAAGAATAGCCTCATATCTCTGATAAGGTGAATTTACAAGCGAAAGTAAAGATGTTTGGCAGCTTTTCAATACAGGCAGAAGTTATATCATTGTTGTAATGCACTTATTAAGCGTTAAAGGCCCCTCATCATAGACACATTTTATAAAATGAATGCAGAATGGAGTAGACTTTAATATAGCATGTAAATACAGTTGAAGTTTTAAAACATCATGTTCACTCCCTAGTCCATACAGTCCATATATAGAAGCTTAAGTTGCAAAAACAGCCTATTTTGAAATTGTTTTTGTGATGTGACAAAAAAAAAACAATGCATTCATATATGCTATATGGCCAAAAGTTTGTGGACAAGTTTGTAGTTTCTGTCCTCATTATTAAGATCAGGTGTTTCAGTCAGTCTCATTGCTAACAGGTGTATAAAATCAAGCACCTAGCCAGGCAGCCTCTGTAAACAAATACTGGCAGTATAATGGGTTCTACTGAAGAGACTTAAAACGTGCCACTGTCTTAGAATGCCATTTTTGCTGCAAACTCAAAGAGCAGAGCCGCCAAGTGCTGAAGAGTGTCGCCTATGCTCTGTTACTTCTCTTACTACAGAGTTCCAAAGTGCCGCTGGAAGCAACATCAGCACAAGAGCTATGCATCAGGAGCTTCATGAAATGGGTTTCCACGACTGAGCAGCTCCTTTCAAGCCGAAGATAACTAATTGTAGTGCCAAGAAGTGGATTAGAGTAGTATTAAGCTCGCCACTACCGGACTCTGGGGCAGTGGAAACAATGATATGCTTGCAACTTTGTGGCAGCAGTTTGGGAAAGGCCCTTTCCTCTTCCAGCATGACAGAGCCCCTGTGCACAAAGTGAGCTCCATAAAGACATGGTCTGTTGAGTTTGAGAAATTCTAGCGGCCCGCACAGAGCCCTGACCCCAACCCCACTGAACACCTTGGGAATGGATGAATTGGAAATTCGACAATAGAACTTCTCATCCAGCATCACTGCCTGACTTCACAAATGCTCTTTTACTGAATGTCACACAGACACACTCCACAATCTTGTGGAAAGTCTTTCCAGGAGAGTGGAGGTGGTTATAGCTGGAAAGGGAGACCGACTCTATATTAATGCCCATGATTTTGGAATGGGATGTCTAACAAGCTTATGTAGGTGTGTTGGTCAGATGTCCACATACTTTTGGCCATATAGTGTATATCTGCCTATTCAACCTACTGCAATTTAGCCCCGCCTATTCACACTGAAGTTATAAGGAGTGTTTCAACCTGATTTGCTTTTTGAATAAGGAACAATACACGACAGCCAATCAGAACAGAGATCGTTTACATACATTCAATAAAGTAATCCCATTAAAGTGTAAATCCCAATAAAGTAGGTAAGAGCAGCCAGGTGATTTGTTGTTGTTGTTTGCTTAATAAGTTCACCAGCTGTAGAGTTTATAAGGCTTAATTTTTTTTTTTTTTGTGATCAATTTTTTATTTGATACCAGTAATAATACACAATAATACAGAACTGAAGGAAATCAAAAACAGCCCCCTTTCCTTCCCCATCCCTCTCCATCCCATTGCTCCATCCACCACAATTTACTAAACAAGGTTTAATTAAAAGCATGAGATTCCAAAAAAAATGGCCTATAAAATGTACATCATAACATTCATTACATTTGTTCTAATCCTTTCATCACTTCAAAACAAATCTGTTTCCATGTCTCGAGAGTTTTAACTTAATTAATTCTGGCCTGTGGCTATTTCAACTGCATAACTATGTCATGCAGTTGAAATGCATTATGTGGGTGAAGCCACCTCTGTGCAGTGAATTTTTTTATTTTTTTCATAGCCGATGTTAAACCAGCGAGCCATGTCTTCCTTTGTTTCCCTGCTAAATTTAAATTGGAGTCATCGTTTAGTGATAATACAGTGGGATCCACAGGAATTTCTTGCCCCACCAGGGCAGATAATATGGCAGTAACCTTTATCCAGAAGTCTTTAACATCCTCACATTTTCATACCATATGCGAAAAAATTCCCATGAGTTGCAACAATGGTTGCAATAGGGATTTAATGCAGTTTTTGTAAGAAGGCATATCCGTGGTGTCCAGTATAACCTGTGACAATATTTAAAATGGATCAGTTGATGATTGGGGTTCTTTGATGCATGAAATATATTTCTCCATATTATTTTCCACTCAGTTGTATTAACAGATTAACAGCTCCTTTTTCCAGACTGAATTGGGAGCTTCTTATACAATATTTCAATGACATGAATATGTAGTTGATACACGGCCTCGTGGTGGTGCATTAATGACCCAGCTATAAATCGGATGTGGCTGGGCTTAATAATTATTGACGTGTAAATTGTTGTGCAACAGATCATGATCTATACTGCACAAATAAAAGTGCTCTTCAAAATGCTGAATTTAGCCTAGTTACTGCTTAAAGTGTTGATGAGCAGCCAGTTAATTACAAGCAATGGGCTTGTTAAGGTTTAATAAGTGCTTTACGGGGCATTATGATGTCCCCCAACACTCATGTTACCAAATCTTGAGATGAACTTTCTATTATCATCGCAAGGTTTTTTTCCATCACGCAGTTTTCATACAATGTAAAAGAGACGCTTGTGTTTACAAACGATTAAAAAAAGATACTTAGAAGGTTTTTTATGACAGCATTGATACGCAGGTTATCTTGCCCTTTGTTTTAATGAAGCTTTATGGTGCAGAGTTTTTCATGCCCAGAATAAGTAAAAAGAAGACTTTTTTCTTTGAAAGGTAATACAAAATGTAATAACAGTCAATCCATGGTTATTTGTTTTCTAAGAACTTTCCTGTGCAGTGCTCATGAACTGAAGTGCTACATATTAATTAAAGGGAAAAAAGCATGATGTCATTTATTCTTAACCACAAATCAGCATGAAGTTATTAGTTCTTCAGCCTGTATCAGCTTGATTGACAGATTCTGCCTCTTCAGGGCTGTTCTTCGCAAGTTGGGTGTCATCTTACTCCCCCAGCATGCAGACACGGAGCAGCAAGCAGAAATGGACAGCTCATACTCGCTCATCATGACCTCCGTAAGTCTTTAAACTTTGCATGCTACACATTATTTTCAGCTGTGTTGACGTTAGAAGAGATGAATGAGCGCACAGCAAGGCCATGCAGACTTAAGCACGTGTTTGACTGACTACTCACAGGATCGATTGCAGTTCCGCCATAGTAGTTACTGATTCTCTGTTTGTTGTTGATGCCTGCTGACTTCCAAGGCAACACAGCCTTTTTGCTTGGTATGTTTGACTTGTGAAGGAGAGCAGTGTGGGTACTGCAGTTTGACATGTCTGACGTGCAGTTCTGCAGTGATTAGACTTGTTAATGCAATATCTAGCAAGTAGGTACAGCACTGTCAGAGACCAGTCTTTGTAGTGTTGCCAAATGAAACGGATTTTGGATGGATTTAGTGGGAAAAAACTTTGGCGGGTGGACAAAATTTAAGCTGGTTTGTCATTATTTTAAAGGTTTTAAAGAAGTATATACAGATGATAAGGCAGGTTTTAAAGAAGTATATACAGATGATAAACTGCAGTACTTAAAAACTCAAATACTATCTACTAAAATACCACCCACATGTGATCAGTAATCAAAACTTTGATTGACACTCCTGTTGGTAGGCCATTGTCCAGCCCATCTGTGTCGTTTGCAGTCGATGTCAACAGTTAACATACCCAGTTTATTTTTGAAGTAATAGATATGAATTATCCAGCTCACTTTGCATTACTCAGCATACACAGTTCTGCTATAGTAGGGAATTGGAATGGCCTGTGACCTGTTTGGCAGAGCTTTTAAAGGTAAATAAATCTTAAAATGTGTAAAAGGAATAGCTATACTTGCAATATTATTGCTAATCACTTTCCATGTTCATAACATTAAATACATGACTTACTTATACAGCTTAGGTTTAAATATCTAGACAAAACATTTTTATGATTTCTGGAAGTTTGGATTTTTCTTAAATTTTGGAGCAAAAAGTTAGTAAATGATCAAAATTATGCTGTAGCTGTCTAATTGAAATGATTTACGCAGCTTCTCTTCCTCAACTTACATTACCATTCAAGAATTTGGAATCACTTTTAACTTAGTTTGCTCACAAACTTTCACCTTCTGGTTTTATCTACAGCTCTGTTCATCATTCTGGACACGTAACATTCCTGACTTTAATCATTTGAGGTTCCACAGGACTCAGCTATTTAGTCATTTTCATAATTGCAATTAAACTAAATGGTTTAATATTATTGAAAAACTGTGATTCTTCAAACTTTCATGTGTGAAATATGAGGCATTCCAGACATTTTAATTTTATTATATATTTTCTTATTTTTATAATGGTTTCTCAGTCATTTCAGAATCGTCTACAGCTTTATTCATCTCAAATACATTTTTTACAGTTTACAGTATATAAAAACCTATGAAATTGTATAGAATCAGCATCACAGTTTTATACATGTAACTTCAACAAAATGAGTTGTGTGTCACTTAAAACATTGACTTCAAACTTGTAAACAATGGTGTTTAGTAATCATGCAGCCGTGAATGCCTTTCATGTAGTTGTTGAAAGAGAATACAGTGCTATACTGGGTTTCTTTGGATTTGTATGGGTTTTTATGGGTTTCTCTGGTGAGGCGCCTGTTTCTTCAAACTTTTACAGAAAGAACAGGCCTCAGTATGTGCTCTAGAATTATTTAACGGGCTGAACAGCAGGGTGTGTGCATTCGCAAGTGTGTTAGTGTTTCGCTTGCTGGTGAAACGATTAGCACCGCAGAACGCACACAGCTGAAGGCGTGTGTCTGTGTCTGTGTGTGTGTGTGTGTGTGTGTGTGTGTAAAGAGGAGAAAATTGAAGTTTGTCTGGATGAATGCACGGAGCAGCACATCAGCTTATCAGCCTCTTCAAGAAGGATTTTGCAAACATCTCGCTGCACAGTGCTTGTGTGAGCGTGTGTGAGCATACGTGTCTTTGAACACCAGTCAATGTGTCACACTCACGATGTTTATTTACTTGGTGTTTGTTTGTTTTGTTCTACCATCCATTTTTCATAATGCCATATAAAACTTTAAACATTTTTGCCCCTGTGGAGATGCAGGTTCTCACTGCAGCACCTTTTATAGGTACTGAGATGTGCGCTAGATTTATTTTATTGAACTTAAATTTTTCAAAAAAAATCTATTAAAGTTTAAAATGGTTCTGCATGTTATTTATAAGAAAACTCTGGATAATAATTTCTATTAAATCCCAGGAGTAAAATATTAAAATATTAAAATATTTGTATGATACTAAACTTGAGTATTGAATGAAACATCCAGCAAATCCTGAATGAAAAATAAAAGATATAAATATGATAAAACACGACTTAAAAACTTTGATCAGACCTATCTGAGGACCGTGTGGGCATGGCTTATGAGCAGCTTGATTGACAGCTCTGTGTCCAACACTCCTAGCCTGCTCGACCATATGTACAGATCTAACATCATCGTTTAGCTTTTATGTGACCAGCAACTGGATGAAAAATGTCATGGACCCAGTTTACACTCAGAGGAGAGAAATATGGTAAAGTTTATTGGTCATTGGAACATTATCAGGGCCAATCCCGTTTATTATTTTTACCCCTATTCCATGTTTTTGAGTGTCACTTTGCCCCTTGAAACTGAGCTACAAGGGGTAGTGGTTAAAATCTTCCCCTACAAAATGGGACCCTAAAATAAAGAACATTACTTCATTAACAGCTACTAGCGCTGCTCTGTAGGCGACCATGCCAGTCTGCAGTGACAGCAGAGGAGGGTAAAGTTCAGCTCCTCACTGCTGGGCTTTAGTTACATTTAGGGCATCATACGTCTTCAAAGAGGGACAATTATTGGTTATCACACACCCCTAATTCTTCAGTGATATGAAGCTGAAGTCAGATATTCACCAGCGTCTTTTTAAAATTTTCCCATTCCACCTTAAATGGTGCAGCAGTTCTGATGCCTGATGTGCCACAATGTAACTGCTGCACCAATTAAGGTGGAATGGAAACTTTAGCTAGCTAGCTACCAAAACATCAGCATACTACTAGCGATTTTTATGCTTGTTATGAAGAAAAGGATCATCATACATTAAAATGACATTAAACTCAGATAATATAGTGGTTATTGTAACTTTTAACGGAGAAAATTCTCACATTTGTGGGTTTCTTTGGTCGCTGGTGCAGCCATCTTGCTGGTTTTTCTTTTGTCATCATATCACTCTGCTTGGAGTGAGTCTCTGAAAAACCTCCGTTTGGAGGGCCATGTAGCCCTAACACTTCGCCCTACCCCTCTATCTCAACAAGAATCGGGACACCCTACTCCTAGGTATGAACATGGAAAACGGAGGGGTAGAGCTAAGTGGCAGGGGCAAGAGGTGAAATGGGTTTGGCCTTAGAATATGTTTACTGTTTGCCTGCAACAACAAGATTAACCTAATTAGAAAGAAAACACAGATTTAGGTTCCTAAATAAATAATATAATATTTTCTAATGTGGGCATGCCAATTAGGGGCGTAAATTTTAGTCAATTTTAGTCAATTCTTTTGACTGATAACCAACTATCATAGTTAGCAATTAATTGTTGGCCAGCAAGAACAAGAAGCATCAACATATCAGTTAGAAAAACTGATCATTTTGATTCTGAAATCTAATTGGCTGAGCCGAAAGCCTCTGAAAAGCCACAATGTCCCTCTCTGTCATTTTGCGCAGTCATGTGTGAATTCCTCACACCGCCATGCGTCACGCTTTCTCTCGGACAACATGAACAAAGCAGTTGTCTGTCTTAACGCTTGGTACATTGTCATTGTTTTTAGGCTATTTTTGGCTTCATGCTTTATTTCTCAGCAGGCCTGTCTAGAGGAACCAGTTGTCTACTGCGCCTGCATGTGTACAATTAAAAAAAGTCCCTCAGTTTGAATAATAACCCAGCCTTTCCTGATAAGAAATTGTTTTATTGCAAATGAAATAAAATTAAATTCACTTTTTTTAAAACCAGTCGCTGTTGTCAAAGAATTGTTTATTTGTCAGCTGACAGTTAATCGGTTAATCATTATGCCTAACACCAACCGTGTAGCTACCATTACAGTACTTACATAAATGCTGCCTCATGTGAGGAATTTGTATGGGCTTTGTGCCTCTGCAGATGTGCACTGGCACTCAAAAAGAAATTCCCAGATGCATATATGTCATACGCTAATGTGTAGCAGCTGGTTTTAATGTGTCTGATGGAATCTAAACCTTCTGTTCACTTAAAAGAGGGAACCCTCAGAAATGTCGGCTAACAAGAAAATACCATATCATCAAGTAAGAGAGGAAATTCAGCTGATGCCACAGCTGCACAATCAACAGATTTAAACCACAGTGAGAACTGGAGGGAAAGTAAAATACAGCTCTATGACTTGTGACTCAACTTGGGCTTGCACTTAAGTGACTCATGACTCAAGACTTGAGACTAAACTTTAAGCAAAATTCAGAGAAAATACAAGCGTGAAACTTTCCCACCTTGCTTTTGTTATTTTGCCTTTCAGTTTTACTACACTCATGCGCACTGTTGAGGTTTGAGGGCACTGTATTATGGTTGTTGTAGTGAATTTATGTTATTACTTTGCCAAGTACTGCAATGCAGAATGGTCTTTTTCTTTTCTTCTTTCTTTTTAATAAATAAACTATCTGCAATGAATGCCAAGTACTTCACTGGCATTCCAGTCCATTCTTTGGGAAAAGGGAACAAAACCGTCCGGGCACTGTCCCAGAAGGACTCATCAGACCAGGCAACCTTCTTCAGTTGCTTCAAGGTCCAGTACCAACACTTGCATGCCCATTATTTGATGGCAGACGGGGGTTAGCATGGAGTTAGCAACAGTCTGATTGGTGTGCAGCTGCGCAGGAGGTACACATTTATCCCTTAACCTTTATTAAATCTTTAAAAATTTCTATGACTTGTGCCCCAATAGCCCTTCTGTCAGTTCGGACAAGACGGGATGGCCTTTGTTGTCCTCAACGATGAGCAGTGGGGTCCCAACACCTTGTCGCTGGTTCATGTTTTGTCCCTTCTCAGACACTGTCTGACCAGCAGCTTTCCACCAGCCTTGACGTTATGTAGATGTTCCGACCCAGTCATCTGGCCATAGCGATTTAGGCCTTGTCAAATTCGCTCATGTCTTCATGCCTCCCTATTTATCCTTCATCCAACACTGACTACAAGAACCAGCTGTTCCTGTACCGTCTAATATATCCCAGACCTTGACATGCACTACTGTTACGAGAAAATCAACATAATGAACCATAATGTTTTGGCTTATCAGTGTATATAGTTAACGGTATATCGCGGCTTTTACGATAAAACCTTGTATCTCTATTTTTGGCGTTTTTAAGTTTTTGACATAATTTGGAAATGCCTGTTGCCCTTTACATTGTGTATGAATTTCATGATGAATGGACCAAAAGAAACGGCCAAAAATGACTTCGGGGGGAAAAAACTTTTAAAAGAAAAGGTTTTTTTCTTCTCCTGTAAAGTCGTCATTTCGGAGATACAAGGTTTTGTTCCAACAACAGCGAGATATATATGTGTGCGTATGTATATATATGTTGTGCGTTGCCAGTGTTTGCCTTCATTTTTTTTTGTGTTTCAGTGATCACTCACAAAAGTAATGCTTGTGCAATTCTATTTGACTGTCGGTTTAGTTTGGATAATGGACTACAGCCTATATAGGCTTTCTCTCTAATTGATTTCATGACGTTAAGGTTCTGTAGCTCAGTTCAATAGAAATCTAGTTTTTGCCCCCTATACAGAAGGACCATGGATGGGGAAAAGAAATGCTTCAGTCCCTCATACTTCTCTTTCCTTCCATTTCTCTCTTTTTTTCACTTTCTCTGTGCCTCTCTCTGACAAATATTTTCCAATCCATGTTTAATCTTCTTTTTATAGGACTTCTTTTACAGTTATTGCTCCTCACTTCTCTTGTCCTCAATCGACCATAATTCCTCTCAGCATCATAAACCCGTCCAGATCTGTGACGTTTTATATCAGCTTCAGCAGACAGCCCTCTCACAGCCCACTATATTGCACATAAACTTTCCTCTTCTCTCTCTCTCTCTCTCTCTCTCTCTCTCTGACTCTCTCTCTCTGACTCTCTCTCTCTCTCTCTCTCTGACTCTGTAGCTGATTGGTGAGCTGCTGAGGGCAGGAGAGTCGCTCAGCCTTTGTGTTTGTGTGGAGAGTGGACATGGAGGTCAGTGGCTGGCTCGCGTCCGGCAGGCGGTCACCCAGGGCCTGGTGCCCGACGTCAGCCTGGTGCCAGTTGGAATCTCATATGACTGTCCACCACAGCAGGACACACTGCCTGAGGTACTGCAAACTCCAAGAAGTACTTAAGAATCAATGGTATTTAATAGTAGCATTTATTCAGAATTGGTCTTACTTTCCTTGTAAGATCACTTGGTCTTGGTAGTAGCTCACACAGAGACAAACACAGTGATCAGTAATTAAATAAGTTGATGAATAATTATTAAGTGTACATGTTTGGGCACCCCTGGCCAAATTACGTATTTTTTTGAAGTGAGAAGTCCCTCTGCAGCAGACTGTTTTTAAAAAATAGCACTTTCTATGAATGTTGATGCCTAAGCAGCTGGCTGAGGAACTGACAATTAATTTAATCTGAAAACAATTAATGCCTACAAAGCAGCGTTAGGCAATAAAAAGATATCAAAGTTTCCACTGTTTGAAATGTCATTAAGAAGTTAAGGGGAACTGTGGAAGTGACCTGGAAGACCATCAAAACTGAGACAGAACTGCTCATATGCTGCCTGGAAATGCAAAGCAAAACCCCCATATGACAAAGGACCTGCAGGAAGGTTTAGCTAACACTATGGTGGTGTACCGATCTACTGTACAGCATTGGGTTGCTTGTACAAACATAATCTGCACGGAAAAGTGATCAGAAGGAAGCTTCATCTGTGACTTTAAAGTCAATGTCTGAGGAATACAAAACATCTAGATAGATGCATTTTGGAAACACGTGCTGGGCTGATGGAGTCAAACTAAAACCCTCTGGCTACAATCACCAAAGGTATGTTTGGAGAAAAAGGGAACAGCATTTGATGAAAAGAACGCCTTGTCGAGTGTTGAGTATGGGCGTGGATCTATTATGCTTTGTTGTGGAAATTTTTAGTGGAGAGGAAATTAATTCTACAGAAAGATAACAACCCCAAGCACACTGTTGAGAAGATCAGGATGTACTTATCAAACAAAGAACTTAGTGGTCTTCACCTATAATCAGAACATGGGATTTGAACCAGTTGAACACTGTAATGTGAATGGAGCCTGATGCACTCAGCTCAGTTCAGGAAGGGGTTGGTCATTTCGTGACTGCAGAGGTTTAAAATAGGAATGTTTTGTTCCAATCATGGCAGTGATTTGGTTGCTGTTTGGCTTGACACTCCTCAGTTGTGCTCAGCAGAAATGAACTCAGGATGCACGGCCTCGGGAATGTTCTTCTGCTCATCAGAGCAAACAATCGCAAATACCTTTTACGCAAACCCCACGTTTCCCAAATAGCTGTTGTTTTGACCTCTCATTGTGAAATGTGTCGGAACATCAGTAACAACAGCAAAATAATCATCATCTGCTGGACAAACGGAGAGAGACACTGAGTTTATTTCAGCTGTCAGTGCTACAGTATGATCTGTGCTGTTCTGCTGATATTTCAGTAAGTCATACATAATTAATTCCTAAATAAAGAATGGTCAGGACTGCAAATGTGCCATTCCGTGAGCATGTGGAAATGAGGCTTCTTGGTATTCCTGTTTTTCAGGGAGAGAGAGAGAGACAGACAGAATCTAAAACTGTCCTAATGTTCCTCTCTAATAGTTGTCAGTTATTATGATGATTAGAGTGGCTAATTTCTCCACTAATGGCCGTTCACCATTAGAGCCTTATGAAGATGAGAACTGTTTTCTCTGTTCTGAGACTGACTCACTGTGTGTGTGTGTGTGTGTGTGTGTGTGTGTGTGTGTGTGTGTCCGTCCAGGCAAGCGTGCGGTCTGTTCTGCGGTTTGTGTTCTCCCTTCTGAGTGGTGATCACAGAGGAGGTGTGAGGATCCATTTTGCTCAGCCTTTCTCTCTGACGGTATGACTCACACACACACACACACACACACACACACACACACACACACACACACACAGCAGCTGGAGTTCAGGTGTAAGGCATGTGGAAGACCACTTGAGTCAAAATAAGAAAAAAAAAGTTTGGTCAAAGTGGCAACTTTGTTTGCTCACTTGGTCTCTCACACTCGCTCTCCTTCTGTCTCTCTCTTTCTTTATGTCTTTCTTTTGTGCTCTTTTCTTTGTCTCTCCTTCTCTCTTATGTTTTGTCTTTCTGTTTCTCTGCCTTTATCTCTCTTTGTTTTCCTGCTTAATCTTTTCTTTCTTACCCTCTCTGCCTCCATCTGTCTTTCTCTTTCTTAATCTGTTTCTTACCTTTCTTCTGTGTCTCTGTCTTTCTTTCTGTCTATCTATTTCTCTCCCTCTCATGCTCTCTTTGTCTTCCTTTTGTCTCCCTCATCATCTGTCTATTTATGTATCTCTTTGTCTTTCTTCTTCGCTATCTCTGATCGTTTCTCTCTCTCTCACACACACTGTCTCTCTCTCTCTTTCTCTCTCTCTCTCTCTCTTTCATTCTTAATTGGTCTCTTTCTCTCATTTGTTTATCTTCATTTGTTAGTTTATTCTTTACATTCTCTAACATTGTTTATCTCTCTTTTTCCTGTCTTCTCTTGTTCTCTCACTCTTTCTCACTCTGTATTCCTGCCTTTTCTTTATTACAATATTTGTGTGTGTATCTGTGTCTCTCCCTCTCTCTCTCTCCCTCTTTATGTGTCGCTGTCCAAAGAAAAACTTTATAGGAAAAAACACTCTTACCTTTCAATGTAAGTTAATGTAAAGACATTTTATTCCCGGTGATTTTAGAGCATTTCTATTGGTTCATTCATCATGAACCTATCTATCTATACATCCATCCATCCATCTATCTGTCTTTGACACTCTCTCCATTTCTCTCCACCTGGGAATAGGAGATGTGTGACAGTGGGAAATGTCGTGTGGATGGACGGTGCCCCCTGCAGGAGCTTCTGTTACCTGTCATCCAGCACAACAGGTTTACATTCTGATCAGCCCAGTATCTCTCTCTCTCTGCCTGTCTGCCTCTCTCTCTCTCCCCCTCTCTCTCTCTCCCTTTCTCTTCTACATCCAAATTGACAGTTTATTACATTATAATGTCCTTTGTCTACACTCACTATTTTATTATATGGTCGACTATGGTAGACGAGCTACAGTCTCTAACTGAACACCTACAAGGTGGAACAAGCAAGGGGTTTCTGATAAAGTGGCCAATGCGTGACCACAGCAACACTGACACACTCATACCAGCGCCACATGCTCTACCATGTCAGGGACACTGCTGTGCAGCGAATTAACTACCACCCAAATAATATCTGGTCAACAGCGGTCCTGCTTGTCCTTTACCACTGACAGACAAGGTAAAGCTAATAAATTGTGCAGCAACCGAGGGACTACACTCTCTCTTTCTCTCACTCCCTTATCCTCTCTTTGACTATCCTCTTTTTGCCCAACTCTCATCTGTCCCTGTCCTTGCATGCATGCATCCACCCATCTATCCTCTGCGCAGTTAACTGTCCATCAAATTTATTTCTATGTCCTCTATCTATCTATCTGTCTGTCTGTCTGTCTGTCTGTCTTTCTGTCACGCTCTGTAGATCTCCACATCTCTCTTCTCTTACTATCTCATCTCATATTTAAGGCATCCAGCCACAAACATTTCAACTCTTCTTCCCAAGCTGCTTGTATGACTTGAGTCGATGGCAGACTGTATAATGATAAAATATAGAAATTAGGTACCTAGTTTGTTTCCAAGAGTCCAATTTGTTTAAGGTTGCAACTTCACAGTTAGTGAGATACATAAATAATATCTAATTTAAAGATACCTAGAATTTGGTATTTGGTAGTCCAGATCCTGTAGTTGCTGAAAGATGCAAAGACAGTGTTTATAAGTTTTCAGTACTTTGTAATGAGCACTAGAGGTGGCAGAAGTGCACAAGATGCACTTAAAGTAAAAAAAGTAAAAGTATTTACTTATGATGCATTTCTAGTTCAAATATTGAAAGAAGGTGTTCTTTTTTGAGTGGTAATTAGATGCACACAACCATGACATTGAGTGAAAATAATTGTTTATGGTAGACCTGCATGCATCATCTGCAAAGTTGTACAAACAACAATTTTTCTTGTTGTTGTTTTTTATTTATTTATTTTCTTAATAGAGCATATGCCAGGAATTGTTTTTGAACCAGTAGTTCTTGGAAGTAATGCAGTTTATGAGGATTTTTTCCGATGTGTTTGCACCTTCCGGAATGCACACTGTCTTACCACTATCTCTTCGGATTCTGTGATCCACCTCATCTGCTGCTTCTCTTTACATTGTTCTTTGGTAGCTGTGAAAACAGCCAATCACAGGTGACCTGTAAAAATGTGAAAACCCCATTCTGGTGACATATCCAGTAGGATTTCAAATTGCTAACAATTTAGTGCTGTATAAGGTGCCTGAACAGAAGTTGTCTGTAAGATAAATAAAAATGTAGAGTAACGAGTCTGGTTTGAAAATCTAGTGAGTAAAAAGTATTTTTCTTTTGAAATATAATGAAAAGTAAACGTATTACATGACAGAAATACTCAAGAAAAGTATTGATGGGTAAAAAAAATGTATACTAAGTCAGTATCAAAGTACTTATGCTTTGTTACCTCCCACCCCTGATGAGCACAAATTATGATGGGTGAATGAATGTTCCTGAAAGTTGTCCCTCAGCAGTCCGTGGTTGCTTGGCAACAATAGCATACTCCAGGGCCCATGTCCAAAAAGCTCCTTAGAGTAGAATTGCTGATTTAGGATTCCTCTCTTGTTTACTTTCACTTTACTGACTGAAGCAGATTCTAGATCAGCGCCCCTAATCTGAGATGCTGTGTGAATACAGGCCCTGAACTACATCTTGGTGGAAGAATTAGTTATTGTGAATATTATTGATTATAACATGGTCAATAATATATTTAGAATAATATATAACATTTAAACATATGGTGATGCTTTTATGCCTTTTTATAAAAGAGGCCATGTCTTCTAGTGACTCTATATTGCGTCATGCCATACCTGTAATAAAGTCACAGTAACACACGTCCTCTTATAGCTTATTGCCTTATCATAAACTAGCATTCATTCAGTTTACTCAGTATGTCTTTTAGGAAAAAACAAAATAATTAAACAATGAAAATAAATATACTGTACTGTACTATACTCTGTTTACACTTTTGTCAACTCTGGTGAAATGATGAACTATGGTGTTGTAGATATGAGCATCATATTAGGATCATTTACATTTAGAGTATTAGAATCATGCATGTATTTACAGTAAAAATAAAAAAAACCTTTATATTACTGAACTGAACTTTTGAACATTTTCTCATATTTCACACTTATTAACTTGACACATTTTACATATTTAACTCTGCCTCGCATTCTCCGTCTCTTCAGCATGTAGTCACTGGCTGAAATCTCTGAATCTCTGGCTCACTCACGCATCAGACTGTCAGAGCATTATGTGTTTGTTTGCTCTGCGCAAGAATATAGATGCGCTTGACTCTTTTGGAGCGCGATCTTCTCCCGTAGGAGCAGCTGTCAATCAGCCGCACAGCTCTGGCCTGTGTTCAGTGGGGATGGCAGAAGAAAAGGTTGCAGGCCTTCACTACTTCTCATTTTTCTCTATTTTGCGACTGTACAGTTATCTGTGTGTGCGCATGTGAGAATTACTGCTGAGCTTTCACAGTGTGCGGAAAGCATTTAGGAAACCTCAGCGTTTTTTATTCAAACGGTTGGTGGTACCGCATTGTTATTAATTAATGTTTTAGGATCTTTCACTCTGCCGAGGGACTAAAGCCTTTGACAGAAACACAACTGCTATTCAATAGAAGCTGTAGAGAGTGGAGATGCATACATATCATTTTGTGTGTGTGTGTGTGTGTTTGTGTGTGTGTGTTTGTGTTTCCTAATCTGCCTTTTCAGGAGCAGCAAAATGGTTACGCTCTGTTTCATTTTTTAAAATGAAAAGAAAATTATTACACACGCTTCCCCAGGTAAACAATGCATGCGTACCCCACTGTCCACGTGATATAAAGGAAAATGGGACTCATCGGACCAGACAACCTTTTTCCATTGCTCCAGTGTCCGTTTCCAACACTCAAATTCCCATTGTAGTACTTGCAACTTTGGATAGAGGTTAGCCTGGACACTGACCATTCTGTAGCTTCGCACCTTCATACGCAGCGAATGTTTCACCCCAGTCATCTGGCCATAACATTTTCGAACTTGTCAAACTCTCAGGTCTTCACCTGTGCCCATTTCTCCTGTATCCAACACATCAGCCATGAAAACCAGTTGTTCGCTTATGCCAGACCTTCACGGGTGCCATAATAAGAGATTAGACAGAAGATAATTCACTTGCATAAGGAAGGGGCAAATAAATAAAACATTAAATTAAAAAGATCATTTTCAGAGGAGATAGGACTACTAATCTACCTGGTAGATCACCACAACTGCCACCATCAGATAAACAGTTCTTACAGCTCTCATCCTTGAGAGAGAGGAGAAAATCAAGCTCCACTCTTGATTCTGATCTGAAAAAATCCTTACACTGTGAGAAGACGGTTCAGTGCTGTGAGCCTGAAAGGATGTGTAGCTGTCAAGAAGCTCTTACTTGGACTTCTCAGAAGTCCCGACTTCAACATCAGTGAGTGTGTTGTGGATTTTTCGAAATGTGAGAAGCAGAAAATGCAACCAACTTCTAAGACTGAACTTTAGAGGATGTGAAAAAATATCCCTACAGGTTTCTCTGAGAAACTGAAAGTGAGTCTCCTGAAAAGAATGGAAGCTGTAATAAAGGTAAAGAGTGACGCACTGAATGCTGAAAAAACTTATAATACACTTTAGGCTTCTGTGTACTTTTCTGCTGAACTGAATGAATAACTTGTACTTAATGGCCGTTTGACTGGAAACTAAATAAATGAAAGGTGGTATGTAAATTGTGCAGAGTACTTTGTGTGCTTACATATATATAATACACCTCACAGCCTGACATGGTATAAAGTAAACATGTATGTCTCACACATTTCAGCAACATGACTGTTGTATTTAAAAGCCTGTAACATGCATCAGTAGTGTGCTGTAGCTTGCCTTCATTTTCTTTCCTTCTGTCCCTCAGGATGGACTCTATATTTGGGCAGAAGGACGTATCTTGGCTGTTGCCCCCAACCTACCTGCCAGAATTGCCACATGCTGAGAGGGAAATGACCATCGCTTTGACACTGCACCTTATCCACTGTGAGACACACACACACACACACACACACACACACACACATACACACAAGGCGTCACTGATGCATTATTTGTGTGATTGTTTATTTCTCTCACAGCGGTCACCAGCAGCATGGCTGTGATGTCCACTGGTATAGTGTCCTGTCTGATTCTGCACAAGCATCGCAGGGTGGGTGAGCTCTGCTGTTTGGCATTACAAAGTCTGATTCCTCTGAATGGCTCTGCTACACATTGTCTCTATGATGGATTGGTATTGTTCTACATTAGTCTCTATAACTTTCGTATTTGGTGGTTTGTTTTATTTATTTATTTATTTATTTATTGACAGAGTGTAAAAAAGGTCCATAAAACCTACAAGCCTCCATTTGTAGTTGAACAATATAAATCTCTCTACTCATTTTCTCTCTGCTTCTGCGTTCCTGTTTCTCTTTCATTCCCTCTGTCTGTTCTCCCTTTCCTCTATCTGTCTCTCTGTATCTACACTTTATGGCCGAAAAGTATATGGACACCCTTGTAATTCATGGGTTTGACCCATTGCAATCAGGTACATAGAATCAAGCATACAGTCATTCAGTCTTTATAAACACACAGTGGAGATGAAATGGGTCACAGGAAAGAGTTCAGTGACGCTGTCATAGGATGAAACCTTTCCATTGAGTCAGTTTGATTTCTGCTAGAGCTGCCCCGGTCGACTGGAAGTTATTGTAAGCTGGTATTGTAAAGTGAAAATGTATACGAGCAACAACAGCTCAGCCATAGACCACAATCTGACAGTTACAGCCAACACCAGCTTTACCTAATAAGTGACTTTAGCAGCTGCTTAAGGCCTCACAGCCACCAGGGGGCTCCTAACAACTTCTAGGTTATTACTTTACCATTATGTTGTCTACGATGCTGATAGGGAAAAAGCAACTGACTAATCAACGTAGAAAAAATTGAATAAACTCAGTAATGGAAATAAAAAAGACAAAGATTAAAAGTATGTTTTGGTTTTGTGTTGTTACTGTTATGCATCTTATGTCCATTTATTGAAGTAACGTTTTACCATCTTTGCTGTGTACTAGTATAGACTAAAAAACATAATATAAACGAAAACACTGACTAATTTTGCTCTGCTTTAAGATTTAGCTCAGTTGTACATCTCTGGCTGTAAAAAGTGGAAAAGTTTCTTGTAAAATGTCTCTCAACATTTAACTTTTTACGAGGCTGAAGCCAGCTTCTCATTCACCAGCTTCTTGGTCACATTGTCCAGTTCCACCTTAAATGGTGCCTGAAGTGCCAGAATTTAACTGCTGTACCATGTGGAACAGGAAAATTTGACTTCAGCTTTTTGGTGTTTGACAGTTTCTTGCTGCAGATTAAATGTATCAGCAAACCAGCTGGAGTGCTTATAAATGCAAATACGTCCATTTGTCTCCTAAAATTATAGATGTTCGTCTTAAATATTTTCCTTTGCTCTTTCTACTAGTAGCTAGACGGGGCTGTTTTCTGTGTTGCTATGGTGACCAGCAGTCTGTGCGCCAACCTTCAGGGTTGACTACATTAACTCCAGCGTTTAAGACCATTTATTCCTAAAACTGTGTTTGATCGATCGGCAGAGCTTCATTTTACAGCAGTGGAGGATTATTTTATTATTACCTACAACCTAATTCTACTGTGAAGCCGCAACAGCGCAGTAAAAGAGCCGCATGTTGTCGACCCCTGGCTTAGTTTCAATGAAAGAAAATGTTAATTTCAATTCTGCAGAATCATGTGCTTCAGACTTTGCAGCAGCCATTAGGGGAAGGCCTTTTCAGCATATTGAAACCCCTATGCACACAGGAAGCTCCACAGTTTGTTATTGTTGGAACTTGACTTGCATTCATAGAGCCTGGACCCATTCCACACCTTTGAGACAAGACGGAACGCCGACTGTTGGCAAGGCCTTACCACCCAGCATCCTTTCGTGCATTTGGAACAGCTCCCAAGTTTGGCATAAGCCAGAGATAAAGTTAAGCAGTGATCAGTCACAATTACACCATAAATGATGAGAGGGATGTAGAGGGATACAGAACGTAACTGCTGTACCATTTAAGGAGGAACAGAAACCATTCCAGCCTGACTGGATCAGGCTTCAAGGTTACGAAGGTGGGTCAAGTTCAGTTTAAGCTTAAGTTTCTATACCCATGCAGACTTCTAGTGTCCATATACTTTTGGAAATGCAGTCTTTTTATCCATGTAAATTCCTGTGTGCTTTCCCTCCTCAGTTTATCTCTGTGACTGTCTGTGTTTCTGCTCTGTCTGTCTGTCTGTCTGTCTTGAAAACCTCTAAACTAATTCAGTAAGCTTTATTAGCTTGATCGTATTTACTTACAGAATTCCCAAAGCATCATCGCAATAAGAAAAGTGAACATTAAGAGATTTAAAAAGTCTCAGTTTCAATTATGAAAAAGGAGCTAAGGAGCTTTAAACGATCAAATTATTACGTTTTTTAATGTTCTCTCTCAATCTTCCTCTGTTTGTCTCTCCCCTTCCTCTCTCTCTCTCTCTCTCTCTCTCTCTCTCTCTCTCTCTCTCTCAAATTGCTGTCTCTCACCCCTCATTCTCTCTCTCCCCTCTTTCCCCTCTCCTTCCCCCTCTTTTTTCTCTCTCTCTGTCATACCTCTCACTCTTTTGCTTCCCTTCCTCTCTCTGTCTCTCTCACTGCCCTCTCTCTCTCTCTCTCTCTCTCTCTCTCTCTCTCTTTCTCTCTCTTTCTCTTTCTCTGTCTCTCTCTCTCAGGGTGTGCGTCTCTCTATGTTGTGTAAAGATGTGTGTTGGCTTCTGGAGGAGGTCTTGTTCAGGAACTTTGATGTAGGTTTTGGGGGCAGTTTGGTGGAGGTGGTGTATTTCTCACTCTCTCTCCTGCGCCCCCACCTGCTGCTGGCCGCAGCGCCACCTGCAGGAGACCCTGTGCTGACGGCCCGGCCGGAACCGAACGCCCTGCTTGCGCTCTGCCAGCAGTGCGAGCTGCTCACACAGGTCTTCGTCCACGAGGCAGTGGGAGGTGAGGGGCTGTGCGACAGGGTTGATGAGCTGTGTTAATTGTGGAAAAAGTCAACATTCCAATGTGTCATTTACTTAACAACAGTGGTGCTCTATGGTTCTCTCTACAGCTGTGTATCACTCATTTACTTCACACTGTCGTTCTTGAAGATGCTTAAAGATTTGCAATATGACCATGGACCTTTTTCCTATACCCGAATAGTGATTTCAGTATTTAAATACTGGCTCTACAAGCAGTTACCTGAGCACTCGTGCACATCCTTAGTTACTGAGGATAAAAACAGAGGTAGACGAACCGAGTAGCTGCAGTAATACACAGCTCAGCGCCCCTATTACAAGACTGTGTGTGTGTGTGTGTGTGTGTGTGTGTGTGTGTGTGTATCTGTAGCGTGTGCAGTCTCTGCCATGCTGAGAGAGGTTGCAGGTTGCGGAGGAGGAGGAGAGATGGAGTTTGATGTTGCTCTGGGTCAAGAGGAACTGACTGAGAAAAGCCTGCAGCTCACACACCTACTGCCTGTGGGATTAATACCAGTGAGAAACACACACGCACACACAGAGTGAGGAGCTTCACCCGCTGACACAGTTACACACATACGCTCAGTACATCACAATTGTGTTCTGATCACTCACAGTCTTTACCTTCACTGCCATCATACATCCGAATACCTCTTTCTCTTTTTTCTCTCTCTCACTCTTTCTCGTTCAGTTGCTCTTTCTCACTCTCTCTCTCTTTCTCTCTCTGTCTCATAAAGAAGAAACAACAGGAATGGACATCAAGAAATGAGACTCACTGAAGGCGGCCGGTCTGTACGGCCAGGCTGCGTTCAGTGAATCTGTGCTGTGATGTTTCTATAGCGGCCGGTCTGTACGGCCAGGCTGCGTTCAGTGAATCTGTGCTGTGATGTTTCTATAGCGGCCGGTCTGTACGGCCAGGCTGCGTTCAGTGAGTCTGTGATGTTTCTATAGCGGCCGGTCTGTACGGCCAGGCTGCGTTCAGTGAGTCTGTGATGTTTCTATAGCGGCCGGTCTGTACGGCCAGGCTGCGTTCAGTGAGTCTCTACCTTGTCAGCAGGGTTCTGTTTAACATCAGTCACTGTGCTCAGGCCAGATAGCGCTGCATTTTGCTGTGTGTGTGTCTGTGTGTTTAGTGGGTGATGTGGTTTTGTTTTTGAACTGTTATAATTTGGTTTGGTCTGATTGAGGGAACTCTTTTCTCTCTTTCTCCCTCTCTCTCTCTCTCTCACACACACACACACACACACTCACTCACTCACACACACACACACACACTCTCTCCCTTTCTCTTTCACTCACACTCTCTCTCTCTCTCTCTCTCTCTCTCTCTCTCTCTCTCTCTCTCTCTCTCTCTGTGTGTGTGTGTTGAAGGGTTCTTCACCGTCAGGGTCAGAATGTTATTACAGATGGTGAATTTTACTCACACATCAGTAAATAAACACTTAATTCAGCTCTGAACATCAACGAGAACAAAACCAACAAATACAGTATACACATACAATACACATATACAGTATATAACACATACAGTATACAGCATACACATTGATATACTCATACAGTATACACATACAATACACATATACAGTATATAACATACAGTACACACATACAATATACATATGCAGTATATACATTCAATATACAAAATATCATACATACTGTAAAACACAGTATATACATGCAATATACAACAGAATACAGACAGCTGGACTCATTTTCTGCTAATATCTCTGATCTCTCTGTCTCCATTCTCTTTCTCTACCTCTTTCCTTTTTTCTCTTTCTCTGTTTTTCATTCATTTTGTCTCTCTCTATATATTTCTCTCTCTCTCTTTCTCTTTGGTTCTTTCTCTTCCTTTCTTTCTGCCTTTATTCTGTCTCTCTCTTGCTTCCTTTTTCTTTTACTCTTTCTTTGTTTGTGTGTGTGTCTCTCTCTCTCTCTCTATGTAACCTCCCATCCCCCCTTTAGCCGTGTCAGACAGCTCATAGCTTTGCTCTGGATGCGGTGGACAGTATGGTGCGCTGTGGAATTCTCATCATGGAGGAGGTCAGATATAAATCACACACAAACCACAAACACACACACACACACACACACACACACACACACACACACACACACACAAGCCCATTTAAGCCCTAGCAGTTACAGTAAGCCTTCAATAACAAAACTATGGTGCCCTTTTACATGAATTCTTTCTCACTTGCATCTCATTGAACCACATAGATTTTGTGGCAAGTGTGAGATTCTCAGTCTTTTCAGTGTGTTGTGTTTTGCGAAATGAAAAATTGTCCCAATTTTGTCTTTTTCATTTGAAACATATTGAAAAAATTCAGAAGTGCAGGCTCAAATCTACTGATACCTGTAACATAAATCAAATGTAAATGTTATTCATTATGTAACTAACTTTGCAATAAATTATGCAATTAAAGACTTTAATATATACAACATAGAAAATTGACATGAATAGATGTAGACTTCTAAGGGTTAAAGTCCAGCTTGTGAAAATCCAGACAGCTCAGTCTCACTACACTACAGCACTGCAGAACAGCAGCAGCAGCACTAAATCTGCCGCTCTACACTGCAGTAGTGTCCACTGGAGTCTCTGCAGGAGGCACTGTACACAGTCACAAACCACATCTTTGCTTTTAGTGCTAGAATAAAACTGAGAGACTGTTTAGCCGCATTACGTTCAGAGATTCACTTTAACATGAGTGAATCAGAGCAAGGTGTTCACAGGTGCCACAGGCAACTCCGGTGTGTGATTACTGGAGGAGGCAGGGTGTGTTATCATGGACTGCTACAGACGACCCTGACCAGAGCAGTGACTCAGACTGTGAGGAACAGGACAAACGCTCATACAAGGTACACACACACATACACACCTACTCAGTGTTTCCCACAGATTTGATTTTACTAGACTATGGAGGTGTCGGTTACATACAAAATTCATAACACTTTTTTTTTTTTTTTAATTTACGGGCTTAATTTGTGCCGCCTTGTATTTTTCTCCTGTAAAACTATATACTGTCACATAAATGTACGTTTAATGGATGGTCTGAGCTGCTGCCTCCATCAATATTTACCTGACATCTTTGTTAGCGCTGTTAAAGATGATGATTTAGATCCGTGTTTATGACTGACAGAAGAGCTATTATTGCTGGCAATAGAATTTAAGCAGGTGTCAGAATGAAGACACTGGCTAGACTCATTTTTACTCAGCTATCAAATGCTCATATGACCAAAATGCACTTCTCTAAGATAGTCATTTCTTCTGACTTGTTGTTAGTAAGTTTTAAGCTAGTTTAGGGACACCAAGCACATCTCTGTAAATTTACACACATCAATGTGCCTGAGCTATAGGGGTGCAACAGTACAGTAGGCTCATGGTTCAATATGTATCACGGTTTTTGGGCCACAGTAACAGTACGGTTTTGATATCTTATAAAAAACACATCAAACAATGATCTCTTTATTTTACTTATAGACAAATGAAACATTCTATTTAGAAAAATAGCAGCATGACTGACTAGGCCTGGTTTCTGTCTCGACTGTATGAAATCAAAAAGGGAGAAAAACATTAAAAATAAAAGCGCTTCTTAGCTTTGAAAACCTGTAGGAGCTCTGCCTTTTCCATTTTAAATGATTAAAGAGAGCTCTTCATGATGTTTCATAGAGTTCAGGAATTACTTTGCTGCTAAAATGTGTGCGGGGGGGACGTTGTATAGGCCACCGCACACCGGACGCGCCACATAACCAGGTACAAATTAATTTGTACACACTACTCGTATAAATTGAATGAAATAAGGCATTCAGCATCATTTATCACGCTTGGCATACATTTACTACCTCATCACAAACTGGCTGTTTTGGAGCTGAAAGATGCCAGCTGAAAAAGGCTAGAATAGAAACATTAGCTGAGGTAACTTAGCATGAGCATTTGTTTGTTTACCTACAAGACTGGCTGGTGAAGTCACGAGCACCACTGCACTCCGACTCTACCAGCGCCGGTGTGTGTACCTTCATTAAAAACAAAGGTAAACCTAAAAGTTTAGAAATTATCCTGTAATTGTTTAACATTATACCGTCTCCTTCTTTTACAAGAGGGACAATAGCAGATTTCCAGATCAGTATAATGTAATTTCAGAAAGATATTAATTAGTTTTAGATTTTTTATTGCAGCTATGCACTTATTTCGTAATTGTCTAAAAATCAGTCAGTCTGATTTATGACCAGTGCGTCTTGTATTTGCCCAAGCCAAATCACAGACATGTAGAAGACTAACTAGGTCCGATTCGACTATGGATTTTCACAACCTTTAACTCTATATTTTTAAAGTGTGCATGTCTATTAACAATTTCATTAAAACTATCATAATGTTTTTGAGTTTTCAACATCAGGGATAAAATAAATCCTCTCCTAATCAAATTGGAGTAAGTCATGTGTAAAAGTTTGCTCAACAAAGCACTTCAAATTCCGTCTAACCACGATGTGTATTTATATTTCTGTACTTTTTGTAATGGTCACTAATACCGTTACAAAAACTGAAGCAGTTGTATATTTAAATTTGTAAGTATTAAATCAGTTAACAATGACTTATTAGGACACTTTGTTTGGCGTAGTACAGCTGTACTAGCTGAAAAAGGTTGAAAGAATCACAAAATGCTTTAAAACCGTCAGACACTGGCTGTAACCAATTCTGGTCTCCAATTAAAATAATTTTATTGTATTTTATAGAAGACAGTAGTTGTGTTAAAGAAGAAACAGCATCACAATGAGCTGTGCGAGTTCTATAACAACCAACAGTTGAGACTGAAGAGAATTAGAGATCACTGATTCCAGAGCCTTCCACAGCCTACTAATAGACCTAGCATTGTAACATGTTTACCTGATACCTACTTTTAATATAAATTACAATGCCTCCACCCCTTTTTGGCTGTCTGATCAGTCCTAAATAAATTACATCCCTCAATATGAACTCATTTATTAAACCATGACTCTGAAAAAATCAGAACCTCAGCATCAGTATTTTTTTCGAATCCATTTTGGGAAGCAGACCACGAACATTTAAGTGAAATATACCCACGCCAGCTGTTTTTAAAATCCGCCAGAGTATTAAAAATGAAAAAACTGGCAGTAGATGGACCAAGATTTGGTAGCTCATTCCCAGCAGCATAGGAATAATTAAACATCTCTTATTAGCTGCCTTAACAGGGAGATCATATTTCTTATTCTTCTTACCAGCCATGGTACAATTTTGAAAACAATTTATAGACAGTGCTATAAAATAATCCTGCAGAACTGATTCACACATCAGTGGAATCAAATTTCCAAGGCATAACCTTAAGATTAAAGACGATGATTTTTCCTGTACCACAAAAATATTTGCACACATCCTCTGAAACTGTGCTTCAAAGAGAGGAGTAGGCAGCATCCCTCTGACCAGTGAACATAAAACGACGAGGAAAAAGTACATCATAAACAAAAGCCCAAATCCCAGTTCAAATAAGGGCACTTTCAGACCAAGACTCATCTAGTGCTCTTCAAACAAAGGCTCACTCAGACAAAAGTTCTCCCACGATATTTTGCAAAGCACTTCTAACAAAGTTTCACAAAGCACATCAAAACAGGCTCTCTCAGCGGTTCTCCAACTAGTGGCTCTCAGAGTCGTTCTCAAAACTTAGATCTGGTGCTGAGACTTGCAGAGTTCCTTCCCAAACACAAACCCAGCATGCAGGCCGAAGGTTCACAGAGGTACCCTCTAAACATGGTCTCGCACAGCTCCTCTCCAAATGCAAACCCAGTGTTTTGTCTTTTCCTAGTCAGAACATTTAGGCCCAATCCCATTTCACCCCTCGCCCCTACCACTTAGCCCTTAGCCCTCTGTTTCGCGCATTCACGTCTAGGGGTAGGGTGTCCCGATTCTTGTTGAGATGGAGGGCAACGTTTTAGGGCTACACGGCCCTCCAAACGGAAGTTTTTCAGAAACAAACTCCAGTGTTACGTGTTATGAGAAAAAAGAGAAAAAACGGTAAGATGGCGGCACGAGCGACCAAAGAAACCCACAAATGTGAGAATTTTCTCCATTTAAAAATTACAATTACCATGGTATTATCTTAGTTTAATGTCGTTTCAGTGTTTTATGGTCCTTTTCTTCATAACAAGCATAAAAATCGCTAGTAGTATGCTCATTCCGTCTTAAATGGCGCAGCAGTTACATTCTGGTGCCTCAGTCTTCAGAACTGCTGCACCATTTAAGGTGGAACTGGAAATTCGAACAAGAAGCTGGTGAATATCTGACTTCAGCTTCATATCACTGAAGAATTAGAGGTGGGTGATAATAAATAATTGTCCCCCTCTTTGAAAGCATATGATGTCCTAAACGTAACTTAAAGCCCAGCAGTGAGGAGCTGAACTTAACCCTCCTCTGCTGTCACTGCAGACTGGCCTACAGAGCAGCGCTAGTAGCTGTTAATGGAGTAATGTTCTATTTATTTTAGGGTCCCATTTTGTAGGGGAAGATTTCAACCACTACCCCTCATAACTCAGTTCCAAGTAGCAAGAAGACACTTGAAAACAAGGGGTAGGGGTAAAAATAAGAAATGTGACTGGGCCTTAGAACCTGAAAATGTATGTAAACAAAACATGCACACCTGCAGGGTAAACGGGTCTTTAGAGTCACAAACACACACACGCACAAAGGTAAACAAACACATACAAATGCAGGTAAACAAACATGCACACTTTCTGCATAGGTAAAATATTAAAATATTTTTTGCCCTATTCTCCGGCTCTCACTTTCCCTGTTCTCTTTCTCCATTCTCTCTTTCTCTCTTTCTCTCTCTCTCTCTGTCTGTAGTTGAGTCAGCCAGCTCAGTGTCCTGAGCTGCTCTTCTTCCTCTGCAGTTTACTGAGCGCCCAACTGAGGGTGCTGTGCTGGGCTATAGAAAGCCTACACCTACTGCCGTTACCACTCACAGGTTAGTTCTCTCTCACACACACACACACACACACACACACACAAAATCACAAGCGAGGGCCAAAAGACATATGCAATAGAACTGTACAAAAACTGTACTGTTTCCAAAGAAGTTGGGACACAGTGCAAAATGTAAATGAAAACCAAATACAGCGAAGTGCAAATCATCTAAACCCTGAGTGTAATTAGAAAAAGTACAAAGACAGATATTGAAACTAAGAAATTTTATGGCTTTTTAAAAATATATGCCCGTTTTGAATTTGATGCCGGCAACATGTTTCAAAAAAGTTGGGACGGGGGCATGTTTACCACTGCATTGCACAGGATTGGGTAGTAATAGGATACATGTAACAGCTTTATGTAATAAGGATACCAGAAAAAAGTAACTGTAATTTATTACTCCCCAGCACCAGTTCACGGTCTTTTATTCAGCCAGTGAGCAGAACTTTTAGTAAGTATTTATTTTTATTGTCAGAACTGAGATCTGCAGCGTTTTCCAGAAGACATGTGAACTTGCTAGATTTTAATGCTGAAGAAAATTAACATTAACTATAGTTCCAAAATGTGAAAAGAAAGCAGTCTGTTTCAGTTTCACAGAAGTGATAACAATCTTTCTCCAGTAGTTTTCAAATGATAGGTGCAAAATGTTCATTTGTGTAAATGATCATTATTTGTAACTAATACAATCAGCTCCTACTTAGTTTTTGTGTAAAATTAATGCCTTTTTAAACTCATAGTACACATTCATGTCTTTGAACTGAAACCACTGAGAGCTGATTAGGGAGCAATCATTAAATTACGATCATTAAAGTTTTTAGAATGACCTCTCTTTATAATTATTGTTGTTGAGGGGTCTCAAAATAAATTGATCTTTTGACCTCAGTATGCTTAGTAATGACCTGGATCAATTTTCATTGGTTACTTTTTTCCCTGTGTTCCTTTTCAGTCTTGCTTTGTTTTCTTGTCAGTCAGGTTTTTTTTTTTCCTGAGAAACTCTACCTTGATTTCTGAACTTTGCCACCTTTTTCACTGCCCACAAGTGTACATGCACAAATTTGTCATCTTTAGGTTTGAAATATTTTCATATATTGCCCCACTAAAGTTTGGCTGTTTCACTAAATGTGAGATCAGTGACCGTTTATGCAAGGCGCAATATTTAAATCACCAATAATCATTCTGTTTCATGAAACACTGCAGCTTTTGAGTTTGCTTTGTGTTAAATTATTGATAGAAAAAACTTGAAATGATTTTTTCTGTTGTCTTTATTTAACTATACAAGTCTAAAAAGACAGATCAGATTACATTAATATAGTAAACCTTGGGATTAGGCCGCAATTACACTTTTTAACAGGTGATCACTGTAACGGAATACATTTTTAAATAACCCTCCCAACCCCGGTGTTGCATCATCTTACTCTGTAAGCGTTTGGGAACTGAGGAGACCGACTGCTGTATTTTTGAAAGTGAAATGTTCCCCATTCTTGTTTAATATAGGATTTCAGCTGCTCAACAGTTTGGGGTCTCCTTCGTTGTATTTTTCATTCATAATGCACCAAATGTTTACAGCGGTGACAGGTTGGGAATGCAGGCAGGTCCGTTTAGCACCCGGACTCTCTTACTATGAAGACTTGATGTTGTAATACGTGCAGAATGTGGTTTGGCATTGTCTTGCTGAAATAAGCAAGTCCTTCTCTGAAAAAGACGCCGTCTGGATGGCAGCGTATGTTGCTTCAAAACTTTATATATTGTTCAGCATTAATGGTGCCTTCACAGATGTGCAAGTCACCCATGCCATGTACACTAATGCCCCCCTACCATCACAGACGCTGACTTTTGAATTGTGCACTGAAAACAAGCCGGATGGTCCCTCTCCTCTTTAGCCTTGAGGGCACAATGTGCTTGATTTCCAAAAAGAATTTCAAATTTTGCCTCAGTCCATTTTAAATGAGCTCAGACCCAGAGAAGGCGGCTGTGTTTCTGGATCCTGTTTATATATGTTTTTTTCTTTGCATTGTAGAGTTTTAACTTGCATTTGTGGATGCAGCAATGAACCGTGTTCTTGGAAGCCCATGCAGCGATTTCCACTGAAGAATCATGTCTGTTTTTAATGCAGTGCCACCTAAGGGCCCGAAGATCAAAGCCAGCCAATACTGGTTTTTGGCCTTGTCCCTTACATACAGAGATTTCTCTGGATTCTCTGAATCTTTTAATGATATGTACTGTAGATGATGAAATCCTCAAGTTCTTTAATATTTTATATTGAGAAATTTTATTCCTGAATTTTTTTTTTTTGCCTGTGCAGTCTCTCACGGAGTGGTGAACCATCTTTACTTCTGAAAGACTCTCTGAGATGTTCTTTTATACCCAATCATGTTACTGACCTGTTGTCAGTTGTTGTTTAACAATTTTACCAGTCTTTTGTTGCCCCCATCCCAACTTTTTTGAAGCATGTTGTTGGCATCACATTTAAAATGGGTAAATATAAAAATAAATAAACTTTCTCAGTTCTAACATTCAATATGTTGTCTTTGTACTATTTTCAGTGAAATAGGTACAAATGATTTGCATTCATTGCATTCTGCTTTTATTTACACTTTGCACAGCATCCCAACTTTTGGAAACAGTGTTGTATTCCGCATTCTACTTTACTGTGGTTCTCACAAGTACATCAAAGTTCTCCTTAGATCATCACAATTTTTTAGCAGATACTATCAGCATGGCAATGTTTACATGGCTGCATGTTGCCATTGGCTGTGCTAAAAGAAGTGCTAAAATTAAAACATGAAACATGCTTTTTCCTTTTAGAGACACTTTTTTGCATGTAAACACAACATTAGCTAAGGCACCACAGTGTAACTGTTGTTCCGTTTAAGGTGGAATGGAAAATTTAAATAAGAAGCTAATTTCCTCAGTGTCACTGTGTCAGTTGTTTTGTTAATTAATTTTAACCAGTTAAATATTAGATACACACTTGTTATGTTTAATATTTAAAAATGTTTACCTCTGAATATGTAAATGAAGTGGGTCATTTTCTAATGACTTAGCTACAGTGAAGTGGGCTCGTTGGTGGTGGTCATCCTCACTATAGCAATGTCTTTGGTATGTAATGTTTGCTCCTTGGGTCCCTTCCTCAACCTGTAACCACCCACCCAAAATAAAAATTCTGGCTACGCAACTTGCAGATATGGACTACAGTCCACAGACGGACACTCTGTGAGTGAGAGTTATTCTATGCACAGATGTTGTTGTGTTTCTAAACGCATGTTTTCACTCCACTTCAATACATATTTTTGTGTTGGTAATTAGCTGCTGAGTTGAGGCAGGTGTGTTCGAGCAGTGGTGGAAGACTGGGACGACTGAGGGAGTGCATGTGCTTTTCTGACAGACTGTTTTTGTTTTTGTTTTGTTTATCCATAGAGTCGGCATTTGTGACTCAACTCCACACACACCTGAGGAACAGAGCTCAGCTGGACAAAGTGCACCACGGTTGGACCCACTCACACACACCTACGCACACATACACACATACCGCCTCTTCTCATCTTTTTAATTCACTTACCATAAGCAAACAATGTTATCAGAGCTTAAAGCTAAATGTGGCTTTTGCTGACAGTGACTTCTTTGGCAAATTATGCAGCTCCCCAGCTAAATCCATGACCTTTCAGAGGCCATAAATGAACTGGCTTTCACCCAGAACCCAGCATCAGTGCTCATAGACCTTCAAGCACAACGTGCTGCCCACTGACATGTCTTTGACTGAATTTCCAACATAGGCAGAGTTCATGTTTTGTGCTGAGGGAATGATTATTTTGTGCATTTTGTATTTTATGCTATTTAAGGGTCACACAACAAAACAAAACAAAAAACTGTTTTTAGTTTTAGCAGTATTGATGAATAACAAAAACTGCAACCTGTTCCATTCTCTGGGTGCTTCAGATTGTTTTGACAGGACTGTTTAAACTACATAAAAACTGGATAGTCATTTTCCTTTCTGCAAATGTGTTTTTGTCTGATTATCCCTCAATATTTAAGGTTGTCCTTGGCTCCAAACCACAAGCAGTTACTGTACAGCGCAAAAGTCAGAGACCACCCTCCACCTTTCATTTATTTAATTTCCTGTGAAAATGGTCATTATGTTATTAATTTTTTTGGTGTCAGGAAAAACAGGAAACATATTTACAAACAAAATTACACAGAAGCCTCAACAACTTAATATAATGTATAATACACTGACTAGCCAAAAGTCATAGGATAGCATTATGTAAATGGATCATGAAGTGGCAGTACCTCAGTGGACGGCTTGGGAACGCCAATGCAAGTGTTGTCTTGTGAGTGAGGTTGAACACTGGCCATGGCAAGGTAACGTGAATTATCGGAGATCGAACAAGGTATAATAGTAGGTGCCAGATTGATGGGACATTCCATTTCCGAAGTTGTGTGGGCATCAAACATTCCTTGATCCACAGTGTCATGTGTGTACTAGGAATACGTCATAGAAGGCATTTCTACCAACAGCGGACAGCGAAGTGGCCACTCACAGGTGCTTAATGATCATGACTGGTGGCATCTGGCTAGAAATGTCCATGCGAAGAGACAAGTGACTCTGGCAGAAATCACATCCACATTCAGTGAAGGAGGTCTCACATGCATATCCCGCAGGTCAATACAGTGTTCGTTAGCTTCCATGGGATATGGGAGCAGAAGACTCACCAGAGTACCTTTGTTAACACCATGACACCGAACACAGCGCCTCACCTGGGCTCCTGAGGTTGCTAACTGAACCTTAGAGGACTGGCAACATGTAGCGTGGTCCAGTGAGTAACAGTACCAATTGTTTCGGGCTGATGGTAGGGTTTGTGTGTAGCGGAGACCCCATGAAGCCATGAACCCCAGTTGTCAATGAGGCACTGTGCAGGCTGGTGGTAGTTCCATACTGCTACATTTCACTGCTTGGACCGTTTGCAGCTCTTCATGGACTTCATGTACCCCCCCCAACAATGATGGGATATTCCAGCAGGATAATGCACCATGCCTTTGGGCCCAGTTTGTTCAGAATTGGTTCATGGAGCATTCTGATGAATAGTCTGGTCTGCACATTCGCCCAACATGAGCCCAATCGAGCATTTATGGGATATGGTGGAGAGGTCCATTCACACCCGAGATCCTACACCTACAAAATACCACAGAGCAAAATACCACGGGTGGCTGTCCAGACGGTATGACTCAACATCCCTCCAGACGTCCTCCTTCCACTTGTGGAATCGATGCTACATCGAGTTGCTTCACTTCCCCAGGCTGGAGGGGGTCCTACGCAGTACTAGTTTCTTTTGGCGCATGGGTCTATATTATAATTTTTCAGTATTTAGTGTGTGCACTCTTTACCTGTATCATAGCTTCCGTTCTTTTCAGGACAGATTTTTTTTTTCACACCTCCCAAGTTCAGTCTTAGAAAGTGTTTTTTGCATTTTCTACAGTCCAGCAATCTCAAACACGCTCAGTAATATTGAGGTCTGGACTTAAATAAATGAAGTGGGGTCTCTGACTTTCGCACAGTACTATGTCAGATCTTTAAATGACTCTAACATACAGTAGCAGTTCTCAGAAAGAATGGGCTCATTACTTTTATCAGTGAAAACCTACATATCATGATCCTGTAAGATGTTTAGAAAGTATTGATGTTGAATTTTCAGTGCTGTCCAGCAGTAGCATATATGCAAAGTGTTACTAAAGTAAATTCAGCTCCGTCATCACTTGTCTTTAAAAATGAGATGATGGTGTTTCTTCTGTAATTGATGTTTTAAATCTAGGAAAAAAGCAACAAATAATAGTGTTTCAGTTTAATTGTTGAGTAGCTAAACCGGAACAGAGTGAAAACAGTGTTACTGAGGCGAGGACTGTAAGAAGTGGAGATGCCCTTGTAAAGGCAGTAGTAGTCAGTGTTTTAATCTCACCACATTATTTTTTCCCTGTAAGCATAGGAGCACCATTCCAGCAGTGTAAATAGAAAAAAATAGACCTTTTTCTTTCCTTTTCAGTCATGATAAAGCAATTTCATCTTAGACCTACAGTCTGCCTTGGAACCTTGTTAGCCAAGTTCACCAAAGTTTAAGTTCTGAGCTGGAGACTATTTGAATTGGAGAATCTGCAGTGATAGTGCAATTTAATCCATGACTGCTCCCAATCTAAGTGCAGAAGACCAGATCTTTGTGTTTTTAGCTGAGGAGGATTAAAAAGCGCTTAGTATTAATAAACCGATTCAGTGTATTTGGTTTTAATTTCATGGGGTGATTTGATTTGAGAACAATAGTTTAGCAGTAATCTTGGCATGATTTGTGATATATTTAAAAGTAAGGTGTTCCAAGAAGAGACAATCGAGTACTGCTTAAAATCTTTGTGTGTCTTGCAGAGAGCTCCTCGATAAAGTTGGTGAGAATGACAGTGCGTACCCTGACTGATCTTGGGGTGAGTGATGTTCTATTACAGTTTCCTTGAAACATGAGCACCAGCACACACACATACACACACCTGCCTTTCTCCATCCTCCTCACGCTCTCGCACACCTGACACCAGAGAGCAGGAACAAACTGGACACATAACTCAGTAACATGGCTCTAAAATAAACCAGAACATGTTTATGTGTGTGTGTTTCTTTTCTTTCTTATCTATTGATTTATTTGTCTTTTGATTTTCCACCTAAACCCTCCTGGGACTTGACATAAATTTATTTTATTGCACGCAACCACAGAGCACTTATTCTCAGCACTCACTGCAGCCACCTGCAGAAATACACATTGTGTGGCTTTGACCTTAGTTATAAAAGACCAGCCTCTTTCTGATATGTTTTGAGTTATATATGTATCCATATTCAGGTCTAACATAAGTGTTACACACCAGCTTGTGCACCATTGAACGAACATAGGGCTGCACTAGGAAGTGCTCAATACTAGTCTTCAGTCAACTCTATGATCCATTGTTTTTTGGAATTATTTATTTAATGTACTTAATATAAAATCAATGTTAATGTATTGTGGAAATTGTGCTTTGAATATTTGAAAATACATAATTTCAACTATATTACAACTTATCAATCAATACTTTGGATCTAAAAGTCAGTACTTTGGATGTACTCACACATCATGTTCAAATTCATAAAATGTGACTCAATATTTCATTAACATTCCGAAAGACATTGTTTTAGGAAACCTGAATATTGAGTTGAAAACATTGTCTCTTGGTAAGAGCATGTCTGTGAGACAGATTGCAGATAACCTGAAAATTCCAGAATCAAGAGTGAAAATGTACTGAAGAGGTGGAAAGAGACAGGAAATTGTTATAAACCTGGCCGTCCATGGAAGAAAACCCTATAATCCAAGTCTTGCTGTGCAAGCTCATGCACTCCAGACCTGGAAGGCTTCAAGCTGTCGTTTAAAAGAAGGAATATGCAATTAAAATATTAACCAGAGTAAAATAGTAAATACTGACCTGCATAAAAGAGACACTAATGTTTGGTAATGTTTGAGTACTTTTTCAGTTTGACTACACATTTTATGTGAAAGTGTCCATGTAAAAGTTTTGTTGTATGACTCATATAACCTAGAGTGTCTGATCCATTATTTCATAGGAAGGGATGTTGCTATTCAAATATATGGCTACATCACTGCTACACACACACACTAACATTATGACCACCTTCTTGTTTCTGTGCTCATTGTCCATTTTATCAGCTCCACTTACTGTGTAGGTGCACTTTGTAGCTCTCCAATTACAGACTGTAGTCCATCTGTTTCTCTGCCTACTTTGTTAGCCCCCTTTTACCTTTTTTTTTAGTTTTTAAACACCTCAGTGTCACTGCTGGACTGAGAATAGTACACCAACCAAAAATATCCAGCCAACAGTGTCCTGTGGGCAGCGTCCTGTGACCACTGATGAAGGACTAGAGGATGACCAACACAAACTGTGCAGCAGCAGATGAGCTGTCGTTTCTGACTTTACATCTACAAGGTGGACTGACAAGGCAGGAGTGTCTAATAGAGTGGACAGTTGGACAGTGAGTGGACACAGTGTTTAAAAACTCCAGCAGCACTGCAGTGTCTGATCCACTCATACCAGCACAACACACACTAACACACCACCACCACGTCAGAGTCACTGCAGTGCTGAGAATGATCCACCACCCAAATAATGCCTGCTCTGTGGTGGTCCTGTGGGAGTTCTGACCACTGAAGAACAGGGTAAAAGGGGGCTAACAAAGTGTGCAGAGAAACAGATGGACTACAGTCTGTAATTGTAGAACTACAAAGTGCACCTATATAGTAAGTGGAGCTGATAAAATGGACAATGAGCGTAGAGACAAGGTGGTGGTCTTTGATCTGATTTGGATCTTATCATCTTTATTTTTAAACAGGTTTTGGCCCATCCAACCTTAAACTGCAGTGAATGCAGGAATGCACGTAACTTATGTTTAAAGTCACAAATTGCATGCATATGAAGTAAAATAACTGAAATCATATTTAACATATTTTCTGAAGAATTCAGAAGTTTGCATGTCTTATGTAGAGCTGCTATAAGTAATCTTAAATCCACTGTGGAGAAGTGAAAGTTTGGTGCCAGTGTAATCTAGGAATTCCCATAGAGATGCTAGAAAAATGTGCATTATTGTCACGAAAAAAGTCAAAGTGAAAGTGCATTTTAATACTAAAGATCAGTTATTGTATAAACATTTCATTCTGCTGCATATTGCTGAAGTGGTGGCTTCAGCTCTCTGTTGGCTGTATTGTATGTATTGTTTGTATCTATGTTTGTACCTCATTCAAATCTTCCCTGGAATAGGCCTCACTTTACACGCACTCTTGCGTGAAACGTCTGTGAGCGCTAGCGTACGCTGAGAGTATGTTTGTTTTGGAGCAGGTGCTGACGGAGGACAGGGCAGATTGAGGGTGTATACCTGGACACCAGTCCTGTTTTCCTCCAGCCTGAGAACAAACAGAAGCTTCTTCACTTTGTCTCACAGTTTCTCTACGGCTAACGGAGGAAAAACAGCCGTCTCCTCGTCCATCAGCAGTGCAGAGAGATTGCTTCAGTTTCAGTTACAAATGCATCAGACTGAGGGACAGAAAATCTCTGATTTATGGTGTAAGTAAGTAACCATTGGAAATATGTTAGCTTGGCCAGTATGAAAAAACCTGGAGCTTTATTACAAACATTAGTATCTGCTACCTAAAAATTTGATTTGATTAAACATCGAACAAGTAAACAGGTTCACAATGATTACTGTTCTGTTCAGTTAATATTAGTAAGTTCAGTAAAGTCTTAAATTTCAGGGTAGGCAGGTTATTTACTGTTATTTACAGTATAGTGTTGTTCTATCCAGCTTTTCATTTGATAGTGTCGTTCATATGTTTAAAGTTTGTGAGTTGACCAAACTAACCAAAGGCAAAGCACTGCCCACTGGCTCCACTAATACGAGACCACGTTAGAGGTCAGTTTCTCAGTTTGTTCTTATAAGCCCAGGTTGGGTTATGCAGATTAATGAGTGTTAGATAACGCTGGATTGAATAGAGAGTTAGATAATGTTCTTGAGGAACAAAAGACAGAAAATGGATAATAATTGTGTTGGGTCAACCAGATGTTCCTTTTTTTCATAGAAATGTTGGTTTCATAATGTTTGCTTTGGCTTACAGACATGAATACAGGTCTGTTCAGTACAAAAGACTTGATCGTTTTGTTTTTTATGTTTTTGCCTCAGTTTTTCTCCCTCACTCACACCCCCACACACACACACACACACACACACACAAGTCTGATGATTTTGATGATGAGTGACAGAGTTAGTGTACCGTTCCCTCAACTCTAACCCCCTCAATCAGCTCCTGATTAAAGGCCGGCGATGCCTGCCCCCTCTCTGGGCATCCAACCAATCACTTAACACTGGCCTGAACCTCCTCATTGCTCACACACACACACACACACACAGGTTTTTATACAGTGAGGGGAAATGGGTAAAAAAAAAAGTATGTATTCATAAGCATAAACAAATATGTTTAAAAAGCAAAATATGTTGGAAAAAATATGCACCACAAATTAATAACATAAGGACTATGTTGCAAAGCTGTTGTGGACAAATACAGTTTCAAGATGTCTGCGATAAGAAGTAATACGTTTTTCAAACTATCTCAGTTCAATCTTGGTCAATTCATCTCAGCAAACCAGACCACATTGGGCCTTATTCACCAGTATCTTCCTAAGATCACTTTTATACTGTTATATACTTGTGGGCCACTTGATTGGAAACCCCTCTCTCGCAGCTCCACCTTTCTGGTGTTCAGTTAGAGATCGTAGCTGCTGATGCATAGTCTGTGTTAGCCATCCTCTAGCCTTTCATCAGTGGTCAGTTTCTGATCACAGAGCTGCTCTTGGCTGGATTTTTATGGGTGGTGGTCCACTCGCAATGTAGCAGTGACACTGACATGTGTACCACCACACAGGTGTCAACACAACACTTGTGTTTCTAATAAAGTGGCCAGCGAGTGAAAGTATAAGCTACACTCACTGAGCACTTTATTAGGAACATCTCTTATTTCTACATGCATTGGGCCTCATTTTCCAATATATTCTTAAGTTTGTTCCTAAATGTGTTCTTGAGAAAGGTCCTAAGAAAAAGTCTACATCAGATGACGTTTTCTTAAACCACAGAAATGGTCACACCTTTGTGCTCCTGGGTGTGTGTAGATTCTGTTCTTACCTAAGAATAAATTCCAAATAAGAAAACACTGGTGAATCTCAGAATCTGTGTAAAAACTGCGTAAGTGGGTTTTAAGAAGAAATTTCTTCTTAAGAATGGTCGTGTGCAGATTTTAGACGTTCATCTCTGTGCTTGGAATGAAGATAATTGTAGTGAAGTTCGTTGCTTATTGTTGTCTATGTAACTGTTGTTCTGCAGGTCGTCCTGCAGCTCTTTTCTCTTTGAATCTTTGTTGATGCTTTTATATACATATGTTTTCATTCATATTTGAGTCAGAAAGACATTGTGTGTGAATTCAAAAATACATGCAGTGGAATAGTACATATACGCTGGTCTGAGTGGATCAGACACAGCAGAGCTGCTGGAGTTTTTAAACACCTCAGTGTCACTGCTGGACTGAGAATAGTCCACCAACCAAAAATATCCAGCCAACAGCGTCCTGTGGACAGCGTCCTGTGACCACTGATGAAGGACTAGAGGATGACCAACACAAACTGTGCAGCAGCAGATGAGCTATCGTCTCTGACTTTACATCTACAAGGTGGACTGACAAGGTAGGAGTGTCTAATAGAGTGGACAGTGAGTGGACATAGTGTTTAAAAACTCCAGCAGCACTGCTGTGTCTGATCCAGAGAAACAGATTGTAGAACTACAAAGTGCACCTATATAGTAAGTGGAGCTGATAAAATGGACAATGAGTGTAGAAACAAGGAGTTGGTCATAATGTTATGCCTGATCTGTGTGTATGTGTGTATTTATACATTCATATATATATACACACACACACACAGCAATATCTTGTATGTATTATATATACAGTATGTCCAGTTGTCTCTGAAATCAATAAGGAGTTTTCTGCAGTAACAGCCTCTACTCTTCAGGTTTTTACACTAGATGTTGGAACATTGCTGTGAGGATTTGATTGCATTCAGCCACAAGAGCATCTGTCAGGCCGAGTACTGATGTTGCATGATTAAATCTGAACAGCTCATCCCAAAGACACTGAATGGAGCTCCATCACTCCAGAGAACTAATAATTCAAGAAATTAGTTTTGTTCTTTCAGTTGAAACATGAAGCTTGTGTAAAAAAGCTCTTCACGAAGTCAGAGCATTTTTCTGCTGGTGACCAGGTAGACTGGCTCTGTCCAAACAGTTTTGGCCAAAAAATGTACAAAAACAAACATACTCACACACAGAGGCAGAGATAAAGGCCTTTAACGTGCCGCCCTGGGGGAGCGATGCTAACAGACAGTGCTGATTGCTGTAGTACACTGGGTGCTGAGTAAGACCTCCGGAGGCTCGGCGGCTGAGCTGCACAAGGACCTCCTGCATAACCCTCACACTGAGCAATCAATAATTGAGAGAGAGAATTGCAGATGGACTGAATAACAGAAGAGAGGGGGATGAGGTGAATACCGAGAGAATAAAGGTGTGGGAGCTAAGTGCTGCATTTTTAAATGAGGAATTCTGATTAGAGCTGAAGCTCAGCTGGCTCTGAGACTTTTAGAGCGGGTGAGCAAGAAGGCAAAAATATATCACCATGTCCATCATATTTAGCTTTTCTGACATGAACAAGTTGATATGAACAGAAAGCACCAGCAAAACAGTACATACATCATCTAAACCGCTTATCCTTCTGGGTCGCGGTGGGGTGCTGGAACCTATCCCAGCTGTCATTGGGCGGAAGGCAGGATACACCCTGGACAGGTCGCCGGTCCATCGCAGGGCAGACAGACAGACATACACAATCACTCACTCACACCTAGGGGCAATTTAGCACATCCAATCAGCCTGACTGCATGTCTTTGGACTGTGGGAGGAAACCGGAGCACCCAGAGGAAACCCACACAGACACGGGGAGAACAGACAAACTCCACACAGAAAGGACCCTGGTCGCCTGGCTGGGAATCAAACCCAGGCCATTCTTGCTGTGAGGCGACAGCACTACCCACTGCGCCACCGTGCCGCCCCAGCAAAACAGTAGTGCTGTTAAAAAAAAGGCAAAGAAAAACTGAGTACAGTTATTTTTTTTGTTTATTAATTGCAAAAATAAACAATTTAAGAAAGAACAGGAGAAAAAAAATCAACAATAGAATTAAATGAAATGATGTCAAAATCATCCAAATGGCTACTTGTTAAGCAGTTTATGCAGGTCTTTTTAGTGATGCATACAGTTTCCAGTGTTCTAAGTACTGACAACACAGTCATATACTCAGAAAAGTGATGTTCTCACAATAAGAAGCACATATTGTCATATTCCCCACGCAGTGGCACACTTACTAAATCATGCAAATGGCAAATTTACCCAGCTCTCAGTTAACTCAGTAATGGACCCTCTTAAGTTCCTGATGAGACCATGAATTGTTCTAAATGTCTGCATAATTAAATCACTGAGATGTAAAGTAAATCTTTTAGAGTGGTTTGATGTGAAATGGTTCACTGTAGAGAAACTCCAGCTCTGATTTCTTTACAGTGGTGGTGACCAGGAGTCACAATGTCTACAACACAAATACAGCCATTTTATTTACTATCCAAAACCACCAGTGAACCGACACACCTACACATGTCTTCTGAGTTTTTATATGTAATGATGATGGTAAAATAGTGATAAATCTGACCAAAAAAAGACTTTTCTTACAACTCCATGTAACCCTCCACTATGAATAGATTAAATCAATTGATTAAAATACATTTTAGGACAAAACTTTGTCACAAAACTATCATAAAACATCAGGCTGTGTATTCATAACGATTTTATGTAATAACTTTCTGTGAAGGAGCTTTTAAAGGCATTAAACTCGGACGTCTGGTTCCTATCACCACCACTGTTAACAGTCTGATGGAGCATTACACATCGATCAGCTCTGACGGCTTTAGGATCTTATTGATTTAGTTATGTAGAAATTTTGAAAATGGGTTTAAATGTACATCTGTTTCCTTCTCAGATGGTAAGGTGTGAACCTCAGCGGCAGTCTGTTATCAGGCTGGTGTCTGATGTGTGAGGCACGCTTTAACGAGAGATCAGACAAAGAAGCACAAATGTTCCTATGCGTGGATTTAAGAACGAGGCACCAGCAGAGCCAAGAATGAAAGGTAGACTTTCCTCCCAAAGAAAAGCAGTACAGTGACACCTACTGGAGTCTGCTTGAACTACTGACCGTCTCCTTCATTAGAAACAGCTACACTCACTGAGCACTTTATTAGGAAATTCTCAGTATCTCTACACTCATTGTCCATTTTATCAGCTCCACTTACTATATAGGTGCACTCTGTACTTCTACAATCACAGACTGTAGTCCATCTGTTTCTCTGCATACTTTTATTAGTCCCCTTTCACCCAGTTCTTCAATGGTCAGATACTTTCACTCACTGGCCCGTCATTAGAAACGTGTGTGGTTCTGACACCTGTGCTTTGGTACACACATCAGTGTCACTGCTAGAGTGCGAGTGGACCACCACCTAACAACATCCAGCCAAGAGCAGCTCTGTGATCAGACACAGACTCCAGGTGAAGGGCTACAGGATGGCTAATACGAGCTGGTCTCTAACTGAACAGCAACAAGGTCGAGCTGCAAGAGAGGGGTTTCCAATAAACTGGCCAGCGTGTTTAGAACAGTGTAAAAGTGATCTACAGGAAAATGATTTCAAAAGGTTTAACCGCAGTGTTACAATCAGGCTGATTTGTTAAACATTTCAGCATGACAGCAAAAGATCTTAGTTAAGCTCAAGGCTCTGATTTCATTAGAAGTTAGATTAGGTTGCTTTTCCCCTTTTTTTCAAGTGAATATTAAATCAGTCCTTTTGTATTATTTCATCTCGAGGCAGCAGGACGTGTGTGTCAGAGAATCAGCCGGGCAGTTACACCACTGTGTTCCTGATGGATCCAATCTCATCAATCTGACACTCCACCACGTCTCCTCTCTGCAAGACACACAGGACAGAACAGAAGTACATGCATTCACATGAACTCATTTCGGAATGTTGAGACTGATTTTAATCTATCATAGTTCAGTAAAACATGTGCTCATTTATTGGCCAATAAAATCCTCAGGCTCTTTTCAAGATAGTAAACTGTTAAAATATTTATCTGATTTTCACAGCAGCCAAAGTACTAGTTATCCATTTTAGTGCATGTCTTGAGTTTTTCCTTGCAAGAGGTAATGTTTACTTTTACTGCATGGGATTTACATCTCATATCTACATGCTTAATTGGAGTTTTTGGGGGGGACTTTATAGCCATGCTAACTCGCATTACATCCATGTGCTAATGACAGGCTTCACAAGGCACTTATATGGCTCAGAAATTCAGACTTAAGTTGTTGCTAAGACTGAATGAGTTGAGGAAAATATCTAATTGCAGTTTTTTTGACCATTATTGTAATTGTGACTTGAATTGTGATTATTTTCTGTAAATTAAGGTCCAGTCCTGTTTTTAAGGCCGAGAAAGGCCAGCATATCATTGCTGTCCAAAGAAAAACAAGCATCTCCAAAATAGTAACTTTTCAGGAGAAGGCAAAAACACTTTTACCTTTCAATGTAAGTGAATGTAAAGAGTTTTTATGCTAAGTGATTTTAGAGCATTTCTATTGGTCCATTCATCATGACACTTTCACTCAGCGTAAATCAGAGCTGGTGTGTTGAAATGATGTAGAAAAATAAAAATCGACAAAATGGAGATGGTTTTTTTTTTGGACAGTGACAATATCGACGTTTTCTGGCTGGAGGACAGTTAGTTAGTTGCCAGTTAGTTGTGGTTGTGTTGCCATATATACAGTACAGGGATGTTTGGTTGCTTCTGATTTCTGATTGGTCCAGTTTATCTACAAGCTCCATGTCATGAGGACCAAATTTCCCCACTTAAAACCTTAAAGTAATTAAAATTGCAGCTCTTGCGATTTGAAAATTGCATGTCTTTGAATTGCGATACAAAAAATAAACTTTCACCTCTATATGTTCCCATCCTAACCTTCGTTCCCACCCACATTTAGAGCTAAACTTCTCATGGTTGTTCCCAGATGTTCTCGTTCCGAGATCACGTCTGGCTCTGCGAGACTAGAATGGAGCTTCTTTCCTCCCGTCTCTCAAAGATGAAAGCTTTAGGCGCTGTTTCTGTGGTTACTGATGGATGTGAAAGATGGAAGCAGGGACAGTAATATTGATTTGAGCTTTGGTGTTGGTGAAGACTTTTAAGAGTACTTTAGATGACAAAGAAACAAAGATATGGATCCTTGACCAAATCAAGCCTCTCGCTCGAAGCCCTGATAACCAAACCGAAGCCCTTATTTTTGACATATTCTGAGAACCAATTTACTGTGTGGTCGCGAGAGGTTGGGAATGACTTGACTGCACTTGTGACAGTTTTGGTGGTCATCTTTTAGAACAGCTTTTGTTGGGAGGACACAGCAGTAACTGGTTGGTTTTTAGGATAGAAGAGTTAAGGTGGCAGTGCAGAAAAGTAGAGTGGACAAATGAAATACTGTTAGATGTAACATTATACTTGGTGTTGGAGGCTTTCGTGGAATTTCTGTTAAAGGGTTTTGATCCAAATGCATGACAGACTGCTTTCAAGATTTTTTTTCATGATATACAATAACATGCAAGAAATATCAGTGCTAGAGTTGTATGCAGAAGTTCCGGCACCCCAGTCAAACAACTCTGCTGATTTGACACATCTTCACATTTTAATACACAGTTGCTATTAATTTGCTGAATTTAAAATACTGGGATGGTATTAAACATAAATGGCCTGTGCAAAAGTGGCAATTTATACATATTTTTAAGATTTAATTGTCAATCTCAGAAAATAAATAGAAATTGTGAACCAAAACATGCAGGAAAACACCATATTTAAAGGGGAACTCCAATTTCTCCAAATTTCTGCATAATATAGAGGTTAACATGTAACAAAATCATTCAGAGTGGTTTAGTGTGAAATGCTCTGTTCTAGAGAAACTTAGTCAGAATTGTTTACAGTGGTGGTGACAGGAACCAGACGTCCACCTCTAAAAGCTCCCTCACAGAAAGTTACTACATGAAATTGTTATGAATTCACTGCCTGATGACTGAGATGTTGCTTTATGACAAAATTTTAGCCTGAAATAGTTTATAGTTTAATCAATTTATTTAATCTATTCATAGTGGAGGGATACATGAAGGGCGTTGTAAGGCAAAATAGTCCCCAACGAAAACTCTTTTTTTCAGATTTATGACTATTTTACCATCATCAACGTTACATATAAAAATTTAGAAGACGTTTAGATTTCACTGCTGGTTTTGGATAGTAAATAAAATGGCTATGTTTGTGTTGTAGACATCGTGACTTCTGGTTCCTATCATCACCACTGTAAAGAAATCTGAGTTTCTCTACAATTAACCACTTCACACCAAACAACTCTGAATGACTTTGTTTACATCTCATCCACTGAATTATGCAGTTATTTTGAAAAACTGGTTCCTCTTTAAGTGTTTTTGTGGAAGATGTTATTTTCACTTAGAAAATCAACAGAATGTGAAATTTGACCAGGGTGTTTTTTGTATACGACTGCATATTAAGATTCATTCAATCTTTAATTAAGCAATAGAACGAGAGGGAGTGTGTCGTTGCAAAATAAAACAAGACCTCGAGTGTTAAAATAAATAAAGTAAGAAATAAATAAACTGGGCTGTGAACCTGGTGTTTAATATGTTTTAATGTTCGCAGTTCCTTCCGCCAAATTATAGTTCCTTAACAAGCAGCTTGTTGCTACGTCAGAGTAACGAGCTCCGCCCACTCGCTGCACAGTCTGCTGTAAGCCTCGCCTTTTAAAGTACAGACTGAGCCATAAAACTGCCACAATATCAAGTTTAGCTCGGTTTTGTCTTTTTTGCCAGATCAGTATTAATGTTGTTTTGTTCCAGCCAGTCTGTAAAGCATCTTACAGCCCATTTAGTTTGGCGAATGGTATTGGGTTCATTTCTGGCTGATTCCAGGTTGTTTAGCTGTTCTTCTGTCACAGCTGCCGACTGAAAAGCTGCTCAGTGGTGATGACAGTTTGGGAATCTAGTGTAGTCTCATCTTCAGAGTCTGACCAAATCGGCTGTCGCCAATTGCTATGATGTAACATTTCTTACAAATGGATACTTACAGCACTCTGGAATGAAACTCTTCAAATGTTTCTGACAGAACTTTGTTTTAGTGCAGTGAAAGTCTACTTTAACTTCACTTGCAGTTCGGGTATCATCAGTGACGCGTTTCCAAGTGTTACTTTTAAAGTCACACTGGAGCACATTAATTTAAACGTGTTAGTGCGTTGTTTGACTGAGCGGATGTACTCCAGTCTAACTCTCAGGTCTCTAAATAATTCACACTTCAGGATTGTGTAAATTACATTCATAATGACTCATGATTAATGTCAAAGTCATTTCTGCAATGAGAAAATATTTGGTGTAAATGAAGCGCGCCGCACAGTGCCTGCCCGCGTCTCGAGCGCGTCTGTGCCGAGTGTGCGCTGTGTGGAGAGAAAGCCGATGTTAAAAGGATCTAATTGGGGGAAATTAGTAACTTGATGAAGGTTTAGATTTAATCACAGCGGTGCGACAGAACAGAAGCTGCTGTTCTCCTTCACTGTGGTGCTGCATGCCAATGTGCTGTTAGAGAGAAGAGAGGCCAGCGCAGCTTTCAGCATAAATCCATAATTACTTATGAGTCTCGTAATGTGTTCGTTTCAGTCTGAACCCCTTTGGCTGCCCACTGTATTTGAAAACTAAAATTATTTGTCAGTTTCCGTGCCAACATCTGCGCTCAGGTCGGGTGCTCAGAATCGCCCAGAGGACCACAAGGTGCTTTTAAGGTCAGCCAAAAGCCAAGAAAGTGTACTTCCTGCATTTCACTGATACGGAACTTTGCACGCAGCCCACTAAAGACTGGCGTAAATTCTCTGAGTGGGTGGGCGCGTGGGTGGGTTGCAGTAGATAATTTTGCTCATTAGAAAAGAAACTTTAATATAGAATGCACTGATGACCTTTTCAAGCTTTAAAGGAAAATTAGCATGCTAGATGTAACCTGACATTTAGCTCTTATCACCACAATAAAAGCACGTTATCACACTCATTACTTCTTGTATCTCATTGAAACAAGTGGAGAAATTCTGTGGAAAGTGCAGATTGTAAAAATTCAGTTTCTACTTCATTGAAGTTCATAACTAGAAGAGGCCTTTTTACAGTTTGGATTTGAGAGTTATTATTGTTTCCTTTTTGATATCTTGACATTATTATTTGATGTTGAAACAAAAGGAAAAAGAGCAGATTGAACCTGTTGATACAGAATGTAAACTGAATGCAAATGCAATTTATTATTTCCGTCGAATTCATTATGTAAATATGTAGCTACATTTCATTAATTTGTGTAGTAAATCAAAGGTGTATTGACTAACTTGGGACAGCTAAAATGCAAAACCAGAAGGGATTTGTAAACTCTCCTTTTCAGGTGTTTAATTGAAAACAGCTCAAAGAAGAAACTGAAATTCCAAATTTGACACCTGCAACACATTCCAAAAAAGCTGGAATAGGGGCAGCGTAAAACTGGGAAGTTTGTGGAATGATCAAAACTTCTGTTTTCCATGGGTCAACAGGTGAACAGGTAACTTGCCATCATGATTGCGTATAAAAGGAACATTCACGAAAGGCTCAGTGACCACTTTGTGACAAACTATGTGAGTGAATAGCCAACAGTTTAAGGGATTTCACCAAAAAATTCAGAGAATCTGGAAAAATCTGTGTGTGTGAAGGGCAAAGCTGAAAACCAATACTGAATGCATGTGAACTTTGATTTCTCAGATGACACTACATTAAAAATGCTTCTGTAATGTATACTATAATGTAATATAACCACATGGGCTCTGGAATAATTCAGAAAATCCTCGTTAGTAAAAGTTTTTTGCACCTACAAATGCAAGTTAGGATTATACTACACAGAGCAGAAGCCATATGTTAACAACATCCTAAAACACTGCTGACTTCTCTGGGCTAAAGCTCATCTGAGATGGACTGAGGCAACGTGGAAACGTGCTGTGGTCTGGCAGCCTTTCAGATTGTTTTCAGAAATAATGGATGCCATGTTCTCCAGGCCAAAGGGGAAAAGAACCATCCAGACTGATATCAACGTAAAGTTCAAAAGCCAGCATCTGGCATGGTATGGGGATGCACATCTGTGGAGTCACCATTAATGCTAAAAGGAACATACACATTCTGGAGCAACATATGCTGCCACCTAGACGACGTCGTTTTCAGAGACATCTCTGCTTGTTTCAGCAAGACAAAGTCAGCGTGGCTTTGTATAAAGATGAAAAAAAATCCAACAATTGATGTCTTCAGTTCTCAAATGACTACTGAATAGTGTTAAAAGGAAAAGTGATGTAACACAGTGGTAAATGTGCCCCTGTCCCAACTTTTTTGGAACTTGCTGCAGGCATGAAATTTAGAATGTACATATATATAAAAAAATAAGATAATTAGTTGGAAGTTTTTTTATTGGGTTTGTTGCTAAACAGCAGTAATAACGCTATACTAAAGATTCAGTTTCCTCAAAGATAAGCTCACCTTCAGAAAAATGGGGGGTTTTCTGAACACACCGACTCCTGGGGGAGTGCCTGTCAAAAACACATCACCTGGGTACAGAGTCGCAAACCTGCAATAAAACCAACAATTCATTAAAACGTCATCTTAAACATGGTGCTTTCCAGAATGGATGGAGCAAAACCAGACTGGATTACAAAGTTAAACAGATTGCATCACTTCCACTTTATTAGGAACATCCCCTTGTATCTCATTGTCCATTTTAACAGCTCCACTGACCATATAGGAGCACTTTGTAGTTCTACAGTTACAGACTGTAGTCCATCTGTTTCTCTGCATACTTTGTTAGCCCCCTTTTACCCTGTTCTTCAGTGGTCAGGACCCCCACAGGACCACCACAGAGCAGGTATTATTTGGGTGGTGGGCCATTCCCAGCAATGCAATGACACTGATGTGGTGGTGGCGTGTTAGTGTGTTAAACACCTCAGTGTTACTGTTGGACTGAGACCACTGATGAAGGACTAGAGGATGATCAACACAGACTGTGACGCAACAGATGAGCTATCATCTCTGACTTTACATCTTCAAGGTGCACTGACAAGGTAGGAGTGTCTAATAGAGTGGACAGTGAGTGGACATCACTCAGAACTGCTGTGTCTGATCCACTCGTACCAGCGCAACACACACTAACACACCACCACCACGTCAGTGTCACTGCAGCGCTGAGAAGGATCCACCAGCCAAATAATGCCTGCTCTGTGGTGGTCCTGTGGGAGTCCTGACCATTGAACTGAGTAAAGGTGGGATAGCAAAGTATGCAGAGAAACAGATGGTCTGTAACTGTCGAACTACAGAGTGCTCCTATATGGTCAGTGGAGCTGATAAAATGGACTGCAAGTGCAGATAAAAGTAGGTTTTTCTACTAAAGGGTCAAATACAGTGTCAAACCTACACAAAGACACGCATAGCCTCGTAGCTCCAGCGCAAAACTAAAGAAGCAAACTTCGGACGCCAATGATTGACTATAAGGGCTGTTTTTGAGGGAAAAATCTGTATAAAATTGTGTTTTTGGCCAAACCATCACTTTAAAGTAACTGAGAATGATGAATGGCAGGTCTGTGGTCACTTACTGGGACACCCATGCTATCAGCTTCTCTGTCTTGAAGATCAGCTGATTGGTGTTGCTGTCCTGAACGACACCGCCGTTAACCAGGCAACGGATACCCAAATTATGGACATCTGATTAAAAATAGCACATTAATCACAATGATGCTGTATTTATATCATCAGCAACTCTATGACTCTCTGTGATATTTTCAGCATCACACCAAACACTGAAACCCCTCTGTGATTATATTTCCCTGTTGGGCCTACCCTTCAGTGCTGCTGTGGTAACGAGGGCGGGTCCTAAAGGACAGAACGTGTCAAATGTTTTTCCCAGGAGCCACTGCTTCCCATTCTTCTCCAGCTGCCAGTCACGAGCACTGACGTCATTGGCTACGGTGAATCCCGCAACGTAAGAGAGAGCCTCCTCCTCCTGAGAACGAGAAAATGGTCTAAATGAGCGAATCCCAAATAAACCCCACCCATGTCTACAACTGCAAGATTACTGAACCTGAAGTAATACTTACTGTATTGAGAGGAAAATGGTGTGTGTATGTCGGAATGGTCAACAAGTAGTGTAGAGCTTAATTCGAACCTCAAGAACCATCACTGTTACATCAAGACCTCAACAGTTTTTACTTTTAACACCATTTTCTGCTCTTTTAGAAATGATCTAACATTAATTATAATATTAACATACATAAGTTAAACATGATGAACATGTGAACATGAAATCGTAATGCATTTCCAATTTTAATTGCATTTGTGATTTAAAACGATGCTTGCAAAGATAAATATCAGTTCACTGGTATACACTCACCAAACGTTTATTAGGAACACTATAGTAATACTGACTACACTCACTTTGCTCTCAAGACAGCCTCAGTTCGTCTTGGCATGGATTCCAGAAAGATGTTAGAAACTTTCCTTTGAGGTTCCATGAATTTCCTGATTTTTCAGGTACAGTTTTCAAGCTGCAAATCTCTTGTTTTGCCACATCCCAAAAGTGTCCTATTGGAATCAGATCCCATGACTGGAAAGACCACTGAAGAACACTGAACTCATTGTCACGTTCATGAAACCGGTTTGAGATGACTCCTGTTGTGTGACATGGTGCATTATCATGCTGAAAGTAGCCATTAGAAAATAAAATTGTGGCCATAAAAATAAAATTGTGGATGCACATGGTCAGCAACAATACTCAAATAGGCTGTGGCATTCAAGCGATGACTGATTGGTATTAACGGGCCCAAAGTGTGTGAAGAAAACATTCCCCACACCATTATACCACCTCCACCAGGCAGGTTGGGTTCATGGATTCATGCTGTTGGCACCAAAACTGACCCTATCACCTGTGTGTCTCAGCAGAAATTGAGATTCATTAGACCAGGCTACATTTTTCCAGTCTTCAGCTGTCTAGTTTTGGTGATCCTCTGCCCCCTGCAGCCTCATCTTTCTGTTCTTGGTTGACAGAAGTGGTACCTGACGTGGTCTTCTGCTGCTGTAGCCCATCCACCTCAAGGTTTGATGTGTTGTGCTTTCTAAAATGCTTTTCTGCTCAGCACACCTGTACAGAGAGTTATCTGAATTACTGTATAGTTTCTCTGAACTTAAACCAGTCTGGCCATTCTCTGCTGACCTCTCTCATCAACAAGGCTTTTCCGACTGCAGAACTGCTGCTCACTGGATGTTTTTTCTTTATTGCACCATTCTGAGTAAACTCTGCAGACTGATTTGCATGAAAATCCCAGATGAAAATCCCAGCAGTCATTGAAATACTCAAACCAGTCTGTCTCGCACCAACAATTAAGCTACGGTCAAAATCACTGGTCACATTTTTTCCTCCTTCTGATGGTTGATGTGAACATTACCTGAAGCTGCCTGAAGACCCGTATCGGCATGATTTCGCCTAGAACTGCAAACAAACTTACAATCAACAAACCCTCTCCTACCAATGATGAAGCTGCCTCTCTGACAGAGTTTCTATCACTCCATGGTGTTCGTAAAAGGAACCGTCAGAGACTTGATCATTAAATTAATGAGTCACAAACAAATGTTCTTTTCTCAACCCAAACCAAAATGTCCAGTGAGACCTTGATTTCTCCCTGTGATGCTGCTCTAAAATGTTTATTATATTTAACAGCGAACACAGCAGCAAACTTGCCTTGATGTGCTTTCCTTTTTGTCCAATCACGAAGGCCAGCTCCACCTCCCAGTCCACCTCCTGCAGGACACAAGATTAGCTTTAAGGCCACTGCAAGAATAGCTAATAATGTGCTGCTCAGTGAAGCTGCCTCGCTTACACACAGGAACCGTTTCTGAGGTTTGTTTTTTTATTCATATATTTGTTTATTTATTTGCAAACTGATTATACTGATTCTGAACTTTCTAAAAAACAAATGTTAATCAGCTGATCGCCCTTCTAGTCACAGTGTACAAATTTAGCCCCAACATGGATCTGAACACATCTGTCATACAGAGTTTTTTGTGATTTTTGTAGCTTTGGAGGTGACTGTGAATGCATTAACTCGGTTTACACCCCGACCCAATCCCACGAGTGTCTCACTCAATCAAATGAAACAGAACAGAACACTACTTTACCAGTTGTTCGAAGCAGACTGACAAATAATGTATGACTCAGATGTTTCCAAGACTTCTACACTACTAACGATGATGACCAACTACTTAAAGTGAAATTTCTGTTTGTATTTAAAAAAAATCTGCATAATTAAATGGTTAGAATGTAAACAGAGTCATTGCTCCATTCTAGAGAAATATATATATATATATATACACACCCATCAGGCATAACATTATGTCCTTGTTTCTACGTTCATTGTCCATCTTCTCGGCTCCACTTACTATATAGGTGCACTTTGTAGTTCTACAATTACAGACTGTAGTCCATCTGTTTCTCTGCATACTTTGTTAGCCCCCTTTTACCCTGTTCATCAGTGGTCAGGACCCCCATGGACCCTCACAGAGCAGGTTCTATTTGGGTGGTGGATCATTCTCAGCCCTGCAGTAACACTGACGTGGTGGTGGTGTGTGTTGCGCTGGTCTGAGTGGATCAGACACAGCAGTGCTGCTGGATGAACTACAGATGGACTACAGTCTGTAACTGTAGAACTACAAAGTGCCCCTATATAGTAAGTGGAGCTGTTTCTCTACAATGAACCATTTCACATCAAACTACTCTGAATGACTTCCTTTACAATGAATGAACGATGCAGAAATTTGCAAAAATAGTTGGAATTCCCCTTTAATGTGCTGTAGCTTACACTGCAGGACACTTGGGCACTTTATTCCAGACTTGTTCCTCGTAGCTCCACTTTGCTGGTGCACAGTGAGAGACTGTAGCCCATTTGTTGATGTGCATCCTCTAACCCTTCACAAATGGTGAGTTTCTGACCACAGAGCTACTCCTGTGGTCAGAAACTGGCCACTGATGAATGGGTGGGGGTAATAAACTGTGCATCGTCAGATCTGTAACTGTACTGTGGCCAGTGAGTGGAAGTACAGCTAAGGCCTGTAAGTTTCAAACAGGAAACTTTGTCCCATTGCTATGTGACCGCATCGTTTTGCCAAAAAAACTGAAAAATTAAAGCAGCTGTAGACATAGTCCTGTTCATCTGACCTGGCTCGTGTTTGGCAGCATGATGTCATCATATGGGCCAGTGATGGCGGAAGGAAATTTGCTGAAGATGATTGGCTCTGTAGGGATGGGAGCATTCTGCTCCAAGCAGTGGTCCCTGTAGTTCATCCCCACACATACCACCTTATCTGGGCCGGTCACTGGAGACAGCAGCGTGATATCAGAATGAGGGACTATACACTGACCACTTGACAGAGCTCTGAAAGAGAGGGAGGGGTTGTATGTATGTCCCATATGTATTATGTAGCTATAAATATCTATATGTAACATGACTCATGACATGACATTATATACACACACTACCTGTCCAAAAGTTTGTAGACACCTGCTGATCCAGCTTTTTGATCTGAAATGAAGGGTTTTAATAGGAAGTTTATCCCCCTTTGCTGCAGTAACAGCCTCTACTCTTCTGGGAATGCTGTACACTATATGTTGGAACATTGATGTGAGGATTTGACTGCATTCAGCCACAAGAGCTGTTAGTGAGGTCAAGTACTGGTGTTGGTGATTAGATGTGGACACTCCAACTCATTCCAAAGGTATTGGATGGCGCTCCATCACTCCAGAGGATGCAGTCCCACTGCTCCACAGCCCAGTGTTGGAGGGCTTGTATACCCCTCTACCCCATGCTTGGTGACTTTAGACTCGTGCGGCTGCTCCAGAGTGTCCTGCTCTATTGCGCAACTGAACTCCTGTGTCAGTAATGGCTGTACCTTAAAGCAGCTGAATTCATTAATTTGTCAGGCTGTCTGGATACTTTTGGACATACAGTGTATGACAGTACCATGGTACATGATTACTTACATTAGCATTTATTATCACAGTTACAGAGTATTGTACATTTTATCCAGACATAGTGCTGTGAAAAAGTATTTGCCCCTTTTCGATTTCTTCTATTTTTGTATACTCGTCACACTTGAATGTTTCAGATCATCAAACTACTACTAATATTAGACAAATAACACAAGTAAACACAAAATACTGTTTTTAAATGATGATTTGATTTATTGAAGGAAAAATGCTGTTCCGTCTTATCTGGCTGTATGTGAAAAAGTAATTGCCCCCTTAGCTACTAAATCAACCGGTTAACCACATTTAATTGACTACTAGGTTCAATTTTACTAGACACACCCAAACATGATTACTGCCAGACCTTGAATGGTCTGAATCATCATTTAAATAGAACCTGTCTGGCAATGTGAAGCAGGCTAGATGGTCTCAGAAAGCAGCATATGATGCCCTGTTATAAAGAAATCCAAATACAGATGTGAAACAAAGTCACTGAAATCTACCAGTCAGGAAAGGGTTACAAAGTCATTACTAAAGCTCTGGGACTCCAGTGAACCACAGCCAGAGCCATTATTTACAAATGGAGAAACTTAGTAACAATGGTGAACCTTCCCAGGAATGACCGACCTACCAAAATTTCACCATTGATGACTTGTCCAGGAGGTCCCAAAAGAACCCAGACGAACATCTAAAGAGCTGCAGGCCCCATTTGCCTCACTTAAGGTTGCAAGTTACCGTAAATGTTAGGTGGCACAACCAGTTATTAGGTTTAGGGGGCAATTACTTTTTCACATGAGTGATATAGGTTTTGAATAAATCTTTATCTTCAAGAAATAGAATAATCATTTAAAAGCTGCACTTTGTGTGCACTCATGTTGTCTTTATCACATATTAAAATTAGTTGAATGACCTGAAACATTTAATTGTGACAAATTAGCAAAAATAGAAGAAATGAGGTGAGGGGCAAATACTTTTTCACAGCACTGTAGTGTCGGAAGCACCCAGTGAATGATATGAAAGGTGAAACAGGTGCTGCAGGTTATGCAGATGGGGTACAGGCTGATGTAGACATGCTCTTTACTTTGTATTTCGGTTATGAGACACGGACCTGATCAGACGCCTGTACAGGTAGAAAACTGGAACAGCTGATATTGATGGACATGCTAGGCAAAAAGCACAGTTTCCACTCATACCTTTGAGCACAGTCCATGCCCTTCTGTCCCAGCTCCAAAAACTCCCTCATCGTGGGTGGCATGGAAGGGTCAAACGCTTTCAGGTCAATGACACCATGGCCTTGTTCGTGCTCCACACCAACCCTGATCCCCCCTTCATTTCCTTTACGGGAGAACTGGACCAGTCGCATGGCGTCTGAGCTTAGGGGGCGTCTGAATGTGCCTAAGAAGGATACATCTCTGAGTCTCCTCAATTTGAACCACAAACCACACAAAACTCTCATCTACTCACCACACACCGAACAGAGCCAAAGAAAACAGAAAGAAAGGAGAGGATACGTCAGAATTAGAAAAGAGGAGCAAGAATAGAAAAACGTGGGGGATTACTGAAAAGAGAGAAATGATTGAAAATGATAGCAGAGGATAAGTGTCTGTTCCACCTTAAATGCTGCAGCAGGAAAATATAAATAAGAAGCCAATTCCAGCTTTGTAACCACTGTTTACATTTGAATAGACTGCATAGCCTCGCGTTTGAACACTTATTAGTAATCTTGGATTCACTAATCTACAAAACACTAACATTATATACTGATCAGCCACAACATTAAAACCACCGTCCATTTTTTCAGCTCCACCTACTATATAGGAGCACTTCAGTTCTACAGTTACAGACTGTAGTCCATCTGTTTCTCTGCATACTTTGTTAGCCCCCTTTTACCCTGTTCTTCAGTGGTCAGGACCCCCATGGACCCTCACAGAGCAGGTTCTATTTGGGTGGCGGATCATTCTCAGCACTGCAGTAACACTGATGCGGTGGTGGTGTGTCCGTGTGTGTTGTGCTGGTCTGAGTGGATCAGACACAGCAGTGCTGCTGGAGTTTTTAAACACCTCAGTGTCACTGCTGGACTGAGAATAGTCCACTAACCAAAAATATCCAGCCAACAGTGTCCTGTGACCACTGATGAAGGACTAGAGGATGACCACCACAAACTGTGCAGCAGCAGATGAGCTGTCATCTCTGACTTTACATCTACAAGGTGGACTGACAAGGTAGGAGTGACTAATAGAGTGGACAGTGAGTGGACACAGTGTTTAAACTCCAGCAGCACTGCTGTGTCTGATCCACTCGTACCAGCACAACACACACTAACGCACCACCACTACGTCAGTGTTACTGCAGTGCTGAGAATGATCCACCACCCAAACAGCACCTGCTGTGGGGGTTCTGACCATCAAATAACAGGGTAAAAGGGGAAAGAGATGGACTACAGTCTGTAACTGTAGAAATGAAAGCTTTAGCGCAAGTTCTGCCAGGAAGACACCAATGCTACGTCACTCATTACTCTGACCAATCACAAGCTTCCACCTGTCTTTAAAATGACTTGACTTGCACACCTGCTTTGCTGCTTTCAGATGCTCACGTTTCGTCGTTCCTTTTCGAGTCAATTCCCTTGGTGTTGCTACTCGCAAGTATTCTGGCATGAAGCGGCTTGTTTTTGATTTGTCTTCTCCTCATTCAGATCTGGTTGCTAGTGTGAACGAGTGCATTCCTCTCGAGCCGTTCTCCCTGTATTATGCCTCTGCTGATGATGCTATCTGGTTTATTAAGGTTGCGGGTCGTGGCTAAAGCAGATATTACGGACGCCTTTCAAATATGGCCTATTCACCCATCGGATTGGCCTCTCTTTGGCGTTAAGTGGGAGTCTAGGTTTTATTGTGCCGTCCGGCTTACTTTCGGTTGCAGGAGTAGCCTCATATTTTTGATTTAACCTCTTTAACGTTATACATTTTAATCTTTGGCAATCGGTGCTTTTGTTCTGCATTTATGAGCTCATCTGCCAAACCATTGCATGCCTATCTGAGCTCATTGCTGAGCAAATGCCATGCAATCTCAATACATAAATGGGCCATCATCATAACAAACACTTGCATATATGGACCAGTCACCTGAGCAAACGCCACATGGGCTCGTAACCTGAGCAAACGCTATGCTTATTTTGGCTCATAACCTGTGCAAAACGCAGCAATTAATGTGAGGGCCCGTCGCCCCAATGAAAGCTATGCATGTGAGGGCGTGTTGCCCTAAGGAACGCTATGCATGTGAGGGCGCGTCGTCCTAAGGAACGCTATGCATGTGAGGGTGCGTCGTCCTAAGGAACGCTATGCATGTGAAGGCGCGTCGCCCTAACGAACGCTATGCATGTGAAGGCGCGTCGCCCTAACGAACGCTATGCATGTGAGGGCCCGTCGCCCTAACGAACGCTATGCATGTGAGGGCCCGTCGCCCTAACGAACGCTATGCATGTGAGGGCCCGTCGCCCTAACGAACGCAATGCATGTGAGGGCCCGTCGCCCTAACGAACGCAATGCATGTGAGGGCCTGTCGCCCAGCGAACATAGTGCATGTGAGGGCCCGTCGCCCTAACGAACGCAATGCATGTGTGGGCCCGTCGCCCAGCGAACATAGTGCATGTGAGGGCCCGTCGCCCTAACGAACGCAATGCATGTGAGGGCCCGTCGCCCTAACGAACGCAATGCATGTGAGGGCCCATCGCCCTAACGAACGCTATGCATGTGTGAGCCCGTCGCCCAGCGATCATACTGCATGTGTGGGCCCGTCGCCCAACCATAGTGCATGTGTGGGCTAGTCATCCAACCAAACATGGTGCATGTATAGCAGTCTTTGTATCTGATGTTTACATAGTAAATACCGCAGTACTCCTTACGTAATGTAAGCATGAAATTGTTGCTCTCTGCAAACAATTTACAGCGTCGAGGCCTCGGCCTCTAAAACTTGAGTTTTCTTTTAACCTGATGAAAACTTTAAGCTTAAAGCCGCCCTATGTACTCCAGGTGACCGATGCGTTAGAACAACTAAGTTCTGTCATTTATTACACCACCACAATGGTATTTAGAATGATGAGCCCATTCACTTATCACTCCATTTTAGCATATGCAATAATTAAAAGCACTTAGTACACTTAATCAGTAATTTAATTGCACTTGTTACTAATACCACAATCTGTACTTTTATTGGATATATACTGATGCATCTTGCTAATATCTCTTATGTTCCTTTTCAGACTAGTCAATCCAGGTAAAGCCTTTCCCGGTGGGTATCCATTATCTCTTACAAATCTTTTGGGGTATGCTCCGCCCCCTGCCGTCCCTGTACGGCAGGATCTGCGAAGCTCTACACGTCAAAATACCTGGGCTGATGACGGGGCCCGCGCCAAGGACTTTAACTTACAAAATGTTGTTATCTATGGAATTGTTAAATACTATTAGATTAAACTATTTTCCTTCCTTCACATTCGTCTCTGGAGTCTTTCTGGTAGAACTACAAAGTGCACCTATATAGTAAGAGGAGCTGATAAAATGGACAATGAACGTAGAAACAAGGAGGTGTTTTTGATGTTGTGCTGATTGGTATATATATGCTGGCTTCCGTGCACCAGAAAGTGGTAGTACAACACGAGCATTTTGCCAGATTAGCTTAAAAATGACAGCAGATCACGTGCAGCCAGGAATCCATACAGTGAGCAGCAGTTTAACGAAACACAGTCATGTACGTCGAAAGTTTTGTCTACAGCAAAACACGGGCCTTTTATAGCAACTACATTCACATCGGTAGCTTTTAAACTGCACAAACGCTCATCTTTGCACAGCCAAAACATTAAAAGCACTACACTCACCTTCCTTCCAAGTGCTCTGACCAAAGCTGCTGGGTCGCCGCTTCCTAAGTTAGGAGTGTAGTTCGATGGATATACAGAAATGCGCTGAAATGTGGTCGGATGATAATGCAAGCTATTATGTTGTCTATGATAATATACAATTAGGCGCTGTAGTTCAGAGAAAACAATAAAAAACACGGATATTGCATAATTTTATTAATATATCGAGACTGTGTGATTTAAGAAAACTACAAATCCCACAGTCACGGGGGAGACAGCGAAGTCACGTGACCCGCATCTTGATAGTGATGTCAGCTGATCGCTGCTTCAGTCCAGAAGGGAAGAGCTCACGGTCGAGATGTCTTTGAGGTACCGGTATCACTTTTAAGACGTATTAACGTGCAGTTTTATTAAAAACAGGCTTTTTCCTGCGGTTTTGTTTAATGTGCATCTTGACTACTGTTTTTGGAGGTTTTGTTGAGTTTTGAACGGCGTTTTTATTGTATTTTAAGCTTTGTTGTGCCTTTATTTCTGGACTTGGTTTTGCTAAGCTGAAGCTGTTTCTCCTCTGTTGTTAATCTTTTATAATCTTCCTGCTTTGTTTTTGTTGTTTTTCTGCAGCCATTTTAGTGTAAGAGTTGAGAATCCGAGCCTTAACATCATTACTGTCCAGTTTTGGAGGCTTAGTTTAATTTCCTCAATTGTCGCCTGAGATTTTTAGTTGATGCTGTCAGCAGTTTTGTTTCCTGTTTTGCTATAGACTTAAATTCCACCAGATTTCTACATAATTCAGTCCTTAAGATGTAAACATGGTCATTCAAACTGGTTTGGATGTGAAATGGTTCGTTGTAGAGAAACTTACAGACTCTTAGGAACAGGAATCAGGGGTCACCATGTCTACAACACAGATATAGTCATTTTATTTACTATCCAAAACCTCCAGTGAACCTACACGTGAGTTTTTATATGTAATGTTGATGATGGTAAAATAGTCATAAATCTAAAAAAATGTTTTCTTTGGGGATTGTTTTGCCTTACAACATCTTTCATGTATCCCTCCACCATAAATGGATAAAATAAATGGTTTAAAATACATTTCTAGCCAAAACCTTATCACAAAACTATCATAAAACAGTGTCTCAGGCAGCATATTCATAATATATTAACATTCTATGTGGAAGCTTTTAGAGGTGGATCTCTGGCTCCTATCACCACTTCTGTAAACAAATTTGACTCTGTTTCTCTGGAACAGAGCATTTCACACCAAACCACTCTGAATGACTCTGTTTACATCTTATCCATTTAATTCTGTAGAAGTTTTGAAAAATCAGTGGAGTTCCCCTTTAAGTTCGTGAGATTGAACTGATCTACCACACAAAGTCAGACTGTGTTGCAGATGCACATTAAAGCATATATAGTCTTAATATCCTCAGAAGTGTGAGGCAGAATATAAGAGAAATTGGGGGCTGAGAAAATATGTTGGAGTTCAATGTCAGTGTTATATAAAAAGGCCACTGTGCATGATTTTAATGTTTTTATTTATTCTTTTACATTTTATCTGCATAAAGGTGGCCTACAGCATAACATAAAATGCCTTTCTTTACTCTTTGCCCCTCTAGCGTCCAGCCCATCCAGTGGACCACTGATTACAAGGATACAAAGTGAGTAAATTACGGAGCAGAGGTCTGTCACTGATTGTTTCATAACCACCTGCACTTTAGACTTCACCCTCAGCTATCAGATCAGTAGTGAGTGATGGCTGTATAAAGATTGACCCCCAGTGACTGTTGTCTCACTGCCCCACTAAGTTCTGCACAGAGCTGCACAAAATATTCCTGCCTTCGCAGTTCTGATATGGTAGTGATGTGCAAATGAGCCCTCTAACCAATTACAGTCACAGCTCCGGATGGGTGAGTCTGTGGCCGTTAAGAAGAATCAAAACGTTCGTACTTGGGTGGCACAAAAATGGCATTACGATACTGAGACATTTTCATGATGCATGATCTGCATTATGATATTTAGTTTTTGATTAGTTGCAACAGACAAAAAAGAGCCATGTTTACAAAATATTGTCAAAAATATGAATACAGTGATTTTTATGCACATACTGCGCTGCACTACATGCAGTTAAACAGGACAGATTATGCTTTTTAATGAAACATGCAGTTGTTCAGTGTTCTGATATTTTACATAATGTATCCTGATATTGATAAATATTGTTATATTGCCCTTCCCTGCATGTAATACAACAAAAGTAAATTATTTTATTCAAGCCAGTCTTTAACCATGTCACCTTGTTTGTTCACTGTATTTTTAATATAATAAAAGGCGTATTGCAATCGCAATATTTTGCAAAATATCGCAATGCTAGAACTTTGTCCATATCATGCAGCCTTATTTCCACAGTTACCCCATTAACAGCCCCCAGACTTCCACTCTGATCTTCCTGTCCACATCTATTCATGTATTAATAATGTGGTAGTTTTTAGTGATGAAACCACAGGACCTCATAGTTAAAGGGTTTTAGAAGCAAGTTTAAAGCTGTTACTCTCTGTCTCAAGCTGGGATTAACATGAGCTGCGTAGTGAAGAAGGGAGTGATGTGACCCTACACTGTGCTGTTTGTCTCTGTTCCTCACAGTTATGATGGCATCCTTCTGGTGACGCAGAACATTGACAGTCTCCCCAAAGAGCTGGAGGGTCTGAAAGATCCTCTGCAGGACTATGGAGCAGTAAGTTGAAAATGCACACAAAAGCTTTACTCAGTTTTTTGGGCTGGTTTTGTGAACAAAGACTGGAAAGAAATTCCAAAAGAGAGGCAGAATAAAACAGGCAAGGAGACGTGACACTGACTTCAGGACTAGTTCAGTACTAAGTCAACACTTTAGAAATTCTTTAGAAAACAAAATCGAAATATCTACATGATGTGAGACAATTTGTTTATTTTGGTACAATTCAGTAATACAATACAGTAAATACACAGATGTGACTGTTTCTGACAAAATAGCCAAAGACATTTAGACTGCGTTCACAAGTTGAAGTGACTCAGATCTGATGTTGTCAGAGCTGTGTGGACACGCAAATCTGATCTTTTCAAATCTGACCTGAGTCTCTTTCATATATGGTTCTAGATCGGATATGTATCCGATTCATGGCCGTGTTACCTTAATGTGACGCTCAGGTTGTAATTCATGTGTTTTTTTCCCACTGAGCGTGCACCATCATTCAGTGTTACCAAGGCAGCAGCGCCAAACAGAGGCTAAAACCTGTAAACGGTGGAAAAGCAGCTCATCTCACCTTTTTCGCCGGTTCGTTCACAATAATGACAGATTTGAGTCACTTGCCTAAACGAGTGTGAACCATCTTGTCGCAGAGATCGGATTTTAGCAAAAAATCGGATTTGAGCAATGAGGCTTAGCCAAAAGAATGAGTGCATACTTTATCAGATATTATTGGTATCTCAGTCCCTGGCGAAGCCACAGCCATTTGTGTCCGGCAGTCCAAGAGAGCATAATGAACCTTGTTCTGGTTGGTGGAAAGGTTGGCCTTCCGTCTTCCGCCTCCCTGCTGATATAACAGGTTTGGCAGTTTTCTCCTCCAAGCATGTTGAACAATGACGATGACATTGCTTTAGCAGCAGTTTGGGTGGAGCTTCATGTGTCTTTGAGGAAGCATGTGCTAAAGTTCACCCTTCCAGCTTGATGGCATCATGCGATAGAGGGAGACCAAGCTGCCTAATGGAATGGGCAATGACTAAAATCATCTACCATCATGCCTTTCTCTTCTGCAGGTGGACAGTGGGCTGGGAGAGGAAGTGGTCGTCCTAAAGGTTCCTAACTTACCAGGTAACAGATTGGTGTTTGCTCCCACTGGGCCAGTCAATCGGGACTATGATGACGTGAGACGATTCAGCGATGCTGCTGGAAACGGAATTAAGAGGTCAGTAAGGCAGCGTTCAGCTGAACTCTGCCCAGTATATTGTTTGATAACTGTTATTGCAATCTTAGGCTTTGCAATAGTGAAATCACAAAGGGCTGCAGTAAGTGGTTCACAGAATGCTGTGAACATATTGACCAGTCTGTGGGTCTTTCATAATCAAGGCATTTAGGCCTGTCACAATGATTACATATTTGCCTGATTGAACTTATTTTCCCCAGTCATTAGATTTTACAGTCATGTGTTTACACTAGAAAGGATAGTATGCCCACTCCAGGTAAGGGGAGAGGTCCTGCCCCAGGTACGGGAGTTTAAGTATCTCGGGGTCTTGTTCATGAGTGATGGGAAGAGGAATCCTGAGATCGGCTGCAGGCTGGGACAGGCGGCAGCAGTAATACGGTCACTGTACCGGACTGTAGTGGTGAAGAGGGAGCTGAGCCACAAGGCAAAGCTCTCTGTTTACCGGTCGGTCTACATCCCAACCTTCACCTAAGGTCATGAGCTTTGGGTAATGACCGAAAGAATAAGATTGTGGATACAAGAGTCGGAAAAGACCTTTCTTTGCAGAGTGGCAGGCTACACTCTGCTTGATAAAGTGGGTAGCTCGGACATCTGGGAGGAGCTTAGAGTAGAGCTGCTACTGCTCCCAATGGAGAGGTCCCAGTCGAAGTCTGTCAGGCACCTGATCAGGATGCCCCCTAGATGCCTCCCGGTGGGGGTTTACCAGGCATGGCCGACTGGGATGAGACCCCGAAGTTGTCATAGGACTAACTGGAGGAATTATATCTCCAAGTTGGTCTCCTGTGCATTTATTGAGACGCATAATAGGCTTTATGAAAACAACAACTTCTGAATGGTGCTCTAACACCTGTAGAGGGCAACAGTGAGTGTGGCTTGTTTATTTTAGTTCAAGCTGTTTCTTTGGGAGCCGAAAATTGTCGACAGCTGGGAAGCAAAAAAAAAGCTAATCAGCCAGTTTGGTTACTTTGTGCTTGTACTATAAAAGTTGCATCCAGTGAACAAATGACAAGTGACAACTGTTAAAAGTTGCAATTATTTAAATGAATATGAATCATCAGCAAAAATTCAGTTATCATGACTAACCTAAAGGCGTTTTTCATGGTCCAATAAACAGTTTCTGACACTTCTGCAAACACTTTTTAATTTTTAATAGTCAATTTCATTTTTATTTATTACAAGACATATTGCAGTCACTATCTGTAGCACCTATAATTAGTTCATGTTATCTTGTCTACATTAGATAACCCTAATTTACCTTCGCACATTGCCTCAACTCGGCACGTTTCACATTGTTTCACATTGTTTCACAACGTTTCTGTGTGACCGTAGTAACTCCTGATTCCAGACATTATAACAGGGGTCACCAGTCATATTCATAAAGGGACAGTGTGGCTCTGGTCCTGGAGATATATACTATATGGCCAAAAGTATGTGGACACACCTCCTGATTATTGAGTTTGAGTGTTTTAGCCACATACATTACTAAAAGGTGTATAAAATCAAGCACATAGCCATGCAGTCTCCATAGACAAACATTGGCTGTAAAATGGGTCATACTGAAGAGCGCAGTGACTTGACGCACAACTGTCATAGGATGCCACCCTGACCACAAGTCAGTCTGTGAAAATTCTACACTGCTAGATCTGCCCGTCAGCTGTAAATGCTATTATTGTAAAATGGAAGCGTCAAGGAGCAACAACACCTCCATATCAATGCTCATGGCTTTAGAAAAAGGATTGTCCAACAACCTCATGTAAGTGTGATGGTCAGGTGTCCACATACTTTTGGCCATATAGTGTATCTGTCTTCTGAGTTTGGAAGTCAATGATTGACTGGATCAGGTCTTTGATATTTGAGTTGGAGGCGAGATATGCAGTGGGGTAGATCTCCAGGAGAGTTGATAACCACTGAACCTAGACGATAAAGGTTTTGATTGGTTCCAGCAAACTCTGCTGAGTAAGAAAGTAACAGCACTGAGTTCTGTGATTCATCGTCACACTTACGGTGTTATATGATTAGCCAGAAAGACGTCACAGGCTTTGTAGATTGTGCCATAGTTTTTTAGACTTTCCTGATTAATTGCACTGACACCATATACTTAAACCGTTTCTCTCAGCTCTTAAATTCATATCTCTCAGTCTCTGAACAGGCCGACCCACAGCACAGTGCAGGCTGTGTGTTATTAAGTGCAGAGAAGTTAGTTTTACTGTACAGTGAAATTTTTAGCACATATGATTAGCTGAACCGTTTAGACGACAGTTCAGGATTGTGGCCCTGCAGAACTGCAGCTTGACACCATGTTTAAGGAAGAAGTTTGGCAATTTGATACTGCACTGTTAAAGCTTTTGTAGCTTTGTGTGGAAATGAAGGGTGACCAGCCGCGCCGTCTCAGTTACCAGCCTGAAACTCCTGGTTTTGTTTTCTCAGGGCAATTAAAGCAGGCATACAGCGCCCTCTGCTGGTGTGTCCTCCACACAGCAGCTATGAGAGGAGCACTTTGGTGGCTGTACTGGGAGCTTTACAGGTGCTCTACATGGTGAGGCCCTTTTGTTTCCTTTATGTGACTCATGTGACTTCTTATGTCCTCAGGAACAATCAGACTGAATGAAATATTTCTCTATCAGACCAAACATTACCGTGTCAGATCACAAGAGATGGCAGCCTCTCTCTCTCTCTCTCTCTCTCTCTCTCTCTCTCTCTCTCTCTCTCTCTGTCTCTCTCTCTGTCTCTCTCTCTCTCTCTCTCTCTGTCTCTCTGTTCTGTGTGTTGTAGCCATTGGAACTGAGGGAGGTGAAGACCTCCCCTCATAAGGTGGCAGTGCTGGGTGTGTGGGTGACGGAGCAGACGCAGGGGGAGCAGATCACTGAACTGGCCTCTGCTCTGGAGAGTGGCAGGTAAGTGTGCGTTTGCACGAGAGAAAATTTCGGTGGAAAACTTCAAAAGCACTTTTTTTTTTTTAACCATGTGAGAAAAGAGTGATTATTAACTTTTTAATGACTTTAGAAAATGATTTTTATTGTAGTGTTGAAGTATTTCAGATTAACAGAAGTAATGTTGCTCACACACTACAAAAAAGATGAGACAAAGTCAGGAGACTGTGTGTTTTTCTTTCATGAAGTGCCAAAATGCCAAAACCAGACTCAGCAGATGTTTCGGCTTGCTGTCATCAGTGTCTACGCATTCCTACACCCTACTTAGCATGCAGCAAGCTGTGAATATGAATACAAGTAAAATGACTGCATGTTTGGCTGTTTAAGAAATTCTATAATGAACTTTTTTCAACTTAGTATAGAACAGATAGTTTCTCTAAGCCAAGAGATAGAAGTGGATGCCAGAGAGTGTCCTTAGCATTGCCTTTAGTGATGGAGAGAACATGACATCTTAACACACAAGCAGAGAATATGTTGTATTTTTGATTTTATTAACTACAAAACACTGCAGGGCATGAATTAGTTTAGACAGCTCAGTCATATCATGTCCATTTAACACCTGCAGGTGCTGTTGCAGAAGCCTTATTCCTATTTACATCATACCCTGTTAGCAACAATATATTCCTATTAACCTGGGTCAGGTTCAGGGCCGTAACTAGGATCAAAGGCCCAATCCCATTTCTTATTTTTACCCCTTGTTTTTGAGTGTCACTTTGCCCCTTGGAACTGAGTTACAAGGGGTAGTGGTTGAAATCTTCCCCTACAAAATGGGACCCTCAAATAAAGAAGAGCATTACTTCATTAACAGGCTACTAGCGCTGCTCTGTAGGCGACCCTGCCAGTCTGCGGTGACTGCAGAGGAGGGTAAAGTTCAGCTCCTCACTGCTGGACTTTAGTTACATTTAGGGAATCATATGCCTTTAAAGAGGGGGGATATGACAATTATGTATCATCACCCACCCCTAATTCTTCAGTGATATGAAGCTGAAGCCAACTTTTGGTCAGCTTCTTGTTGAAATTTTGAAAATCTATGTGAAATTTAGCTAGCTACAGAGATATCAGCATACAACTAGTGATTTTTCATAACTTATGAAGAAAAGCACCATAAAACATTGAAACGACATTAAACTAAGACAATACAATGTTTATTTTTATTTATTTTTAACAGAAAATGCTTACATTTGTGGGTTTCTTTAGTCGCTCGCGTAGCCATCTTACTGTTTTTTCTTTTTTTCTTATTACACTCCCCCGCCCCCCCTCCTTTGGAGTGAACATGGAAAACAGAGGTGTAGGGGCAAGGGGTGAAATGGGATTGGGCCAAAGACTCAAAATTTACTGAGGTCCATTTTGGAAAAATTGACCTACGTCACACAGTGAATAATACTATAGTCACATGGTCTGTTTTACACCTCAGTCTCTCCTGTTTCTTAATAATTAAGTGCTCCCTTTTTTATCCATATACAGTAATGTACCTTTCACCTCTTATATACTCTTTTATTTACTCGTTAAACTGAAAATATAAAAAAGGGAAAAGTGAAAATGTACTGTACCTGTGTTTCAGTAATGAGTTTACCGGAGAGTTCAGCAGTCCAGTGAGAACACCCAGCACCAGTGCCTCATAGCTAACAGTGGGGCAGTGTTTTGCACAATTATGATGGACATTTTAGACCAGTTATATCAATTTTATGGTTGTTTTATTGATTTTTCAGACATATTTTATTTTAGGTGTTATATGATTAATTGAACTGGTTACAGACTAATTACTGAAATTGAGCCTTACTTAAGAAAACACTGTTTACAGAAAATGTATGTTTGTTTTTTTTTGTTATTTTGTCTGTTTTGTTTTTTAATGTGAATTGGTTTTGTCTGACCCAGCAGTGGTTCTCTCAGACCCTGTGTTTGTGTGTAAACATCCTGTGTTTGTGTGTTTTGTGTAGGTTTGTGTATCGGGACATTGGTGGCTCTGATCCAGAGCGTATGGCTGCACCTCGCGTGGCTGAGTATGTTAAAGAGCTCTTCAAGAACTCGCCTGTGCAGGTAAATACAGAGCACCAAACTGCTGAATCAGGCAGTTTCTTAATGGAGACTAATCATTAAGGCATACAGTACCATCTTTATTGTTCTCTCTCTCTCTCTCTCTCTCTCTCTCTCTCTCTCTCTCTCAGGTGAAGGTAGTGAGTGATTTGAGCACTCTGGAGAAAGAATACCCCTGCCTGGCTGCAGTCAATCGATGTGCTAATAGTAAGATGTCATTTCTCAGCAGTCTGAAAGCAGTTTGCACTGCTCTGTCTTTCAAAAGACACTTTACTAATAAACTTGAACAATGTATGTGTGTTTTGCAGCTGTGCCGCGTCATCAGGCCAGAGTGATTCACCTTGAGTACTGTGGAGAGGGACCCATTCAGAAGACCCTTATGGTGGTGGGCAAGGTACATAGCGTTTTCCCTTTATCAGAGGAAATAATGTTTGCATTTGCTTAGCCAAGTGAAATAATGCAGGCAAAAACAAAGCGGATGCAGAAAAATGTACCTCAAAACAGATTCAACAGATAGGAAAAACAGTCTCTGGTTTTGTCTACGATCTGTGAGTGAATTGAGTACTATTGTGTTTGGTTCCATAATATGTTTTTATTGAAAGTACCACCTGGATATTTGTTCATTTTCATCAAGTTTAGTGATTAATCAGTTTATCTTGGGCCACATTCCAAAGGCCTGATGAGCGCATCGTCGCTGTCCAAAAAAAGCCAAGTTTTTCTATTATTTTCTACTTTGATTTGAGCAAAGCAGTTACCCTTTATATACCCTTTACAGTGTGAGAATTCCATGATGAATGGACCAAAAGAAATAGAATAAAATGTCTTTACATTAACCCTTAAAATCCCAGGCTTATGGCACACTAAGGCTTATTATTCAGTAATTGCTTGGAATCCTGTGTAAACTAGCTCAGTTATTCATAGTGTATAATTTTTTTAATGTACACTTTTTTAATGTAAACTAATTTTTTGGACAGTGATAATATGCTGCAGTTCAATATGTTATTAAATAAAAGTTATTCTTTGAGAAGAGATTGTATTAAAAACAAACCATCACATTCAAATCAAACCAAATCATGGCATTATGATCAGAAGGTCAACTGAATCAAAAACATTTCGAATCATTACCCCACTGATGTCTGTGTGTCTCTGCATACTTGATCATGCTGACTGTGCTGCTGCTCGGTCCTGCAGGGCATCACCTATGACACAGGCGGAGCGGACATTAAGGCTGGAGGGGTCATGGCTGGAATGCATAGAGACAAGTGTGGATCCGCTGCTGTCGCTGGATTCTTCCAGGTACTTGGAACATACAGACTCTCAGAGTTTCAAAGGGTTAAAGGTAGTGCTTTTCCACAACACAAAAGCACAGTGCTGTAGTGCATTCTGTAAAATCAATTTTCAGTTCATACCATTTCTGTTAAATGTCACCACATGTTTGTGTACTGTGATATCGCCATGCAGTAAATCTTAATGGGGATGTGAATAACAAGATTGCTTTTATTATCAGATTTTGGCCAAACTGAAGCCCAAACATCTGAAAGTCGTGGGTACCATGGCGATGGTGCGCAACAGCGTCGGCTCAGGTACGGTTAAGCCCATTTCATTACGCAGCGTGAAGGGTAATACTGAACCATGCCTCGACGCTCATTATTTCACACCAGACGCGTTGCGTTTTCACGTAATACAAATGTCTGTATTGCCGTTTATTGCTTAAATAAATTATGTAGATGACAGAGAGATCAACAATAAAAAAGATTCACAATATGAATCTACACAAGGGATTTCTGTCACCTATTCAATGAGTTAAAACTACATTTGTTGATTTTTTGTCTATTATTAATAATAGCTAAATAATAATAATTTGTTTATAATTAATAATAGTCAAATTACTTTTTGAACACTGGTGTTTCACCATATTGTATTTTCCTGTCTGTGGTACTGAACTCCATTAAGTAAGTTTTAATTGCATGCTGACTGTAATGTTGCTGCGTTGTGTGTAATAGAGTGTGTGTCTCTCTTCAGACTGCTACGTGGCTGATGAACTGATTGTGTCTCGAGCGGGTCGTAGAGTGCGTGTGGGAAACACTGATGCTGAAGGCCGGATGGTCATGGTGGACCTTCTCTGTGAGATGAAGGAGAAGGTATGCACACACACAAACATGCCAAACTAGCGTTTGATTTCAGATGGATTTTGCAGCCATATTTTTCCCAGAGGAGGATGTGTAATGTAAATAGTGGGAATTGATTGGCTGATTGCCATGAGACACACTCAGTAACAAAAACAACACCTTACTCTGAAGTGTCTGTTAGCAGGTTTTGTTATTCCATTAGCATGAGGTGGATTAGAACAGGACTATTAAAAATCTACACACACTGAAGATTCATAGTGGATTAAAATCGCTCCACAATTATTACTGTCAGACTGTAAAACTACACACTGCAGATTCATACTGGATTGAAATCAGTGTTTGTGCTACTAATCACTAACATTACAGAACCTCCCTGGGTAAATATAGCCTAATCCAGATTCAACAGGGCTTTAGACCGTTTTGTATTCACTGAGTTTGTTTTCTTCAGGCAGTGAAAGAAGCGTCTCCACATCTGTTCACCATTGCCACCCTGACTGGTCACGCCATCAGAGCCATGGGACCAAACTACTCTGTGAGTTCATACATGTGTGAAACTCCACTGCAATTATATATCATGGTGACCTTAAAATGTGTGATAGCTTCGGTCTCATTAGTTTTTAAGCCAGGGTTCTGGGTTCCACCAACAATTAGACATGGTTATCTCACTTAGTGATGGGCTGGTTCTGGGTTATTTTCTTGAATAGCTTTTCTGAAGATTTCCTGAAGAAATGAAAGAAAATTGCTTGTTTACATGTAATTCATTTCTGTCTCACTAGATTATAATGGATAATGGAGCTGCTCACCGCTCAGGCAATGCCTTACAGTGGCAGAAAGGTATGTGTAAGAAGGCAAAAGACTTTTTAACTGGTATATTTTGCCTGATGCAATTGTGAGGTTTGTAATTACTGTGTGTGTGTGTGTGTGTGTGTGTGTGTGTGTGTGTGTGTGTATTTCAGCGGGCGAGGTTCTGGGCGATTTGTTTGAAGTGTCCACCATCCGTCGGGAGGATTATGATTTCCACAAAGGAAAGTCAGAGTATGAGGACATTCTTCAGTCCAATAATCTGCCCTCCTCTGCCACGCCCAGGGGACACCAGGCCCCCGCAGCCTTCCTCATCATGGCCTCTGGACTGGACAAGGTAGACCAGTACTGGGATTATATTGTTGCATATTCAGTTGCATTACATGGTTAAAGATTGCCCTGCATTATTCTGACCCACATACTTTACTTGTGTTGGATCATTGTGAATACTTTGATTCGTCAGAACAGCCACAGGAACTCGTCCAGAACTGTGATTTAATTGGTTGGAGGGCTCATTTGTATTTGCAGCCTTCAGTGTCATCATCGTCATGTCAATTAATAAACAATATATTGTGCAGCCCATACGCTCATACACACCTGCAGTATTCTCACATTATTAGTTAGTTCTCCAAGATGGAGTATTGTACAGTTTCCAACTAGGCTGGTTATGATCATGAAATTTTAGCTGATGAAAAATTGCCACATAAATAATTGCAATAAAATATGAAAAGATTGGTTAATTTTACTTTTCTCTGCCTGCTGGTCTGCAGTGATTTAATCGAAAACCAGAAGACGTTTTAGAGGCAGGCAAAAGTCACTACATTTTGAAGGAAGATTACGGGAAAACAATGAACTGATTAGATCACTGAAATGATTAATCATGCTTGATCTCACTCTCTCTCTCAGCATGGAGTCGACTCTGACAGACCCCTGCCCTACTCCCACATTGACATCGCTGGATCCAGTGGGCCCTTCCCAGGAGTCCCCACTGGGGCCCCTCTGCTTGCCATGGCAACCAAATACATCCTTCAGCCCTGAGCTGCCACCCATCCATTCTTCTGTTCATTTATCCACACATCCCTCCATTTTGGCCTAGTGCATTTGTCCAGTTCAGTGATCTGAAGTCCGGCCTCATTCAGTACGTCTTGCTTTAACAGAAGCTTCTCAGGTCCTTGATCAATCAGTTGTTCCTGTAAAACTAGGTTGATATCTTTCACTGTTCACTCTCTGTCCATGCAAAGCATCTCCATCCATTGCTTTCTCTTCTCTGTATTTCCATGCTTTTACTCCATCCATCAAAAGTCACGTCCCTTTAGACTCTACTCGGTGCCGTCCTCAATCTTCAGCCAAATCCAGCCTGATCACTTCCCTCACAGCCTTTCTGTACATTTAAGTACTGATACATTCAGCCTTACCCTCATAAGGTCTTGAGGAAAGATGTATGGGATGGGTCAGTGCTGGATTTTGCTCTAGTTTGTAAATCCGTCCCTTTTTCTGTACTGATTTTTCTGAGTAAAGAGCATGAATATGTTTGAATCCAACATTCTGAAATAAATCACTTTTAGCAAGGAAACACGCTTATTTCCTTCATTTTCCATTTGTGAGTATCTCAAGATGGTTTATTCACTGATGAAGGCAAAATTAAAATATAAAGTGTGCTGAAATGAAAGATGTGGGCCATTTAGCATTACACAAAATGACCTCATGGTCTTAAATGCTATATTCCCCACTAGTGTATTTCATATATCTGAATTAACGTTTTAAGTACTGCGTTAATGTTGACAGTTCACGCCAGAGTAAACATCACCACTAACTGGTGAACAGTGATGTATTGGCAACTTGTTGAAACTAGTTTGTTCGTTCACAATAGATGAACACTTCCTGTACTTTTTAGCTGTAAAGCCTGTTTGGTATCACTGGAGGTGCAGGATACTGTATAATAGTTGGGCCATTATCAGTATACTGTGCCTTTGGGAGCTCATAGGTAAAAAACAAATTCCTTTGAATATTCATCACAGTTTTAAGATTTATAGACTAACCAGAAAATATATCAACTCATTTCATTTTGCAATGACAAACCAACATTATGTGACGCAACCACACCCTGCCATGGACAAACACTTTCTAAAGTATTGTAGAAACTAAAGAGTCATTTTCAAGCAGATATTGTGTCCTCTTTTCAATAGTAATTTGTAGGCCCCTCAAAATCTTTGTTATGGATTTTTCTATAAAATTACTTTCAACATCGGACATCCTATTTTCCCCATACAATAGTAACAGCAAAATATTTGAACAAAAACTGGAATAAAATTATTCAACTCACTGTGAATAATAAATCAATTATAATTGTTTGTCTACCTGTGAAGAATTACTTATTTTCACACAACATGAAAATGACAGAGTGGACAGGAACATTTCATATTTACAAAAAACTGCAGTAGTTTTATTAACAGTGTGTTCATAATAAATAGTTAAGCTTGTATTTGACAGGGAGAGTAGTGTTTGAGTGAGTGACTGAATGTGTCTGTGTTTTGGTCATGCTTACTATTTAAGTGCCCTGTTATGTGATGAGTGACAGGAGGTCAAATTATTTTAAAACCTTGCAAAAACACTTTTAACACCAACAGTTCAACAGTTCAAAGGAACTAAGATTTTATTCCGAAATTGTTTCGAACAACTACAACATGAGAAAAGGAATGTATGTGTCTACCCTGTCATGGGAAGACAGGGTGGACATTTTTAGCATTTGCCAGCTTCTTCTTCGAGTTCTCCTGTTCCACCTTAAATGGTGCAGCAGATACATAGACCACTGTAGTCGTGTGTCACTCTGTAGTCCTCGCTATGCCCATATTAGGAACTCCGGGTCTAAGCTCCATTTCTCTATGGCCAGAATGAACAGGGTTTTCGGAAAACCGTAGGTCAACTATGGAAAACTGTAGTTGACCTACAGTTGCAGACATGTCAAATGTTCAAGATGACCTTGTTTTGTTTCAAACTATTTTAACTGTTCGTTTTTAGCCGTTGAGCTCCATTCACTCCCATTCATTGAAGACTCACTCGCGAGCGCCCTCTGCTGTTTAGCAGTCCTGTCTTTGATATAACGGGGGGAATAGGAAGTGGCCAGGCTCCTCATAAACCGGCTCTGACCACTGTAGTCGTGTGTCATTCTGTAGTCCTCGTTATGCCCATATTAGGAACTCCGGGTCTGAGCTCCATTTCTCTATGGGCAGAATGAACAGGGTTTTTGAAAAATCGCCTCTATCGCCCCCTGTGTTAAATAAACATGTTCAGAGCCCGATACGTTTTGCCCTGAGAACATTCTTCTCCTGAATACACCCTGGATCATCTGAATTACGAGATCGTTAAAGAGCTATAATACTAATATTGCTACATGCGAGCTAAAGCTACTGCGCATCAATCTGATGTCACTAAGCTAACCTACACGACACTAAGGCGGGCTGTGGCGGAGCTCTGACGAGCTGTGCTACCTTATCGAAATGTTCAACTGTAGCGCATTTTTACAGATATACCCGTAAATAAAACCTCTAGGTGGGATATTTTGATAGACTAAAACTCCTTATCAAAAATACTACCCGGGTTAAAACTACGAGGCTGAATTCAGCTTCTTTTTTCGCAGCTTCTTGTTTGAATGTTCCCGTTCCACCTTAAATGGTGCAGCGGCTGTGACTAGCTATCACAAACATTAGCAAACGAGACAAAATACTGACCTGTCGGTTCTGTGAAACCGCAGAAATAGAAGTTCCTAATATGGACATAAGAACGTAGCGCCGACTACAAAATGAGGACAGGACTACAGTGGTTGTTATGTCACGTTCTGCACTGCTGCGCCATTTAAGGTGGAACGGGAAAATTCGAACAAGCAGCGGCGAAAAAGAAGCTGACTTCAGCTTCATGGAGGGTTGAAAGGCATGATATGAGGAGGTTTCTCTATAAGTTCACTATAAATTGACTATAACATTAACTTATTTTTTTCTGTTTCACAGAACCGACAGGTCAGTATTTTGTCTCGTTTGCTAATGTTTGTGATAGCTAGTCACAGCTGCTGCACCATTTAAGGTGGAACGGGAACATTCAAACAAGAAGCTGCGAAAAAAGAAGCTGAATTCAGCCTCGTAGTTTTAACACGGGTAGTATTTTTGATAAGGAGTTTTAGTCTATCAAAATATCCCACCTAGAGGTTTTATTTACGGGTATATCTGTAAAAATGCGCTACAGTTGAACATTTCGATAAGGTAGCACAGCTCGTCAGAGCTCCGCCACAGCCCGCCTTAGTGTCGTGTAGCTTAGTGACATTGATGCGCAGTAGCTTTAGCTCACATGTAGCAATATTAGTATTATAGCTCTTTAACGATCTCGTAATTCAGAGGAGTTCCTAATATGGACATAGCGAGGACTACAGAATGACGCACGACTACAGTGGTCTATGTATCTGCTGAAACATTTAAGGTGGAACAGAAAAACTCGAATAGGAAGCCAACTTGAGCATCGTCCTTCCTAGTGTGTTTTTGGGGGTTTATTTTATTTTTATGTGCATTAAGATTAGAAGTGATTCACACACAGATGGGTTTGCTAATCGTGAGATTATGTTTCTACCGGATCTCGCGCTCAACTCGGTTTTTACCGTCAGGTGTAGACTGAATACTCTCCTGCTGATCAGTTATTAAACAGAAATGAAAGCTACCGAGAGCAGTCTGAGCGACCTAGATTAATCCATGTCTGAGGATTATAACAAATTAGGTGAAAATCAGTTAAAGAGTAATAAGGAAGTTATGGCCGATAAAATCATGAGAACGTATAATATCTTAGTTCACGTGTATTTGTTTACAAACGGATTTTGACCGCACCAACATGGCGGACGCGCAGACGTATCGCCTCAGAAGTTCTCAGAAGAGAACAGGTGTTGTCACAAATCGGCTCTACAGAAAAATCTGGGTAAGCCCCCATGAGCAAGCCGAGGGTGATCGTGGCAAGGAAAAACTCCCTAAGAGCGAGAGGAAAAAACCTTGAGAGAAACCAAGACTCAAAAGAGGAACTTATGCTATAAATTAAAACTACAAGGGGCCAGTTAGCGTTACACAAATGACCTCATGGTCCTAAGTGTTAACTGGCCCCCACTATCCATATTAGCATTTTAAATGAAGTACTGCGTTTCTGTTGACAGTAGTTCATGCCAGAGTAAACATCACCTCTAGTAGGTTTGCAGTAAAGTACTGAAAACATACAAAAACACACCCAGACCAAAACACACCTAGTTTCCCAGCAAACACACAAAATTTTCACAACATTGTTGCCTTTCTTACAACGTTGCTACAACGTTGTTACATGGTGGTGCTGTTTACGTTGTCTGAACAAGATTGTCACAACATTCTCACAACCTCATTATTCAGTAACGTCGCTGTACAGTTTTATGACTGTCTACTGGCAACTTAGCAAAATTCCATGTCCCATTCATAATATGATGGAACTTATGAGGATTCTAGTAGTTTGTTCCACTACGTTGTCACAATGTTTTCAGATAACTGAAATTTCTGAGATATTACATGTCAAAATTGTAACAATGTTGTGACAACCTGTTGTTTTGGTGCCCACAACGTTGTCACAACTTTGACATGTAATTTCTCAGAAACGTAACTGTGTTTGCAGGGTTACTATAGATTTATATATACATTTATACATAAGAGATGCTATATAGATACATTTTCTGTACTCTTAGCTGTAAAACATGCTGAGTATCACCGTAGATACAAAAAAGCATCATTTGTGTTTGCAGCAGTTGCTGTGATTTTAATGGTGTAAGTACAGAAAAAAAACTGTAAAATATCTTACAGTGCAAAACTGAGTATTTACAGTACTTTATTGACAACTAAGCTGCCAGTAACTTCCTGTAACTTTTTCAGTTTTTTTTTTTAAAGTAAATAGTCCTTGTTCATGATCACATGTGCATTTTAACAGCAAACTCAACAGTTAGCTGAACAGCTGAGGAAAATACTGTATTTCTTTTATCCTTCCTACAATTATTGAAACATATTTACGTACTTATAATGATGTGTAATTACAAGATAAATAAAATCAGCTGACGATAAACTTTTGAAACTTTTCCTAGTCTGACTATCGTTAACATCAGTTAGTTCCTTATGAATTTAGCATGTCAGACTAGAAGAGTTCCATGCTCGTTGATCGTTATTTCTGGTGTATTTGTAAGCGAATCTCAGTTAATTCATGTGGTGAAGTAGCTTAGCTGTTTAACCTAAACTCTGACCACTTGGTAATAGTTTGCTTATCTTTTGATTTCATATTTCATCTCTGATGTGCATAAAAATAATTCCTCAGAAAGCGCTGCATTCGGTGCCTGCAGCTCACTTTCTCAAGACAGATGTCAGATAGAGTTGTGGATTCATTTTGTATATCAGTCTCTCATTACAGCCACATCTAACAGGCACAATCAGTAACAAAGTGTTGTTTTTTAGGGAGCTAAAACACTACATGTGTGCTTTCGGTGACCCACTACTGCAATAGTGGATTGTACTGTATGTGTAACCCTGTGAGAACCACTTTCCAACACAAAGTGATGCCTGTGGCCACTTTTTTACCTATTTCTAAACTATTTCATCTAAATATAGAATAAAGGTGTGAGTGGCAGTGGACAGTTTCCATCTGGGCTGTATTTAAGGACCTTTTTGAGAAGTATAGACACATTAAACCATGACAAAGCTTTGGCACTGTTACAAAAAACTGGCAAAAACTGGGAAAACAGCACAACAGAAAACGGGAACGCAAAACAATACTTAGCAAGCAAACCGGATGATAAAATTAAACTTAGCAAGATTGAGGACTGTATAAAAGACATAAAAGACTGGATGTCGAGTAACTTTCTCCGTCTTAACTCCGATAAAACAGAGGTTCTACTTCTTGGTCCAAAAGCGGCTAGAAACAGACTGTCTAATTTAACACTTAAACGTTTTTAATTTCTCAATTTCTCAGTTGCATCAAGCTCATCTGTAAAAAGCCTTGGTGTCATTATAGACCCTGATCTGTCCTTCGACGCACACATAACTAATATTACTAGAACAGCCTTCCTGCATCTCCTCAATATTGCTAAATTGAGAAATGCATTATCTCTACAGGATGCAGAAAAGTTAGTTCATACATTTATTACTTCAAGGCTAGATTACTGTAATGCCCTGCTGGCTGGATGTCCCAGCAAAAGCCTTAACAAGCTTCAGCTAGTCCAGAATGCTGCAGCCAGAGTTCTTACTAGAACCAGAAAGTTTGACCATATCAGCCCAGTTCTATCAACCTTACACTGGTTACCAGTTAAATTTCGCATTGATTATAAAATTCTCTTACTGACTTACAAAGCTCTAAACGGACTCGCCCCTCAGTACCTGAGTGAACTTCTCTCTCACTATGAACCATCACGCCTACTTAGATCACTAGGTGCTGGCTTACTACTAGTACCTAGAATTAATAAAGTTACGTTAGGGGGGAGAGCCTTCTCATACAAAGCCCCCCAGCTTTGGAATAATCTTCCTGTTAATGTTCGGGACTCAGACACAGCCTCGGTCTTTAAGTCTAGGCTAAAAACTTACTTGTATAGTCAAGCCTTTGGTAATTAGTTTTCCCTGTCAGTTCTATACCTGCCAGAGTCTCTGCTGCTCTGCTAACACTGTAATCTGTGATCAGTCGCCCATTACAGAACTGACACCCATTACAGAACTGATACCCATTACAGAACTGACTCTCAGTTCTGCCAGTCACTCATTACAGAACTGACTCTCTGTGTGTTTTTCCTGTCTTTCTTTCCTTTGCCGAGTTGAACAGCTGCCCATCCTGTGCGTCTGATGCTGCTGCCTCTTCTGCCTTGATTGGGTGCCACTGCTCGCCAGCCCTTTGGACCGGCTTGACCACCATCAAGCTCCATGCTGTACCACACCATGCAACCTCACCCTCACAACCTGACCCCACTGATGCTGATGCTGCTGCATAAACTAATCAAATTAATCAGTGCTCCACCTGTTTTCCCTGTTTTTGTACTAACAATGTTTACTATCCGGTGTCGACCAGAGGAGGGTGGGTTCCCCTTCTGAGTCTTGGTTCCTCTGAAGGTTTCTTCCTGTTGCTCTTAGGGAGTTTTTCCTTGCTACTGTCACCACTGGCGACGCTCATGGGGGCTTGGACCCGGATTTCTTTCTGTAATGCTGATTTCCTTGTAAAGCTGCTTTGTGACAACACCTGTTGTAAAAAGCGCTGTATAAATAAACTTTACTTACTTACTTACTTACTATTTGCAAGGGAACACATTTTTTGCGAGGGAGTGCAAAACATTTGCGAGGGAATGCAATGTCATTACCTTTTTTTTTAACCACGGCCCCTTAGGGGCTCTGTAGGATTGGAAATCAGGGCTCTCAAAAGGAAATGACTTTGAAATTTCATACACACTGACTTAACTTTGGTACATGAGAGATTATTTCAAACAAATAATTCCAAATACCTGAAAACAGTACAACTTTTTGACATGACTTGTATTGGCATAGTTGTTGAACTCATTCTACAGTTGAATCATTCTACAGTAGGACAGTCTTGGTGTTGCAGATCTACCACCCTATCTAACACACTTCTACAGCAGTTATTTGTTGTGTTTTATTCCCAGAGTGCAGCATAATGTTTAATATTTATTTAAAATTACACTTTTCCTGACCCTGTACTAGAGCTTGGTGTCTGAAGTGTCCCATTTTCACTGCTTGTGAGTTCGCATGTCTGTTTATGGTACTTGTGAAATTATTAGCCTTGTGATTAGATATTGTGGCGTCCGCCACAAACTCCGCGCTGCTATGAAAAGCTTAAGGGGTGTGGCCATGCAAAGGGGCTCTCGAAGTGCAGCACACTCCTGTTTAAAAGTCAGTTTGTTGTTGTGTGGGTTAGTTGTTAGTTGTTAAATAAATTATGTAGATGACAGATCAACAATAAAAAAAGATTCACAATATGAATCTACACGAGGGATTTCTGTCACTTTTTCAAAGAGAAAACTACATTTGTTGATTTGTTTTTTATTATTAATAATAATAGCTTAATAATAATAATTTGTTTATGATTAATAATAGTCAAATTACTTTTTGAACACTGGTGTTTCACCATATTGTATTTTCCTGTCTGTGGTACTGAACTCCATTAAATAAGTTTTAATTGCATGCTGACTGTAATGTTGCTGCGTTGTGTGTAATAGAGTGTGTGTCTCTCTTCAGACTGCTACGTGGCTGATGAACTGATTGTGTCTCGAGCGGGTCGTAGAGTGCGTGTGGGAAACACTGATGTTGAAGGCCGGACGGTCAATGTGGACCTTCTCTGTGAGATGAAGGAGAAGGTATGCACACACACAAACATGCCAAACTAACGTTTAATTTCAGCTGTGATTTTGCAGCCATATTTTTCCCAGAGGAGGATGTATAATGTACATTATATTGCCAAAAGTATTAACTCACCCATCCAAATCATTCATGAATTCAGGTGTTCCAATCACTTCCATGCCCACAGGTGTATAACTAAGCACCTAGGCCTGCAGACTACTTCTACAGACATTTGTGAAAGAATGGGTCGCTCTCAGGAGCTCAGTGAATTCCAGCGTGGTACTGTGATAGGACGCCACCTGTGCAACAAGTCCAGTTGTGAAATTTCCTCACTACTAAACATTCCACAGTCAACTGTCAGTGGTATTATAACAAAGTGGAAGCGATTGGGAACGACAGCAACTCAGCCACGAAGTGGTCGGCCACGTAAAATGACAGAGCGGGGTCAGCGGATGCTGAGGTGCATAGTGCGCAGAGGTCACCAACTTTCTGTAGAGTCAATCGCTACAGACCTCCAAACTTCATGCGGCCTTCAGATCAGCTCAAGAACAGCATAGAGAGCTTCATGGAATGGGTTTCCATGGCTGAGCAGCTGCATCCGAGCCTTACATCACCAAGTGCAGTGCAAAGCGTTGAATACAGTGGTGTAAAGCGCCGCCACTGGACTCTAGAGCAGTGGAGATGTGTTCTCTGGAGTGACGAATCACGCTTCTCCATCTGGCAATCCGATGGACGAGTCTGGGTTTGGCAGTTGCCAGGAGAACGGTACTTGTCTGACTGCATTGTGCCAAGTGTAAAGTTTGGTGGAGGGGGGATTATGGTGTGGGGTTGTTTTTCAGGAGTTGGGCTCGGCCCCTTAGTTCCAGTGAAAGGAACTCTTAATGCTTCAGCAGGAACCAAGAGATTTTGGACAATTCCATGCTCCCAACTTTGTGGGAACAGTTTGGGGACGGCCCCTTCCTGTTCCAGCATGACTGCGCACCAGTGCACAAAGCAAGGTCCATAAAGACATGGATGAGCGAGTTGGGTGTGGAAGAACTTGACTGGCCTGCACAGAGTCCTGACCTCAACCCGATAGAACACCTTTGGGATGAATTAGAGCAGAGACTGCGAGCCAGGCCTTCTCGTCCAACATGAGCGTCTGACCTCACAAATGCGCTTCTGGAAGAATGGTCACAAATTCCCATAAACACACTCCTAAACCTTATGGAAAGCCTTCCCAGAAGAGTGGATGCTGTTATAGCTGCAAAGGGTGGGCTGACATCATATTAAACTCTATGGATTAAGAATGGGATGTCAGTCAAGTTCATATGCGTGTGAAGGCAGATGAGCAAATACTTTTGGCAATATAACGTGTATTGTGGGATTTGATTGGCTGATTGCCACAAGACGCTCAATAATAAAAACAACACCTTACTCTGAAGTGTCTGTTAGCAGGTTATTTTATTCCGTTAACATGAGGTGGATTAGAACAGGACACTTAAAAAAATCTACACACAGTACATTCATACTGGATTAAAATCGCTCCACAATTATTACTGTCAGTCTGTAAAACTACACACACTGCAGATTCATACTGGATTGAAATCAGTGTTTGTGCTACTAATTACTAACATCACAGAACCTCCCTGGGTAAATATAGCCTAATCCAGCTTCAACAGGGCTTTAGACCGTTTTGTGTTCACATAAGAGTTTGTTTTCTTCAGGCGGTGAAAGAAGCGTCTCCACATCTGTTCACCATTGCCACCCTGACTGGTCACGCCATCAGAGCCATGGGACCAAACTACTCTGTGAGTTCATACATGTTTGAAACTCCACTGCTAATGTATATCATGGTGACCTTAAAATGTGTGATAGCTTCGGTCTCATTAGTTTTTAAGCCAGGGTTCTGGGTTCCACCAACAATTAGACATGGTTATCTCACTTAGTGATGGGCTGGTTCTGGATTATTTTCTTGAATAGCTTTTCTGAAGATTTCCTGAAGAAATGAAAGAAAATTGCTTGTTTACATGTAATTCATTTCTGTCTCACTAGATTATAATGGATAATGGAGCTGCTCACCGCTCAGGCAATGCCTTACAGTGGCAGAAAGGTATGTGTAAGAAGGCAAAAGACTTTTTAACTAGTAATTATTGTAATTGTGATGTTTGTACTTACAGTGTGTGTGTGTGTGTGTGTGTGTGTGTGTATTTCAGCGGGCGAGGTTCTGGGCGATTTGTTTGAAGTGTCCACCATCCGTCGGGAGGATTATGATTTCCACAAAGGAAAGTCAGAGTATGAGGACATTCTTCAGTCCAATAATCTGCCCTCCTCTGCCACGCCAAGGGGACACCAGGCCCCCGCAGCCTTCCTCATCATGGCCTCTGGACTGGACAAGGTAGACTGCACAAAACATGGTTGCACAATATGGACAGAAAACCAGTACTGCGATTATATTGTTGCATATTCAGTTGCATTACATGGTTAAAGATTGCCCTGCATTATTCTGACCCACATACTTTACTTGTGTTGGATTATTGTGAATACTTTGATTCGTCAGAACAGCCACAGGACCTCGTCCAGAACTGTGATTTAATTGGTTGGAGGGCTCATTTGTATTTGCAGCCTTCAGCGCCGTCATCGTTATATCATTTTATAAACAATATATTGTGCAGCCCATACGCTCATACACACCTGCAGTATTCTCACATTATTAGTTAGTTCTCCAAGATGGAGTATTGTACAGTTTCCAACTAGGCTGGTTATGATCATGAAATTTTAGCTGATGAAAAATTGCCACATAAATAATTGCAATAAAATATGAAAAGATTGGTTAATTTTACTTTTCTCTGCCTGCTGGTCTGCAGTGATTTAATCGAAAACCAGAAGACGTTTTAGAGGCAGGAAAAAGTCACTACATTTTGAAGGAAGATTACGGGAAAACAATGATATGATTAGATCACTGAAATGATTAATCATGCTTGATCTCACTCTCTCTCTCAGCATGGAGTCGACTCTGACAGACCCCTGCCCTACTCCCACATTGACATCGCTGGATCCAGTGGGCCCTTCCCAGGAGTCCCCACTGGGGCCCCTCTGCTTGCCATGGCAACCAAATACATCCTTCAGCACTGAGATGCCACCTGTCCATTATTCTGACCATTTATCCACACATCCCTCCATTTTGGCCTAGTGCATTTGTCCAGTTCAGTGATCTGAAGTCCAGCCTCATTCAGTACGTCTTGCTTTAACAGAAGCTTCTCAGGTCCTTGATCAATCAGTTGTTCCTGTAAAACTAGGTTGATATCTTTCACTGTTCACTCTCTGCCCATGAAAAGCATCTCCATCTATTGCTTTCTCTTCTCTGTATTTCCATGCTTTTACTCCATCCATCAAGAGTCACGTCCCTTCAGACTCTACTCGGTGCCGTCCTCAATCTTCAGCCGAATCCAGCCTGATCACTTCCCTCACAGCCTTTCTGTACATTTAAATACCGATACATTCAGCCTTACCCTCATAAGGTCTTAAGGAAGGGTGTATGGGATGGGTCAGTGTTGGATTGCACCTTAGTATGTAAATCGGTCATTTTACTGTACTGATTTTTCTGAGTAAAGAACATGAATATGTTTGAATCTAACATTGTGGAATAAATTACGTTTAGCAAGGAAAACAAACCTTTTTCCTTATTTTTCCATTTGTATATATAAAGTGTGCTGAAATGTAAGCTATGGGCCTATAGTTAGCTATATAGTAAAGGGTTTCTTCTACCTTTCATGTATTGTTATCCATACTAGCATATTAAGTGAAGTACTGTTTCTTTTAACAGTAAGCCTAGTTCATGCCAGAGTACACATTACCTCTAGCTCGTTCACAGTAAAGTACTGGCAACATACTAAAGACACACTTGATAGTTTACTATATATGTACACTTTATAGCTCAAGAGCACAGAAAGTGTACATACAGTAAACTAGCAAGCATGTTTTTTGTATGTTGCCAGTATTTTACTGTGAACCAAATAGAGATGATGTGCACTCATGAACTAGGCCTACTTTCTGAGATATTTCATCTAAATTAAAAATTTAATAAAATGTCAATAAAATACCATTTAAATGCTATAAATTTACAGCAGTAAAATATCTTTATACTGCATTATTTACAGTCCTTTATTGGGAATTAAGCTGCCATTAACTTGCTTCCCTTTATTGTTGTGTTTTTTTATTTGTTTGTTTTTTTTTTACATTAGCTGTTAGCTCAATGGTTAGCTGAATGGCTGAGAAAAATACTCAGTTTCTTAGTTGTCCTCACAATTACTGTCCTGAAACTTATTAACCTACTAATCATGTCTTATAAGATAAATTAACATGAGCTGATGATATAATTTAGATTTTTTTTCCAGTCTCAGCATCGTTAACTTCAGCTGGTTCCTTGTGAATTTAGCCAGTCAGGCTAGCTTGGCCTAGTGGAGCTCAACGACTTACTGAGGTAGATTAAAACGTATGTATTTGTTTTGGGGGGTTTGTGCTGTATTAGTGAATCTCAGGCAATTCAATTGGAGAAGTAACTTAAACTATCTGCACTTAGTTACCTTTATGATTTCATCTCTGTTGTACCTCACCTAACAACATGAGGAGATCTCTGATTTAAGATTGCGAAATCATTTGGTGTATCAATCTCTCACTACAGCCACATCTAAGAGACATAATCAGTAATGAGGGACATGCTCTTCATCTGTAACCATAGAGTAGCAGTAAGTAGCAGTAGTGGACTGTACTGTTTGTGTAACTATGATTGTGAATCAGTTTCTCTCTGATACCATGTTTTAATCGTTTTTCTGTCTCCAGCTCTTTACAACACAAAGTGACGCCCATGGTTATATTTTCTCCCACTCCTGAGATATTTCATCTCTCATTCAAACGAAAGGTCTCAATGACGCTGGACAGTTTCTATCTGGGCTGTATTTTTAAGGACGTCTATTTTTGAAGTATATAGTTAGTATGATATATTAAGCCATGAGAATGCATCGATGCAGTGTTATATAGATTTAATTGAAAGGAGATGTGCATTAAGGTTGTACTTTTCATTATTTTTCTAATTAAAAAGTAAAGTAAGAGTATATAAATACAGCAGTAGTTCAACTGGTGTGGGGGCAGCTTTAGCAAAATTACAAACAGCCTTAAAAGTTTAAAGATCTGTGGATATGTTAAAAACGGTCATGAACTGCGGGGCGTCTGAACAGCACACTTTGTCATGCTCTCACTGTCTGCCACCCCTTCAGACAGCACAGTTCTGAAGAAACGATACTAGATTCACTCTGCTCAGTAGGCCAGGCGTCGATTCCAAAAAGAATCGAGTCCTTGTTTCCAGGCATTTGTGAATCGAGAGTCGACTCCGAAGCTTCGGGCTTGATTCCACACAGTGAAGCTCAAGTTTAACCGCATCCGCGTGCTCACAGAGGCTACGCTTACACAGCAGGTAAAAGTGGCCCAAATCAGATTTTCTCACCAAATCTGATTTTGTTTGGCTGTTCACATTATCTTTTAAATGTGACCTGTATGCGACATCAGTCTGAACAGATCAGCTCCTACACTGACCCGCATGCGCAAAAGAACAATGCTTTACGTGGCTCGTCCAGAGGTCAGTGGTGGACGAAGTACACAAATCATGTACTTGAGTTAAAGTAGAGATACCCAAGGTAAAATATTACTCCAGTAAAAGTAGAAGTTCCTCCCTTTAGACCTCCACTTGAGGAAAAGTACAAAAGTATTTGCCTTCAAATGTACTTAAGTATCAAAAGTGAAAGCTCTAATGTCCTATTATCATTTTTGTAACAAGACTCTGCTTTATTAACTCATTTTAGGTGAAAATACTCCAGTGTCACTCTTGTTTCTCCAATATTTTAATAGAACGTCATTAATTAGTGACGCTGATGTCTATTAAAATTATCATAAGCACAAAACACTGAAGGCAAACAGTTTCCATTAGGTAGAACTGAGTGGCTCTGAAATAACTTTTTACAAACAAGCAAAGTTTCAGTTTAAGATTTATTTGCAACTTAGTTACAAGTTTAAGTTTAATAAAAACTTTAAACTCAGATTCACAAATGAGTTTCCTTTACTAAACTGCGTCTGTAGGTCTCTGTTCATAAACATAAACTAGCCAAAATGAATTTACTATAAAATGAAAAAATGTTTGTATAATAAAAAGCACACACGCCAGTCACAACAGAATATGTGTACATATTTGTATACTGTGGTCTATTTACTCAAAGTTAGGTTAGTTCATCATTTATGTTGGAATAAACTCTCCCAAACCTTTACTCTGCTGCTCGGACGCTGAACCGCACGACGGCGCTTTAGGGCCGCTGTTAATACGAATAAAAATAGTAGACTTCGAGAATAAAGTCGTAGAATTACAACATTAAAGTGGCATTAATACCAGGAAACATTGTGGCCAAAGACTTTGCAAAGTGAAGGCAGCCCCTCCTCATGTTAAATGAGGGGCGTTGAGTTGGTGGAGTTTTACTTCATATCGATTCACCCATAAAGAAACACTCAGTCTCCCTGTCTCTCCTGCACATCAGCACCAGCCTGTTATTAGTATAAGAACCGACTATCTAGAATGAAGAGCCAGACAGACTCGGAGGAAACTGTCTGTCTGTGTTGTTGAAGTAGAATCGCAGGCAGGACCGTCTACACGGCTATCGGTACTACATCTCCCCCCATTCAAAGAGGGCGTGAAGTTTCGCAGACAGTGAGAATGATGATCAAAATGATCCACAGAGAGACAGGAGTGAGTGGAGCTCCGGCCCAGTACAGCAACCGAGACCCCAACACGTTATGGCAGCCCCCCTACAGCTAGCCCACTTTATCCTCCAGATATTACGACTTTTTCTCGAAATATTACAACTTTATTCTCGAAGTCTATTATTTTTATTTTTATGAACAGTGGCCATAAAACGCCGTCGTTGAACCGCGTGCTGCACTGGGTCGGTATGTCCAACAGGTCAAAACAAAGCGCCCTGAGCCCTGATTGGTGTTTTTGCTTCACGCTTCTTTCGTTTAGACATGTTTTTATACACACATAAACCAAAAGGAACGACAGATTTTGCAAAATGTAGTGGAGTGAAAAGTAAGAGACTTTGAACTGTAGTGGAGTGAAAGTAAAAAGTCACCCAAAACGGATATACTTCAGTAAAGATACAGATACACAAAAAACTACTTAAGTACAGTAACGAATTACATTTGCTTCGTCACTGTCCACCACGTGCCATAACGGATTAAAGGCCGGTTGGTGTGCCGAGCTGCATGTGCCGTCCCAGCGTGGCGGCCTGGCGGCGTGGCTGGCCAGGCGGCTGCTTCCTGAGGAGCGGATGGGCGCGCTGGTGGCGGAGCTGAGCGCGACGGTTCAGTATGTCTGCGGTCTCATGGTAGAATAAGACGCAGGAAACGCTGCGCTTTAAAGGCGAATGCTCTTTTATTGAACAGGAAGCGCTGCTGAAACGGCCCAGATATCAGGGCACATCTAGCCATAATCTTTCCCTTCACGGCAGATACTGACTCACTCACAGCCCAGCACCGAATGACACAAATAACACACAACAATAAGCCAACAACAACTCGTTTACAAGAACCTTCTCTCTGTGGCAAGAGCCTATTCGCATGGCCAAGCCTCCCGCGCGCTCAAAGCAGCGCGAGCCAAATGCAGGACGCCACAGTACTTTTTGTTGCCAGATGTCTTTCTCTGTTATGTTTTTTTTTTGGAAACGAGATTAATGTATGGACTCCATCGATTCCTGTCACTTGGAATCTGAATCGGAGTCGACTCAAATTTCTGGAATCGAACAGCCTTACTGCTCAGTCTGTGAATAAGCCCCTCCCTCTGACAGAGCAGTTCTGGAGAAGCGAAAGTAAAGTCTCTCTCTCTCTCTCTCTCTCTCTGCTCCGCCTCTTACACCAGTTTGTCCTCCGTCTCTGTGTGCAGTAAAATGGCAGAAGCCTTCCTAACAGCTCGGGACTCTTTCAGCTGTCCGATCTGTCTGGATCTACTGAAGGATCCAGTGGCTATTCCCTGTGGACACAATTTCTGTCTGGGCTGTATTAAGGACTGCTGGGATCAGGATGATCTGAAGGGGGTCTACAGCTGCCCCCAGTGCAGACACAGCTTCACTCCAAGGCCTGTTCTCAACAAGAATAGTCTCATTGCTGAAATGGTGGAAAAAATAAAGACGACAAAGTTCCAAGCTGCTCCTCCTGCTGGATCTCCTGCTGCTCCTCCTGCTGGATCTGGAGATGTGGAGTGTGACGTCTGCACTGGATCAAAACTCAAAGCTGTTAAGTCCTGTCTGGTGTGTCTGGCTTCTTACTGTGAAGCTCATATTCAGACTCATTATGAATCTCCCGCATTAAAGAAGCACAAACTGGTTGAAGCCTCCATGAATCTGCAGGAGAAGATCTGCTCTCTTCATGATAAGCTTCTGGAGATTTTCTGTCGCACTGACCAGCAGTGTATTTGTTATTTGTGTGTAATGGATGAACACAGTGGTCATAAGACAGTGTCAGCTGCAGCAGAGAAGACTGAGAAACAGGTAAGTCATGTTCCTTCAGACCAGGATAGTTTGTTAGTTATGAAGTAATTCATCTCTGAAAGGAGCTCAATTGTTGAAATGCATTTTAGTGTTTGGAATGTATTTTGGCCTGGACTGGAATGTATTTAAAACGTGTTTCATATATATAAAAATACCTGTCCATATATTTCTTCCTCATATGGGAAGTAATGTTGAGCTTTGTGGAAATTCCTCTAAATATGCCTTACGTGGGTCACAGTTTCCTTTTTTATCGTAATAAAATAGTTTGGTGTACTATGCGATTGATGTAAGTTGATACCTGTGATTCGATGAGCTCATACAATGAGGAGATGCTTGACCACAGCTGCCAGAGACATACTGTATGAAGAACAGTACCTCTGTACACTATATAACAGTATTTCACAGTAGTGTTTCATTATTTAACTAACAAATCTCTCTTTAGAATCAAGGTTTTACTCATATATATATACATATAGTTTTGGGGTTTTTATAAAAAAAGCCAACTGACCTACAAGTCAGTGAAGTCAATATATGTGCCAGTTTGTGTTTGTAAAATTAACGGTAAGTTTAACACATAAGAGCATTTCTCCATCACTCTTGAAGGTAGAAAGTATTTTAATACAGCAAAATTTGCATAGATTTACCAGTAAAAATCACAAGATTGGTTTGTGTTGCTATTTACGGTCTTTTCAAGTTTCAGAAATTCCCATTTTTCCATTTACAGTTTTTTACTGTTGCTATTTAACAGTATTTCACCGTAAATTTCATAAACATTTTTTTTACAGTGTAGTCTTGCCCATACACTTCTGACAGTTAATAACACTGGAGCTCATTAAGAAACCGTTCTTAAGAAGACATTTCTTCTTAAAACCCACTTACTTTTCATGAAGATTCTGACTGTATCAATGTTTTCTTATTTGGTATTTGTTCTTAGGTAAGAACAGAATCTACACACACTCAAGAGCATAAAGGTGCGAACAGTTCTGGAGTTTAAAAATATGACAAAAATCTGATATAGACTTTTTCTTAAGATCTTTCTCAAAAACACATTTAAGAAAACTACCAGTGGTTCCGAAACGCACTTCGTCATATTCTTCATAACTTTCATATTTCATAAGCTACATTCAAAAGGTGGGGGTCGTATGAGAGCTGTAACTGTCTTCTTTCCAGTCAAATAGATGGGTGATGTTTTAAACCCTTATAATAAAAGAAGCTGAACTCAGTTTTTTTTTTGTCTACTGAAAGTCGACCCATTTTTCCACAAATCTGGGCTATAAACTATAAACAGATGGCGTCTCTTCAGTGATCTGCTCTGTAAAAATTATTTTTATAAAATAATACAAAGAGCGTCTAAAAGAGCGTCTGGCTTTCAGCAGTGAATTGTAAGCATATAGCAGTATGTGTGATCATAAAACACATGTTTTGTTAATTTGAGGGGAGCTTTTACAAAAAATAAATAAAGAAATAAAATAAAAATGTACGTTTATTTCATGCATTTACTGAATAATTTGTCTTACGATTTGGTCATGTAAATTCAGATGGACAAACCAAAATATACCCTGGTCAATAAGAGGTTAATAAGTGTTGCACTCAGACTGTGAGTGATGGTATACTGAATTATGTAAAATTGTGTCGTTGTTCACACACTGTTCACAGACTTTGCCTCACATGAGAAACGAGCTAAGCCACCAAAGCCTCTTTCGTGAAGAGATGAATTTGCAAGTCATACAGGTTGACATACTGTACTATTCAGAATCATGAACATGAATGAGTTAACTTTAGTTTGCTAATTATACATAAAAGATAAAAAAAAACTATTGGTTAGCGACATGGCAGACATCGGACATTGAGATGATACTTCGGAACACATATATATAAGTGTTCTGAAGTATATATAAGATATTTTGTTTTTAAGGTTTAGTAAGTTAGAAGAGACGAAAAAGAGACAGATACTAAAAAATACTAATCTAAAACTATAATTTACTAAAAAAAAAAACACTATGAATACAGTGATTTTAAAGTGAGTAGTCACACACACTGTACTAAATCTAATTACCCAGACCTAATTGTGCTCTCTCTGTGATGAAACATGCAGTTACCCGGTCCTCTTTAAGTACTGTGATATCCAAAATATGCTCAGAAAGGCGTACTGTGTTGTAATATGAAGACTTGTCTCATTAATGATTAACATTGTCATATTTCCCACCCCCGTCTTACTGCAAAGAGAAAAAGATTCACAGAGCTCAGTTCTATGAGGCATGGCCTTGACTCCATTGCTACTGTGCGTGTATGACTAAAATATATTGTTTGTTTGTTTAGAGTCAGTTAGGGAAAAACCGAGAAGACTGCAAGCAGAAAATCCAGCAGAAGGAGAAGGATGTGCAGGAGCTGAGACAGGTGATGGAAGATCTCAGGGTGAGTACACTGACCTAAACATTAACTGAACACTGGAGGTACTCAGTGTTGAGTCTGGCTCTCCTCAGATTAACCTAAGTGAAGACTCCACTGACCCCACTGTGAAGTGAAAGAGCTGCGTCAGATGAAGCCCCTCCTCTCTGTGTGTCTCCTAACAGCGCTCTGCACAGGCAGCAGTGGAGGACAGTGAGAAGATCTTTACTGAACTGATTGAGTCCATTGAGAGGAGACGCTCTGAGGTGAAAGAGCTGATCAGAGCTCAGGAGAAGACTGAACTGAGTCAGGCTGAAGAGCTCCTGAAGAAGCTGGAGCAGGAGATTGCTGATCTGAGGAGGAGAGACGCTGAGCTGGAGCAGCTTTCACACTCAGAGGATCACATCCATTTCCTCCAGGTAACATCACTGACTCTGATCATCTACAGAAGGTGTGTCCTTCACAAAGTGCTCTCTAATGGATCTACTATAAACTTACTAAAGTGTGCTGGAGCTCTAAAGTTTCTTGTATTTCTTACTCTGTGTATTGTATGTGTTTTTTTATATGTGTCTGCAGAGTTACCTGTCTCTCCCTGCTGTTCCTGCAGTTACAGACCTATCCACTATCAATACCAGTCCCCAGTTTTCTATAGAGTTCATGAAGAAACTCGTCTCTGAAATGGAACAGGTGAATGGATTCAGCAAGCTGGAAATTGTCGAAATATCTAAAGGTATTAACAAATGAAGTCTACAACATCATGACTGATGAAGTTTGTTGTAGGAATCTTTGGTTACTGGTGTTTTAATTAATGGCAGGTGACTGTCATGACATTCTTACTTTTTCATTAACTTTACAAGCACTTAAAGGGGAGGAGGGGTAGTGAATGAGTGATACAGAGTAAGAGAATTTATGATGTTTGTTTTTATTTTGAATAGTTCTCACTGTCCAGCCTGCTGAACCAAAGACCAGAGAGGAATTCTTGAAATGTGAGTAACAGAAATGAATACATTGCACTCACAATACATTACATTCACAGTCCCACCTCCATACAAGCACATTGCTGCATGGCCCTTTAAGCACTTTTAGCATACATGTAGGTCCTTTTTCTTTCGCTGTTGTCAGAAGAAAACCTCGTATCTCCAAAATGGTAACTTTACAGGAGAAGGAAAAAACATATTTTACTTTTAATGTAAATGGAACCAGAATTTTTCCAAGTTGTTTCTTTTGGTCCATTCGAAACAGTGTAAAGGGCAAAAGGTACTTTCAAATCATGTCAAAAAACTGAAAAACAGCAAACATGGAGATACAAGGTTTTCTTCCAACAACAGTGATATGTTGTCTTTGCTATGTATCACATTCACACAAGGTTTTTTTTTCTGTAACTGCACACATACAGTGCACTTATGCTTTGGTGTGTTCAAGATGCTCTGTAGTTGTGACCGGCTCAGCATTCAGTTGGTATCACTATAACGTGTGGGCAGAGCATCTGAGGCTGAGATGAGCGACTACTACACAATACAGTACTACAACACGTTAATATAACCATTAGGGTGAATCCAGCAAAGTTTTAATGTTTAAAATTCGAGTCGCACGTGCACAAAGAACTGTGGCTGTCAGAAGGCTGGAAAAAATGTTGTGTTTGTGATGCCGCTGTGAATGTACTTTGAATTAATGGGATGTATTCAAAAGATCCTTTACAATGGAACAGCCTTCAAAGATGTAGCAATCTGGAAATCCTATCAGCTCAGCAAAAAGCTTATCAAATGCTGTTTTTTTTTGTTAATATTTTAACCTTATATTTTGGAGGGGTTAATTATTTGCAAAACTGGAGGCCCAGAAGACGTACTCCTTTCCGTTTTTGGTTATTTTTCAGGTTATGTACGAGGTGTGCTAATTTCAACATCATACAAAACACAAAAGAATTTCAAGCTTAATATTAAGTCAGTGCTTGCAAGTGTAACATTAGCGAGCTAGGAAGCTGCAAACTGGGAAAGCCACCTGGTGGGCACATGATGCAGTACCTTAAGATATCTCATTTCTAGACATTCAAAACAGGACTTCAGCTCACTTACATGTTTTACACTACAAGTAAACATACAGGTCAAACAAAATATCCTAATTACTTCTTTGTTTTTATTAGCATTTCACATACTTTCCCAACTTTTTTGGAATTGGGTTTGTAGCATCCAGTGTTGCACCAATGTCTTGATGCGATTATGGTAAATGCCCACCTTTGACATTTTCCAGGGTCTTTCTCAGCACAACCAAGATCAAATTAAAATACACAGCTGCTTTCCAACACTGCACATTCACAGAGGTTAGATTTGACTGTATGTCACAGTAAACAATAGGAATCAGTAAGAAACCTTGACTTGTTAACAATAAATAACCACAATGTTGCAGTGTACATGCTGGTATTATAGTATTTGCACAAATATGTTAACTCTTGTCTTTTTTCTCATCAGGTTTCTATCAGCTCACACTAAATCCCTGTATGTCACACAGAAGTCTTCGTCTGTATGGAGAGAACCAGCAAGTGGATTTGATTGGACAGAGGCAGGAAAGTTATTATGGGTCTATTATAACAAGATATTCAGAGAACTGGTGCCAGGTTCTTTGTACTGAGCCTCTGTCTGGACGCTGTTATTGGGAAGTTGAGATCAGTGGGCATGTTTCTGTAGCTGTGTCATATAAAGACGTCAGTTGGAAGACCAGCGGAAGTCAAAGTGCGTTTGGGTCCAGTAATAAATCGTGGAGTCTGGAGTGTCTTGACTCCAACTTGTGTTTCAGAGAAAATCAAGGTAAGATGGATCTCAGTGTACAACCTTGCTCCTCCAACATAGGAGTGTATGTGGATCACAGTGCAGGAATTCTGTCCTTCTACAGCGTCTCTGACACAATGACCCTCCTCCACAGAGTCCACACCACATTCGCTCAGCCCCTCTATCCCGGATTTGGAATGAAGTCGAAGAAAAGTTCTGTTCGAATTTGTGATCACTGTTAGTCATATGAGCGAGTTTTGAATAGATGAGTTTAAACACCTCACATCAAGGTCTTTTCTGCTGTTAATCACAAATGAAAGCAACATGTTCACATATTCTTATTTCTAAAACTACACTACTAAAATATGAGGATACATGTGGTTCAAAACAAAACAAAAGTTTTTATATTTGAATACCTTGCAGGGCCACCTTCATGTCCTTGGTCACATTAAGCACAGTCTATTATGTCACATCATTCAACAGACAAAATTCTTGTTTTGTCTGTGATGGAAGTGTGGTTATTTTTGCCTGCCTGTAAACAGCATCTGATGTTTAGTTGTGTCACTCTATTGGTAGTATTCAGATGATGTCACAATTTGTGATGTGATAACAAAAGCAAAACCACTTCAGCAAAGGCAGTAAAACGTGCTTTTTTAACCACTTTTTAAATCTTATTTTTAAAGTGTATTAACCAACGTGTTTTGATTTGTATTGACTTGATTTCATTTGATTTGTTGCTGTAGTGATAACAAATGAAAGCTAAAATCCAAATGGCTGAGATTTCCCGCTGCATTGTTATTTTCCCGTCCCGAACCGCATACTAGCACACTAAATAGTACGCAAAAGTAGCGCATATACCATTAGAAGTGCGCTCATTAGTGAAGTAGGTGAAGTACAGAAGTATTTGGTTTGGGACGCAGTGTTAGATCCAGTGAGCTCTGCTGTGCTGCTCGTTAGCTGTTCAGTAAACATCTCCAAGCAAATGTTTGAGGTGTTTTTTGATTAAGGATCATTTAGTGAGGTCTTATATATATATATATATATATATATATATATATATATATATATATGTATATTTCAATTCTAGGTTTTTCAATATAATGCATTTGTTGTAAATATAAAGTTAGGTGGAAAACTGTTGATTAGCTGAGACACAAATTATAACACAGTGATCAATATTATTCAATCAGTGTGTTATCGTACATAAACGTGTTGAGGTTGGGACTATGAGTAAGTTCTCTGTAAATCAGTTATTTTTTCTCCTTAGGGCTCATGACGAATATGATCTAAAATGAATCTGGTGTCAAGTTAAGGGGAAGATGTTATGGAACTGTACTTCACTGTATATCACTGCTTTGCTTGTATTTCATGGAAAGTAGTTTTTTCATGTCACTGATTATTCTTGTGTGTTCAGTATAAATCTTCACTTAATTGTGTCTTCCTGCATTCTGACTTTTCCATTTATTCTCATGATTTCTTAAATATTATCTAGGTGTGCATTACTACTTAAGCAATAGAACATGAGAGGGAGTGTGTTACTGCGAAATAACATCACGGCTGTGATTAGGTCGCAGGCATGTGCCGAAGGCGAGTGCCGTAAATCGTCACAACCCTAATGTTATTCGTGATAACACACGACCTATCGCTCTTCTCCTAGTGTTCTATCGCTTTTATACAACAGTTAAATAAATAAAGTAAGAAATAAATAAACTGGGCTGTAAATGTGGCGTATAATATGTTTTAATGTTCGCAGTTCCTTCCGCCAAATTATAGTTCCTTAACAAGTAGCTCGTTGCTACGTCAGAGTAACGAGCTCCGCCCACTCGCTGCACAGCCGGCAGTTCGTTCTCCAGCTCCACACAGACCGACTGACAGTTTGGGAATTTATTGTCGTCTCATCTTCAGAGTCTGAGCAAATCGGCTGTCGGTCAAATGTGATCTTAAAAGTGTCCATTTTCTGTTTGTGGCAAAGTAAGAAGTAAAAACTTAGCGACGGCGTCTCAGCGGAGTGATACAGTGTTTGTTAAAAACCTGTGATGTTATGGTGAAATAACAGCACAGTTAGAACGCTTCTCAACCAATCAGCTTGCGTGGCCGGAACTAACTGTTGTATAATACATCTTTGAAAACTCAAAGGGAGGAGTCACACAGATACAGATATTCTGTTCAACACACATATAATCACACAACCCTTGAGCTCTTTTCTCCAGAGGGGCCTGGAAAAGAGTGATCAGTTCTGGAGTGTAACATTTCAGCCAGAAGGGGGAAAAGCAAATATTTAAACTAAAAGAAATGGAATTTGGGTAAGCGATAGTTGTCAGCGGTGTGCGCATGCGCAGTGAAGTATAGCAATAAAACACACTATTTTATTATGATCACATGACCACATGTAGGATGTGTATCCAATCCAATCCTAAGGAAAATACAGCTATTTCCTCTCACAGTCATTGTCCTGAAATGTATTAACCAACTTACAGAGATGTGTTTTGTAAGTCAGATAAATTTAATGAATGAATTAAATGAGCTAAAGCTCTTTTTCAGTTTTTCCAGTTCTAGCATCATTAACAGTAGCTAGTTCCTTCCTAAGGGAGTAGCTAGTGGACTGTACTGTTTGTGTAACTCTACGATTGCGAATCAGTTTCTCTCTGATACCATGTTTTAATCGTTTTTCTGTCTCTAGCTCTTTACAACACAAAGTGACGCCCATGGTTATATTTTCTCCCACTCCTGAGATATTTCATCTCTTATTCAAACGAAAGGTCTCAATGACACTGGACAGTTTCTATCTGGGCTGTATTTTTAAGGACGTCTATTTTTGAAGCAGTTAGTATGATATATTAAGCCGTGAGAATGCATCGATGCAGTGTTATATAGATTTAATTGAAAGGAGGTTGTACTTTTAATTATTTTTTTAATTAAAAAGTAAAGTAAGAATATATAAATATAGCAAGAGTTCGACTGGTTTGAGGGCAGCTTTAGCAGTGTCATCGTTTTACAAAATTACAAACAGCGTTGAAGTAAAAAAAAAAAAAAC